GGAGCGGAAAAACTAGGAGTAGCAGTAACAGAAGGAACATTAGGAGTAAAAACAATAACATCTCTACCTAAACGAAGAGAGCGAGCAGAGGCAGGAGCGGTAGTTCCTAAAGACTAAGGCTTACCCTTCCTCTTCTTAATTAGAGACGCGTTTAGACCCTAGAGCGCAGTCTTCTTGCGCTTTGTAGGAGAAGTAGCAGGAGATAAACGGGCAGGTTTCTTGCGCTTAGCTGCTAACCTTAACAAAACAGGAGTAGAAGGCTTCTTATCTTTATTATCTTTATTATCCTTAAAGACCTCTAAAACATTATTAGGTATAATACCTAGGGAAGGCGCGAAGTTAGAAAGCTGCCTAGATTAAATATTAGCTAAGTGCTGCCTGTACTAAGTAGCATTAGACTAAGTAGTCTAGGCAAACAATACCTTATTCTTGCTCTTAGGGGCTTTAGTAAGAGTCTTACTAATAAAAGTACGTATTAAATGTAGAGTAGGACTAGGATTAGGAATAATAAAGGAGGCTAAGAGGGATTTAAACACGCTGCTAGGAGTAATAGAGCAATAAGCAGAGACAGTTTCTACTAAACCTAATATTAGTAATAAATATAAAGGATTAGGAACAGGAAGTCTAAAGGCAAGTTAGGAACTTACGGCGGAAGGAGCAGGCCTAAAGGCTACCCGAGCGAAGGCAGTTAGTATATACACTACCTTTTAACAGCAGTCTGTTAATATAGGCCTAGCTATAGGTGCTATAGCACTTCCTATAAGACAGAGAATAGCATTAACTATAGGTATCCTACTCTAAAAAGACATTAGTAAGCTTATTAACCCTACTCTAAGATTAAGCGCTAACAGAATGTAATAGGATAAGCGCCTTAAGGTTAGAATCGAAGAGCTCTTGCTTAGACTTCCTACCTAGGCGGAAGTAGGCGCTAACTGTAGTAAACCTGTTATAGAGGTTAAGCGTAATATCTAGCGAAACGAGAACGTTAGAAGGACTATTAGCAGCGTTAATAGCAAGAAGAGCAATAGCAGGACTAAGAGCATAGCCCTACCTATTAAGGGTGTAAAGATGTTGCTAAAGGGCTATAATCTAGGGGATGTTAATAACAGTGTTAAAAGAGCTGCGCACTATAATTAGGAGATGTTAGAAGGATGTTTAGAAATGCTGACGAAAAGAATCTCTAACTTATAGTACTATATAATGCGCGGACGCCTAGAAGATAAGGAGGGATAGGTAAGAAGAGGCACGCTAATACAGCCTTATCTGCTACAAACTACAGCCTTAGACAGGGAAATAGCTAGAGCAGCGTAGGAGTTAGGCTAGTGAATAGAAGGGGTCTAAGGAATAGGCGCAGTAGTCTAAACGTTACTTAGCTCTCTATTATTAGATTCCTTAAACTCTTTGTTAAGCGCATTAGCGCATATAGCGGCGTTTTTAGCGCTTATAGCACTACTAGACACGTAGGCCTAAAGGCGATCCTAAGCGGCAGTATTATCCTTAGTCTTAGCAGCGGTAGACTAAGCAGGCAGCTCTAAGGTAGCGGAAGAAGGTAAGAGAGAACGAGTGCAGCGCAGAGTAAGGGTATAAGGAGCTTAAGCGCGAGTGCGGGTAGTATTATTAGGTGTGCGAGATATATCCTGCAGCATATCTAAGGGCGCTAAAGAACTTTTAGGCGATAGTAAGAGAGACATTCTAGAGGACGGAGGGCGAGTGCAGCGCGAGAAGTGCGAGACAGTAAGAGAGTAGGCGATAATAAAGCTTAAAGTAAGAAGAGTGTTAATTACAGTAGCAGGGAAGAAAGAAAAAGAAGTTAAAAAGGTTAAGGCAGGAACTTAAAGCTATATTATTATTATATTTACTCGCTAGTTACTGCCTAAGGGACACTTAGAATAAGCAAGGCGCTATAAGGTTAAGGTCTATGTAGACAGGGCAACAACAGGAAGACAGAGAAAGACTTAGGATGCAGTAAGGATGTTATGCAGAATTGCAAAAGAATAGGTAAAGGAAATAGTAGCAGGAGTAGCTATATTACAATAGATATAAGTCTGCAGTTATAGAACAGGCTTTAGAAAGTAGCTAATATACCTAAGAAGAAGAGAGTTAAGAACTAAATCTCCTCTAAACTGCTAAAAGATAGTTAGAGGAATGCAAAGGAATTAGGAGGGTTCTTAGAGGAATAAAGGAAAGAAGCCTTAGAATAATAGGTAGAAGGTACAGAACTAGCTATAGAACACGGAGACGCTAGCTTAAAGGACAGTAGGAAGAAAGCATTAGGCTATTACATATAGGGGTCTCTTACGAGCTAGGTAGTATAGAAGGGGAGGAGCTTCTAGGAAAGACTGCAATATAGCGCTTAGACAGTTAAGTTAGATCGCTGTTCTAGATAAAGAAGAGGAGGCCTTCTTCTTAAGTAAGGGAGGGATGTAGTAGAGAATCTAGGGGAACTGCAGATCTAAAGGGCTATTAGGCTTAGAGATAATACAGAGAGTAGAAAAGGGACAGGAATATCTAAACCCCGTTTAGAAAACGAACACTACACATACAACACACACTATATACTCTACTTACTTGTATTAAGCACACGTTCTGATGGAGAACTACTAAAACGCTCCACTACAGCACTACCCTCCTCTTGCCTAGAATAGGGCAAAATACTTATAATTAACGGTTAAGGGGAGTGTAGAATAGGAAAGATAGTCTAGATCGGCTAGGAATACCTAAAAGCTTAGGCCTTCGCTTAGCTAGACCCTAAATCCTAGGTAAAGGTAGATATTCTAGAGTTTCGAGAATCCCTAAATCGGTCGAGGTAAAGGTAAAAACCGCACCCGGAACTCGGGCCTGCCCTATCTAATCACCTCTCTTGATACTAGGCGTAGCAGACCCTGTAGGGACTGTTACGGGCTACTACAATCTAGCTTAGGCTAACTGTGCCTTAATTAGGTCGATTAAGTTTAAGAAGGGGAATAATGTCAGGCACCAGGTTACTCTGGCCCGTTCGGGCCGGTATGCCAAGCAATCGCAGTATATTAGCCTACCTTACTGCTGTTGTGGCTCGACAGCGGTTCGTCTCTAGTCTTACAAGGCAATATACCTCTACTTCTACTATCGCGGTGCATCTCGTATCTATAAGGACTCTATTGCTTGACAGTAATAATGTTAAAAAGACCTTAAACAAAAGAAATATACAACTTGCCTTACAGGCTATCTAACAAGACGCGACATTTAAGCCGCAACGCGCTGTAGCTACCTACAACGTCTCTAAAAGCACACTACGAAGACGACTCGCTAGAACGCCCTATTAACGCGATTGTAAGCCTAAATTAATAGCTCTTTAAGGATCTAAAGAGGTAGTAATTATTAAGCATATTCTTAAGCTAATAGAGTAGGGATATATACCTAGGCTTGCTAACGTTATAGAGATAGCTAATTCTTTACTTAAGATCTATAATTAGAAGCTAGTTAGCAAGAGGTAGGCTACAAACTTTGTAAAGCGTCGCCCTAAGCTTAAAGTTAAGTTTAATTGAAAGTACGACTATAGTAGAGCCCTCTATAAGGATCCTAAGGTTATATAAGGCTAGTTCTGCCTAGTACAGAATACGAAGCCTAAGTACAGCATCTAGGACGAAGATAAGTACAACTTTAATAAGACTAGCTTTATAATAAGCGTAATATTAACTAGTGTAGTAGTTATAGTAGTAGACTATTAAGGACAGCTAAAGATAGTATAGTAGGGTAACTAGGAGTAGGTTATAGCTATCTAGGGCATAAACGCAACAGGGTAGGCGATTCTACCCTTTATTATCTTCTAAGGCAAGTACTACCTTTCTGCCTAGTACAAGGAGGAGAGCCTACCTTAAGACTTAGTAATTATAGTCTCTAAGAATAGCTAGATAATAAACAAGCTTAGTATTAAGTAGCTAGAGCACTTTAATAGGCATACTAAGGGGAGAGTTATTAGTAGCTACTGCCTGCTAGTTCTTAATAGTTATAAGAGCTACAGCTTAATTAATTTCTACTAGCTCTATAAAGAGAAGAAGATTATTACCCTCTATATGCCTCTAAACTCCTTATATCTACTATAGCTACTTAACGTTAGCTATTTTACGCTACTAAAGAAGGCGTATAGGTGCTAAGCTAAGAAGCTAATGCGCAATAAGATTACCTATATTACAAAAACAGAGTTCTTACTGTGCTTTATTACTGCCTATAAGGCCTCTATTATAAAGAGTAATATACTAAGAGGCTTTTAAGGCGCTAGCTTAGTTCTATTTAATCTAGAAGCTATTATATTAACGCTTAACGTCTGCCTGCGTACTCTACTATTACCTACTATTAAGGACAGTCCTTAGTAGTTATAAACCCTAAGTAATACTGTAGAACTAGGGTCTTAAACGAAGCTAGTTCTTAAGAGGTTTTAGAGGTATATAGATAGCTTACCTACTTTAATAGTTAAGGTAGTAAAAAACTTCTCTAAAGGCGCAGAGATAAAAGCACATGCTTTAGTATTATTATAATAGCGTATTACTAAGCTTGAAGCAGCTAATAAGGCTACTACGTAACGTAAATTATATAAAAGAAAGTAAGTATAGAAGGAGACCCTTATAATAGAGGAAGGCCTTTAACTAATAACTCTAAAGGAGTTTAAGGCGCGCAGTAATAGGAAGAAGGTAAAGAAGAAGGCGCGCGTTAAAGTAGGTAAATTGTCTTAAAGACGCTGTAGACCCTGCGGCAAGGTAGGACACAACTTGCGCACATGTACGTAAGATGTAGTAGATATTTCTAAATAAATTAGGCTACTACAAATATTAATTACTATTCTTAACGGTGCTGTATAGTAGTGCGTAGTTGCAGGTTTAGTTAGGTCTTAGCAAAAAGGTTCCACTCGCTTAAAGGTTCCACTCGCTTAAAGGTTCCACTCGCTTAAAGGTTCCACTCGCTTGTGACCTACGTTATTAGAAACTACTCCGCTGTTTTTATGTGGAAATTACAACTTCCTGTTATTACACGAACAACTTGATCGTCTTGCCTATACTAGGTGTACCACTAGCGTCGATAGCGAACAACAGCCAATAGCCAGGCAGCGCGACTCCTGGATCAATAGGGACATTTACTGTATAGCTAGTGCCACTTTCCGTCAATGCTAACGGGATTCTTCGCTGATCTGTGTTAACGGTATGAGTAGCGGTACCGAATCTGATCAGGGAGAACTTCGTGACAGATCCTGTCGTTGTGATGCTCAAGGTCGCACCCAATCTGACACTAGAGGCCACAGTACTTATAACAGGACGTGCACGTCTTGTCCCGTCAGCGTTGAGCAGGTAAGGCGGCACGAAGATCTCAGCATCGAAGTGATTGCTCTCTGGCACTCCGCCGTACTGCGTGCAGGGACCGCACAAGCCACCGCCACCATTGAGAACCGTCGCATCTGGGAGAAGGATTGCTACTGAGTGATACGTTCTTGGCACTTGCATAGGGTTGAGCTGGGTCCATCTACCAGTCGTTGGATCCCAGAGTTCAGGAGTAAGTTGCGCAGTGTCATCCTTGAAAGGTTGCAGTCGCGACTGCCCACCAGTAACCAAAACTGTGCCGTCAGGCAGTACAACACCATTGGCGAAACCACGCGCATATGACATAGACTGTGTTTTGGTGACGGTCGGGCTCGTCTTTGGCGCACCAATGGTAATAATATACGCATTTGTACGTCCATCGCTAGGGAAAGGCGCCGTTAGCATCTATGGGGTCTACACCGTTCTGGCTCGTGTACATACCTGTTCTCGTAGTCGGCAGCTCCTCCTGCAGTGAGTATCTTTCCGGCTACTGCGTCAAACATGATGGCATTCCCGTTCATGGCATGCCCGTCATCCAGTCGGTTGCCGGCACCCGTAGTGCTTCCAGCTCCTATAGTCTCGTACCAGTTCATGGCGATAGATGGACCAGCTTGGAACACTGTCTGGTTCTTCCAGCTATATGTTGTTAGTATCAAAGTTATATCAAGCGTGCGTGCGTCTTACCCGAAGAGCCATGCATGATTATCCGAGCGCCATACACCTCCGCGATCGGCCGTAAGCATAGGACTGACAAGAGCGTTCTGTAGAAGGGTCCATGCATCCGAGGTAGGATTGTATATCTCCCCATTTTTGCCACCCGTCCCTCCGCTCCAGGATCCGCCAATATTGAAGATTCGTCCGTCAGAACATGTAGCAGTGGACTGGTATCCCCGAGCTATCCGCATGTTACTCCCTGGGTTCCATGCACCGCTTGACGGGTCGTATAAGCTGGTTTTTGCAGCATCACTGCCACCTGTAATGATGACTCGACCGTTAAAGTCCAAAGATATGCCAGGGCAGAACATGTCGTGTTGCGTGTTCGATACTTCGAGCTGACTCGACTCGCCCGTGGCTGGGTCGTAGATTCCAGTTTGAGTGAAGCCTCTTTGGCCCCCGAAGTTGTCTTTTGCGAAAGCCGACCAGATTAGCACTTTTCCATTTGGGAGCAACGAAGTAGCTGCGGGTATTAGCGGGAAGTCTACGGTCTTCTCCCACAAACCTTTGCCTGCCGCCGGCGGTATATACGTTGTGTCTTGGAAGACGTTGATCTCAGCAATGGCCGACCACTGGTTCGCAACACTCTGCGCCTCGGATGTCGCTGTGATTCTTACGTATTGTGCCGGCCTTGCAACAAAGAAGGTTTTCTTCGTGGTCGCATCATTGTTGTATGTGCCGATAGCAGCGATCTGCCAGCTTGTACCATCGGCGCTGACTTCGATCTTGTGACTTCCTATCCTACCATTCGCGTTGTCGCTTGGACGCGGCCGAAGACTGACTGCATTCACGTTGTAGGACGCTTTCATGTCTACAATAATCCAATTGGGTAGAGGCTCAACAGGGGCAGGCGAATACTTCGAGTGCCAGAAGCTTGTTCCGTTCCCATCAAGCGCTCGGGAAGGCTCGTTGCCTGCTTGGAAGCTGTCCGACACTGCAGTCCATCCGGAGCGGCTGATAATGATAGAGGTAGAGTCGACAAGTCTAGCAAATACGGCAAACGCAGCGAAAATCGCTGATAAAGGTAACTTGAAGCTCATGTTGATAGTGAGGTAGCGTAGAGGAAGACTGGTGGTCTGCTGCTGATGTGGATTTTACTGTAGGGAAGTCCCTGAACTTATAGTTGTCGACGAAATTCTCAGCGCTCGTCAGCTTACATGACACCAAAGTCTACCAGCGTCGCATCCTTCGCGGCAAGCCCTGGCATGAAACCTGCAAGCATGGTGTGGTGAACGCCCACCCTTGCTAAGAGCAGCAATTCTGGTGAGAAAATGCATCGATTAGATACATGTGCACCCTAAATTAGACGTCTGAAAGCCATCGCCAAGTCACGAGGGCGATGAACTAAGTTCATGGTGTATGGCAGGATTTCCGTGCTCGTAACGAACGCCATGGAGCGATTAGAACTTCGCGGACTACCTCAGCAATAAGTTCAGCATCGTGCGCTTCAGCCCATTTGTAAGGTCTGGCAGTATATTATATTAGGGTGCATGCTAGCTGCATGTCATGACTTTGGAAGTACACGCCACATGATCGGACTGGGTGTTCGGATTCCGCATTGTTCATAGGAAACCATGAGTCGATCAGTAGTATAGCCACGGGGATATGCAGGCGTGGTGTCCAATATTTGATGCATGCAGAATTATCTCGGTTATGCATTGAGGGTGGGGCGGACTTCGGTTCGTATCGCTGACCGGGAACCTGCGTGAACGCCGCCAACTCTCCAATGAGCTTCTAGGCCCACGAATCAGTACGCTAGTCATGCATAACAGCATGTCACCCCCACAACTTCCAATGCTGAGGTTCTACCCCGTCGACCAATGTTTCGATAGAGTATGAAATGTCGTTCGCCACATCGATAAGATCTGACTGTACTCACGTTCACCCATGCGGCCAATGCGTCACTATGAACGCCACGCATCCGAAGTATACTGCTAATATCTGTACCGAGAAGGAAGGCTTGAATGTGCTCCGATCAAAAGGGAATGCCGAACATCTCGTCGTCATCGCCAGCCCCATCGCCATCGGTTTCATCGTTCCGTTCGCCCTCTTCCTCATCCTGCTCTTCTTCACTATCAGCTGTGGCCAGGCTTTCTTCGTACCACAACTCCGCCAAGTTAGATCTATGTTCTTGGATCTGGCAGAAGGTGTACGTGTTAATCCCTTGATTCGTCGCTAGCTCCCACCAGATCTTGTCGACTTCCGTAAAGAAGTGTGAGGCCGGTGTACCAACCTCGTCACGACAAGTCAACGTGATCTCATTGAGAGCCACGAAAGACGAGGCCTCATCGGTGTTTTCTGTTACGAAGCCAGCTACCCAATCCTCAACCTCTTCCCCGGGATAGAATATCTCTAGTGTCTCTAGCCTAGGTGGCAAATCCTTCGGTTGACAAGACTTGCTTGTCCAAGGCGCAGACCCGGTGGCAAGGATGAACGCCTGCGGGAGGACAAGATGTTTCATGGTGGTGAAGTGATTAAGAGAATTCTTCGGGCTTGTTACCATATCGAGCAGCCACTCAAGTTCTGAGTCATCGTCGGTCGTTTCGAGCGTGATAGAAAGTGTCTCTAGAGCATCTTGCATGTAGTTCAATTGGTCCATGAAATAGCCTGCTTCGAGCTGCGTATTAAGGTCATCGCCGATATGATAGCCGTCGTTAATACTGTGAGGGTGAGAGCTTAGCATTTGCAGCGGAAATACCAAATATGCGGACTTACAGCAGTATTTTGAGACTTTGAAGCTGAACGCAACCGAGTGCTTCGAATAGGTCACCTAGTTGTATCTCTGCCTTTTCAATCAAGAGACGATCGGCGAACTGTATCGATACAGTCAAAGCTAGGTCCTGAAGGTTCTCAGCACCCTGCAGACACCCAGGTCCGTTGAGACGCAGAATGGTGCCGATGAAGATTGTCTTTAGATCGAGGCTTGTGAGACTAGCGAAGTTGATTCCGGACTTGAAAAAATGCGTATCGCTGGTAGTAAGATGACGAAGAGTACTCCAGTAGTTGATGATGCTGTCAGGAGCGGACATGCCCCCAAAAGCCCAGAGATGCACTCGCTTGAAGGTGGGCCGCGATGATGGTCTTTCACCCAGAACTCGAGGTGGGTGAGATTTGGAAGGAGTACAAGTAGTACTCCAGCAAACCCAGATTCGATCGAGTTTTGGATGGTTCTGTACCAAGGATGCTTTATGTACCCCAGTTCCTCTAGCTTTGCTAAACTTCGCGTTCGCAAAGACGTGAGGCTGAACCCTTGATCTTCACACAGCTTCGCGACATCCTTGCGAACAGTTCTGATGCGTAGAGTCTTCACTTGGATTGCTAGATCTGGGCGGTCGAAGAGCGTACGAAGCAGTCTCAGAAGAGGATTTACCTTTGGGTGGCAGCCACACGAAATCGACAGCTTCGCTACAGTGTGCAGAACTTCTTGCCCGGCCGCTCGAAATTTGCGAGATGTAAGACATAGGTGCTTGAGGGATTTGGGTGCATCCGAGTCGGGAAGGTGGGAGACGATTTGCAACAGCAACTCCTCCGGCAGCGTATAGATTGGTGGGTTAGTGGGAAGCGCCATTATAGGACCAGAATTATGCTTGGAGCACTGAGAGGGGTGCATGGGAGACTGGCCGGAGTCCACACTTTATCCCAAGGTGTTGCGCAGATCTGCCAGAAGATCGTGTATGACGAACCGCGCTTTTTGCGACTTTTAAGGCAGAGGCAAACACTGTTGCGTACCCTGTCAGCTCGCTAGCTTAGTCCTGTAAGTATCGTGAGGGCATGTCCTGTTAACACAGGTGAAAAACAGGTAGTCTTCTGTAGATGTGGGTGCTGGAACGTGGCGATGATCGTGATGCTTGGGAATGAGGACGAAGGTGGTGGCGGGGATCACTTTACACGATGACGTAATCACATGCTCAACTAACGGAGGCGTGCAGACACAGGCTGTGAGTATAATAGCTTCTTGGTATCTCTTTTATGAATACGGCTGCTATATTTCTACGGTACCCGGGAAGACTAAGGATTACAATTGTATATTTACACCTCTCTCCTTTGCGCTTTCCTCTCCCTCAGTCGCATCTTGAGCAAGAACAACAAACTCGTCACCACACCCATGGCGCTCAGCCCGACACTAACGTACATTGCACCACGATAGCCGCTCAATTCGTCCGCGACCGTTGCTCCGCCACTGTTGACATGCACCTCCACTGTGCCCGCAATGCCAACCCCAATACTGATGCTGTAGTTCACGATCGTGTTGACCAAGCTTGCTGCCATGCCTTGATGCTTCTTAGCGACGGCGTTACTCATAATCAGTGTGCCGGCAGGAAAGCTCATGTCCATACCCCATGGGATTATGAGCGTGGTGACGAACGTTTGCGCCCAGTAGATTTGACCGATCGGCAGTGTAGCGACGAGAATACTACCAGTCAAGAAAGCAAGCATGCTAATGAGCATTACCCATCCTGGACCGATACGTGAGATGACATGGCCCGTGGTGACCGCGGCGATGAAGCCCGAGATTGCGACAGGACAAAGGTGAGCCATTGTAAGGAGCGGAGAGTCGCCGCGCAGCTGCTGGAGGAATTGAACAAAGTAATAGATCCAGATACCTAAGTTCGTTGTCAGTGACGTTGTCCACCTAATAGTACTTTGAAGAGGTGATTACTTACCGAACGCAGCCCAGCCGCATGCTATGCAGGTCAATACGAACGAGACATCCGTGCTAAGAACATTAAACGGAATGAGTGGCTTTTTGGCAACCTTGATCTCTATCCAAAAGAACACGGGGAATAGGAGAATTCCTATTATCAACAGAACGTAGATGTACGCGTGTTCCCATCCGAATCCTGGTGCTTGGTTCCAGGCGAAGTTGAACAATATCATGGCGGTGATACCCACAGTTGCGCCGAGCAGGTCAAGCTCTCGGATTCGCTCTCTATGCGAGAGGCTGCGAACGTCTTCATCTAGAGGTACAGAGGGAAGTATGAAGATCGAGAGGATGGCAAGGCAGAAGAGCGCAATGCCAAATGTCCAGAAGGTCCATGGCCACCACAAGAGCGACCAGAGGCCAGCGAATGTTCCGCCAACTACAGCACCACCTACAAAACGTCAGGAGGCATACCAGAGAATCACATAAACAATACGTACCGGGCGCACATGCTCCAAATAGTGAAAATACCATGTCCTTCCTCTGTCCCTCATTGTAGGTCGCGCCTAGAAGGCCAAGTGCATTGGGTAGTAATATTGCTGGTCCAATGCCACCCAAAACACGCGAGAAGATGAACAGCACTTGGCCACCGTTCCCTTCAACGTATATACTGCAACCGGCCACTAGGTTCCAGATAGCGAACCAAACGTAACCCACAATCAACATGTTCTTGTACCCGAATAGATCTCCACATCGACCGGATAACAGGATGAAAGTGCCAACTGTCAATGAATAGCCTGCTATCAGCCATGATAGAACGCCAGGGTCGGTGATGCCAAGATCGGGTCCGATAATGTGCAGGATATTCAAGGTGCCGAGGAGACCTGCCTGAGTTACGAACTGGGCGGAGCAAAGCAAACCAACAAAGAGGATCTCGCGAACTGGAGACATGGTCTCTGCAATGGATTTCGTCTTCGCTAATTCCAGGTCCTGATGCTGCTTGGGAGCATGCGCAGAGTGGTGGGAGCTGCGGCGGTCCATGTTTTCGTGGGAATCACTGCAGTCGAAGTCGCTATCTTGGGAAGACGATAGCTTCTCAATTGTTGGCTCTGAGAAGCCTCTTGCCTCCTCCATTCCCTTAAGGTGAGTTGAGACAACAAAAAAGGGTTTTCGTCGGATCCAGCGTTGTAACGGTGATTGGGTCGTAGGAAACGGATTTCAGATATCGAAAGGTCACCGTGTATGGCGTGTGACGATGGAAGACCTGCAAATTTCGCGTCTAAATTGTTTTGGCTGCACGTTCTGAGATGGAACCGCGATGGCGACAGTGCTGATCGGCTTCCCGATGCGTTTGGACGCAGGTGCAGAAAATGTCCGTGTAAAAATCAATATCGTTGTCCAAAGAAAAGGCAGTTTTGTCTGCAAAAGACATCGCGATGCGATTTGCGAGCTAGTCTGCCGCATAATATTCACGACATTTGCATGCTGAATCGTCATGTTGTAAAGCTTTACGTGAGCGCGGAATTGCGTCCTCAAGCAAAGAAAAGCGGGTCTGCCGAATTTCGGCTGCTGTCAAAGGCAGGATCGAAAAACGCCCAGATGCGTAAAAACGGTTTCTTCGGACCAAAAAAGCGGGTTATGGTTTCGCATGCAAGAACCTAGATTCGCCATCGAAATTGTGCCAGTTTGTGATGCTATGTAAGCCTTAACATAAGCGTGCGTGGTAAATCTGCGGAAAGCCTGACGCCTGAAAAACTGTCACAAAGATCTCCCCCACCCCCAAAAGCGCAAATATGCATGTGTCTTGCTCTGCCATCGCAAAACAAAGGTTTCGTGACTACTGTTTCTTGGTCTCATAAACCCGCACTCCCAACAATTTCCATACAGCCCAGCTGTGACCACCAACCCAAATTGGCCCGCCTCGCCAAAGCGGCAATACGTCATCCCTTGCACGTCTCCTCTGAACGACAGGCTCCTCCCATTCTCCTTGTTGGAAACGTACGACATCGTCTCTGCTGACAGTATGCGTTCTCGCATTCGCCGACATTGTCCAAAACCCAACCACATGTCCCTGGTCGATCTTGTGCTTTAACCAGCCTTTACCCCTGTTCTCTTCCGGGCTGTTATTGAGAAGTGATATAAGCTCTGCGTACGTATAGTCGGCTTTGCCTTTTGGCAGATTTGCGGAACTTAATTGTGTGCGGTGAGCTGAAGGTGGGATCTTGTCCACGACGATGGGAGACCAGAGGAAAGGAATTGGCGCGTACATCAGCCGTAAAGATAGACTCAGTAAAACTGCGACAGGGAAGTCAAGGCCGAGTGATACGCCTGCACGAAGGGCTGATCCGAAAGTAAGTCTCGGTGGAGAGGTAGATGTTGAGAAAAGAGCAGGTGCCTCTGAAAGGCGGAATACGTGGAGTGGGACATAATTTTCAAGATTATACCTGCTTGAGAAACCTAAGACGAGTCGAAGATGTTGTGTCGATAAACCTCTTCTCAGAAAAAGTATGGTTTAGCATTAGGAAGTCATGACGTCACGCGAGCCCAATGCATCAGCAGACAATACGACAACGTAGCATATGTCAGTACGGAGCTGGATTGATCCAAATCATTGTCGTATTCAGATTTGGGAGAATTATGTTCTCAATTTTAGAGGCAGAACTCGGTGTGAAACAAACAAGGGCAGGCCTTAGTTCGCTTGGTGCACAACTCGAGAACAGCCTATATCCATAGTCCTAGCGCACGCAAGATTAAGTTCCCTTTCTACGATGACTATAGCGTCACCAAGCTCCCTACAACTGCAGCAATGACCGCACTGCCCAGAACGCTCACAGAAAGACTAGCGGATGCAGCTGCAGTATAAGTAGGCATGGGGATGCCGGTTCCCGAGGGTGAGGTCCCATTACCAGAGGTACCAGTACCCACGAGATCTGGGAACAAGTAGCTGGTGTTGGTGTCTACAACAATCCAGTTCCGCACCAATGCCGTTCCATTCATGACTGACTCCCATTGCTCCGCCGTACACTGACCGGGATCAAGAACGTAGCACTGTGTGCCTTCGTCGACGATTGGCTCATTAGTAATGTTGTACACATCACCTGGTCCTTCAGACGCATAATCCGGGTTTTCGGTGGTAGAGATATTTCCGGTGCTGATGTCGCGATTAAAGAGTGCACGTGTAAAGATCCTGTACGCAGTCTCGGGCTGGTAAGCCGGTACCTCATGACCAGCTTCATAAACACGTGTGAACGACAAGTTTCCGTACTGACGCACTTGACCTCCAGTATAGGTGTCATTGACAATGACAGGTGCGTACCCTGCACCTGCGAAAGAGGTTGCATTGTCGTAAGGAATTGCAAGGGAGAGCAGCTCACCGCCATACCCTGTTGTTTTATGCAAAGTTAGTTGATGTGCCACGCGCAGGCTTGCGGAATACTACTCACAGTTGCAGGCGTAGTCTCGGTCACCGTACACTAGTGTAACCTTGATACCTTCCTCGAGAAGGTATGCTAAATCTTCCTTCCAGCCCGGACGTGGGTAGTCGCCGATGCCGCGGAATGCTCGCGATACCGCCGAATTTGACTGAGTCCAGTTCAAGGGCACTCCTAGCCCCTGCTGCACATGAGGCTGATTGAGCCAGCCCTGATACCACGGAGGTGGGAAGGCTGCAGCGCCGGGGGCGGAGATGTCGTAATAGTTCAGGTCGGTGTCAAAATAGGGGTCCCGAATTGTCTCAGAACAAAATGTCTCGGCAGACTCACAAACTTCGTTGACGGTCTCATTGAACCCTTGATTGGTAGGGTCGTACGCAAGACTCAGGTTGCGGCATTCTTCAATTTGATCAAGACAGCCTCCTTCGCGGTATAAGTTGTCGAGCACTTCTTCATAGCGCGACTCATTCACGGCCTGGATACCGTAAGTATTGTTGTACTGCATTGTTGGGTAAGCCGGCCACTGCACGTAGCGGTCAATGCAGCCGTTGATGATGAGTAGAGTGTCAAGGTGAAGTATGTGAGTCTGTCCGGCTTCGCTCCAGGTTCCATTCTCTATCTTCTCGTTCTGTTCCTGGAAATAGGCCGCGAAAGCAGGTCCGTAACGACCTCCGTACGACTCAGTTGCGATTGAGATTCTATCATCATTGGGCTTGTGTTCAGGGAATTCCTGGAACCAGACTTGAGCGAAGTTCCAGAGAGCTCGTGCTGAGTTCTCAGTACCACGGGTGGTGAGATTGTAATTTTCACTGGGATAGGTACCGACGTAGAAGCTGTTGTTTTGTGAGGGGACAGGACCATTTTCAAAGTCGACCACTTCAAGATCACCTGTGTCTAGATTGGTGGTGATGTTGACCAAGCTATCGTAGCTCATACCAACTTGGACGGGCTGGTCGAGGTATAGCATGTTGACTTTGCTGTTCAGCCTTTGTCTTGTATAGATCGGATGTGATAATTCGGATGAACTCACCCTCGTTGTTCCATGACCACTCGTTGAGATAAGTACTATTAGAGTCGGCGCCAATGAAGCAAGGTCCATTTTCACGCAACAGGCCAACGAAAGAACTAGAGCCAGGTCCACCTCAACAATGTCAGTGAAGGTCACAAGAGGCATTGGTAAGTCGCCTACCGTTCATCCAAATTGATAGAGGGGCATTTGCAGGATCTTTCCTCGATTCAAAGAACCAAAAATAAGTATTGATCTCATATGTTTGGTTTTCGACTCCAAGGTCGGCCAGTGCTCCAACCGGGAGATGAACATAACCGGAGAAGCTTCGGACGCCTTCGGTGGTTTCGCAAAGGTCAGTCTGGTGATAGTTAGTGGACATTTCAGGTAACGTACGAAGAATTAACCTGCCTCTTTGTACGAGATTGTGACTCCCTCATCAAGCTGAGACTCTAGGATGGTTATGCCTTCTGGCTTTGGAGGGAATTGGGCGTTGACGACCCCGCTCAAAAGACCGGCTGCTCCGAGTAGAGAGAACCCAAAGGCAGCCATGATGATGATCAACGTGCGAAGAGTTCTACCTCTCCACTTCCTGGCACGCGTAGCCTTTGGAAGGGTATGTAGCTTCAGTCTTTATAGTACGTCGCACGACATTGGGGTACATTGATGCAGCTGCATATCGACCAGGTACGAGCTTGCATGAGCTTACATGTCAGGTATCGAGCTTCCTGATTGAGCTATAGCGCGCGCACCGTTGCAGCGGCGCTGATCTGAGGCAGCCCATTCATGACGTCGAATCGCCTCTTAGCGAAGTGATATGGGCGGGGAACAATGCATGGCCAAGACTGCCAAGGATGCTTTTCGTCACTTGTTTGTTCGGCAATGTCTTGGTTGATCAGTTACCTGTTGAGTGGGGTAATAGGATTGTTACTGAGTAGCGCATGGGGAAGGTGGTGAAGCCCGCGGTGATAAGAGAGCCAAAGTACCGAGCAAGTGGAGCACGGCGGGGAGTATAGTTCGGTTCGGTTTTACTCTTGCACGCATTAAATCTGTCAAATGATCAGCACGCAGTACCAAAGGTCAAAGCCAAGATCTACCTTATACACAAGTAGCCCAAGCAATGAGCGGCGCATTGCCAATGTCGCTACATGTTCCGGATATGGCAAACTGCAAGTTGTTCCCACTTCGACGTAGGGTTTCGACTGTGGTTGGAATCTTTCCATAGAACGCGGTTTTAGCGTTGTGCATTTTTTATCGATGAATTTGTATACAGTGGATATAGTAGCAATCCGATAGTTGTTGCTAACGCGAAGATGGGAACAAAGGGGGCAAAAACCTCCCTGAAGAAAGGCCTCATTCGAGTACCCAATGCGCCACAGAACGCCAATCGCAATTGCCTTCCCAATAACACCCAGCAAATATGCAGACAGAGTTTACATCGCAAAGGAGATGGCCCAACTTATTCTAAACTTGGGTCCAATACAACTAAACATTGGGTATCTGTCAAAATCATATTCTCACAGCTTAGACAGGCGCGCCCCAAGCTGCGCGTAGACGACGAGCGAGCTGTATGTCTTTCTGTTGTATGGTGACACGCTTGGCGTGGATAGCGCAAAGGTTTGCGTCGTGGAAGAGGTTGACAAGGAAGGCTTCGGTGGCTTCTTGTAGGGCTACAATGGCTTGACTTTGCCATCTGTTGGGACCATCCTCGGTTGTGACTGTTTGCGCAATCTCGCGGACCTGGAAGGGCATTAGTTAATGGTGTGGTGCTGTACACATAGCCGGTGCTTACGAGGCGTTGGAATGGGAGTTTCAGGAGAAGCAAGTCGGTCGACTTCTGGTAGCGCTTGATCTCACGGAGAGCGACGGTGCCAGGCTTGTAGCGCTTCTTCGCGCGATCTGGCGCAGGTCCTGCTTGGCCAACTGTGCGCATGTCAGCTCAGATGCGCAGACTCGTCAGTTATACATAGAACGTACGTCGCTTGCCCGAGTCCCTCCTGCTTCCAACACTTGCTCTTCCGCCCCGCGAGGGCCGCGCCTTGTTGCGCCTTGTTGGAGATTTCGGTGGCATGACGATGTTGGTATGTGGGAATGCTGCACAGCGTGTTGGAATCTGGAGGGACGCGATGCGCCGAAAGAATGCGCGCGGTGGGAGGGGTCAGGGCGCGTTCACGTCACGAAAAGTCGCGAGATGCCAAAGCGCGTCGGGGATCACTTGGTACAAAGTCGAGTCTCGCGGACAAACGTCGTCGTCAAGAATAGCGATGAAATGGCATGGAAGGGTCGCGATGGCGGATGAAGCACGGGCGCATTGTTCTACTTGGTGGGCATTGTGGCTGGTCCGCTTTCACCCAGGGCAGGAGCTTGGACCGTGTCGACTGTCCGGCGGGTCGCGGAAGGTACGATCGTGTGGTGATTGGACTAGCGCCTTGGCAGACCGTCGGACAAGTTACGTAGCCACATGGGGTCCATCTGTCACTCGGAAAGTGACTGCGTTTGCTGGGCGACACCTGTCCCTTCGTTTTATATCCGGTTGTTGGTGCTGGAATCTGCTTCTTCCTCGCTTTCCTGGTTCCGTCTTGTTCCCAAAGCAACCATTCCACCATGGCGAACGTCTTGCAAGGAGGGGACGGCATGATGGGAGGAGGGGTCGGAGGCTTTCCGCTCGAGCAATGGTTCTACGAGATGCCCGTATGTACGCGTTGGTGGATGACGGCGGCGCTGAGCGCAAGTGTGCTGGTGCAATGCCACATCATCTCGCCTTTCCAGCTCTTCTACAGTGTGCGCACTGTCTTCTTCAAGAGCCAGGTCAGTCCATTCCCATGCTTGAGAATCGCTGCTTGCGCTGACACCCGATAGTACTGGAGACTACTCACTACCTTCTTCTACTTCGGCCCACTCAGCCTCGACCTCCTATACCACATCTTCTTCCTCCAACGATACGCGCGACTGCTCGAGGAATCGTCGGGCCGCTCAACAGCACACTTCGCATGGCTTCTCACCTTCGCGTCTACGCTCCTCCTCTGCATTGCGCCCATATTCTCCATGGCCTTCCTCGGCTCGGCTCTGTCCAGCACGCTCATCTACATCTGGAGCAGGAAGAACCCAGACACAATGCTCAGCTTTCTCGGGCTATTGGTCTTCAAGGCGCCGTACTTGCCTTGGGTGCTGTTGGCCTTTTCGCTGATCATGCACGGGACGGTACCCAAGGATGAGATGTGCGGCATCGTTGTCGGTCATAGTATGTCTTCTCCCTCAACTCTTTAGCATGTCGACTAATCATTATCAGTTTGGTATTACCTCAACGATATTTACCCGCCGCTCCATAACAACCACAGCCCGCTATTCCCACCTGCCTGGTGGATCCGTCTGTTCGAAGGGCCTCCCGCTACCGCGGAGGAGCCTGTCGAAGATGAGGCAGCGATGGACACGGACGTAAACGCGAACGGCCATGACAACCGGGTGGACGCTGCACAATAAGCACCATCATAGACACGTGCATTTATATCTGGCGTTTGGCGAACACTCATGGTTTTGAGATACCCTAGCTGTCGTTGATGCATTGATAGTGTGCATTAGCCTTGTATATGCATCTACTAGACATGGACAGAATTGCTTACCTTGCTCATATTCTCTCCTAATGCTTATCTCCGTTGTGCCATTGGGGTTGTCCAATCAAAGTCTACAACATGCTCTTTGCGAGAGGCTCAAGCTGTAGACAACTACCCAGCTCCTGCCTGTCTGGGCGTAGAACCTTCCTATCCGGGCTAGCATCTCCGCAGACCTGCATATCATCGCTCATACTCTACCGGGTCTCGATCGAACACCGCAGCCATGGAACGGGCATGGCCGATACCGTCGGGACTATTGGTTGACAGAAATTGCCATCACAAGTTGCTTATAATAACGCGTGCCCTCCAATGTGAACGTTACCAAGTTTTCTTCCTGTCCTTCACTACGAACAGTCCGATCACAGGCCAGTCAACCTCCACCGTCTTAACATGGCGCCATCCAAGTCACTCCTGCCTCTCCTCGCGGCTGTCCCCTACGCTTCGGCTTGGGGCTCTCTGGGTCACACCGCGGTCGCATACATGGCGCAAAATCTCGTCTCTCACAAGACGGCCAAATTTGCCCAAACTCTCTTGAACGACACCTCGTCCGCATACCTAGCCAACGTGGCAACCTGGGCCGACAGCTACCGCTATGAGGCTGGAGGACAGTTCAGTTCTGTCTACCACTACATCGATTCTCTGGACAACCCGCCTGAAAGCTGCAACGTCGACTACGAGCGTGACTGTTCCGAAGAAGGTTGCATCGTTTCTGCTATCGCCAACTATTCCAGCCGCGCTTTCCAGAAGTCTGTTGGTATCGTTGAGCAGCAGAAAGCTCTCAAATGGGTCATTCACTTCATTGGTGATATCCACCAGCCACTACACGTAGAGAACATTGCCGTGGGTGGCAACCTCATTAATGTCACCTTCAACGGCGCGCACACAAATCTCCACTCTATCTGGGATACAGCAATCCCCCAAAAGGCTTACGGCAACTTCTCTCAAGCCAATGCATTAGCTTTGGCCAATAATCTCACCGCAGAAGTGAAGCATGGCAAATTCAAGAAAGAGAGCAAGATATGGCTCAAGGGCTTGAAGGCGAAGGATGCAGTCAGCAGCTCCATGACCTGGGCTCGTGACGCCAATAGATACGTGTGCTCTACTGTCATACCTAATGGTCCTGATGCAGTATTCGCGCAAGAGCTGTCAGGAGCGTACTGGGACACTGCTATTCCAGTCGTCACCAAGCAGCTCGCAAAGGCAGGATACAGGCTTGCCGCTTGGCTCGATGCTATCGTTGAGCTCAATGAGAAGAAGGGTCATGGAAAGTGGGTGCGAGAGGAGAAGAGGGCAGTCAACCTACAGCCATGGCAGGAAGAAGCAAGGCAGGCCCGACGTGAATTTGGGCCTGACTGTGGATGTGGTGAGGAGCATGCGCATTAAAGGACTTCATTCAGAATTTCGGTGGATTCGTACAGTTGAAGGATGTAGACTATATGACGAGATATCGAGACGACAATGATGAGACAATCTGCTCATTAATGCAACGCTGGCCAGCAACTGGATCACAGTGCAGTGCGTATCGTTTTTATGCCTTACCTCGATCCGACAGGACATAGGGGCTGCCGAACGGCACGTGTCGCGGTTACTCAGCACCCGCCGGCGTTTCGCACTCTTCTCCCGTGCCGTCTACATTCCACCGTTTACTGACCATGTATCCACTGCGATCCACCGACGAGTGTCTGCGATGGGCAGGCCATCAGCGCGACGAGCATGCGACAGGTGCCATGCCGTAAAAGAGAAATGTAGGCGCATCCCTGGCCAGGACACGTGCGAACGATGCATCCGACTTCAGAACTCGTGTCAGACCCTACGACCAGTCGGGACAGCCGGACGCAAACCTCGGTACCAACGCACTGAGGATACCACACGCTGCCAGCTACACACGGCTCGGAGCGATAGCAGCCTTTCTGTTGCTGCTTCATCACCACAATGCCCAGCCTCGGCCGCCACCCCAGCTATGCCGGATTGGGACTTAGTATCGCTGCCCAGGGCCCCACCCTTATTCGCCGACCTGACTGAGCGGGAACTGTACCTTGTCAAGAGCGTCTCCCAAGGACGAACGCGCATCGACCAGTTCTTAATCTCGTCAAGCTTTCGCATCTGCCACCACAGAGCCTTTGCGCAACAACTCCACAACGCCACTTCATGGGTTCAAGACTCGTTGATCGCCACGGCAGCTCTCCTGGCTTGCGAGTATGAGCCTGGTTCCGGCCATGAGGACCGAGTCATCGGCCACAGACGCGCAGCTTCTGCAGTTTCCACATTGCGGTCTGTGAAGAACGTCGATTCTGGAGTCCTTCCTACTGTTCTGATGCTTTCAGTAAGCGCAATCACCTTTGCCCTACATATTTCGGGACAATCGTTGGAGATATGCCGATACAGCCTCGACCTCATTAAGCCCATATACGAGTCGACAACGAAACTTACCTCAGACTGTCTCGCCTTCGTCATCTGTCTCGTTCAAGCCGAGACTGAAGAGTGTATTTTACGGGGCGAGGTACCAACCTTACGATTCAAGGCTGAGGGACTAGATGATGTCGTTGATCGATACCTAGGCATCGCATGGCCCATGTTGCCATACCTTTACGACGTTTGCAAGATCGCCAATTCGCTACGCCATGACAAACACCTTGATATATCTGAAATTACTCAAGCTTTAGACGCAATTGAAGTGGCCGTTGAGGGATGGATACCAAGAATGCCCGAAAGCCACATTACTCGCTTCTTGCAAGAAGAGCTGGCTAGTATTTTGGCTCAAGCAAGACTATATCGCTGGTCCGTTTTACTTATCACACACCGACTAAGACGTCCATATGGTGCAGCGGCAGCAAAAGGGACGGTCATCTCAAATGCCATCCTAGAAGAGCTGCGCTTGATTCTCCAGTCCACCGGGCGCTCGGTACCAGGTGCCAATATCCCGTACATGTTCGCTTGCTTTGAGTTGGTCGATCCAGCTAAACGCAAAATGGCGCTTGAGAAGATTGACGCTGTCGTTGAATTTTCCAAAGAACTGAGAATCAAGGTCAAGAAGCAATTGACAGCGTTTTGGATCATCAAAGATAACACGGATCAAATCCATTGGAGGGACATCATCTCATGGCTTCCTCAATGACAAACTTGGAATTGAAACTACACAGCTCAGACGTCTTTTGGCTTTGTATATTACGATCAAATGCACCTCGACATACTGCAGTGTCCTTCTGAATTTGGCTGTCACGAGAGCAGCAATGTACCCTACTCAAGTGTTCGATGAGCTGGCTGTCGCATCGCCATCCGCCTATATTTCTCCGCCGTTGCGATCCTAATCTTCTTGCCCCACACTAGCAAGGGTATAGGAAGCAGCAGGACCGCGAAGCAAAAGGCTGCCGTAATGATACACACGTTTTGCAACCCCATATCCTTGGTCCATGGTGTGACCGCGAAAAGAATAACGACTGCGAACAAATTTCGGACGAAGACGATACCTATCATGACGTCCCCGAGGATCTGAACATGTGCAAGTCAGCAATTGTTGTGCATTCAAGAAGCGCAACGTTGCCAGCTTACCTCTTGATAGCAATCTGTCACATACGCAAGGGCAATGCCGCTAGCCAAGACGAATGTGAAGCCGAACAAGCCGAATCCCACGGCTAACACTATCCAATGCACGCCCTGATGGTACGGTTAGTGTCGGACAATAACCATCGAAACCTCTGAACATACTCTCACCAAAGCCAGCCCGAACATTAGAATACCCGCTGGAAGCAGCACTGCCGAAGCAAGAGCAAGCCACAGTCGCATTTCTGGTTCGTATATTCCTCGATTTCGTCTGGCAAACCACATGATCGACCTGTCATTCAGGAAACCGCCGACGAAAAAACCCAAGAACGAGCCAGTGAAAGGGGCAATGTTCATGAGTCCTACTCCAGATGGCCCGAAGCTGTACGGCGGTTGCAGCAGATAAACCGCCTGTAGCGAAGACATCAGTGCCAAGCACGCAAGTACCGTACCATAGGTGAGAGCGGCGTAGCCGACCGCGGGGAAAGTGAGCAACACTACAACTGGTTGGTAGAAATGGTGGCCGATCGGTTGTTTGGAAGGAGTGAAGAGGGCCAAGCGCTGGCGATACGTTTTCCGTGGCAAGTTCGTGTCGATTCTAGATTGCACTCGCTCCATGCTACTGTGTATGGCGTCCCCTTTGACGTCTGCAACTTTCTGCGACTCCGAGTTGGCATGAATGGTGCTCGGTCCATGTGAGCCAGAAACACCATGGGTTACACTGCGACCGTTGAGAACTGGCACATACTTCGACTCTTCGAAGAAGAATAAGACGAGCGCGAGATTCAACGACAAGAAGATTGTGCACCACCACCAAATCCACCTCCAACCCTGGGATTCCACCACGAATCCGGAGGCTACTGGTCCGAGGGATGCACCCACGGATGTGAAAATGAGGTACCATGCGTTCATGGTTCCATGTTGGTGCACAAAGTACAGATCGGCAATGGTGATTTGTACAACAGCCTCGCTGATGGCACCTCCTAGTCCAGCAAGAAAGTTGCTGCCCATCCAGTCACCGTACGTCCTGGTCTTGGCCTGCCAAATCACAGAGCTCAATTGCAGTGCTGAGCTGATAAGGTATAGTGGCCGTCGCCCAAACTTGTGTACGAATGGCATGAAGATCATACAGCCGACCGCGAGTCCAGCACAAGACATAGCGGCTCCGTTATTCAGCTGGTCGACAGTGAAGTATAGTTCACGCATCAGGGACCCCCAGGATGTCGAGCCTGTCTGCAGCTGTACGAATGTCCAAAGCACAAAAAAACCGACTAGGCCAAAATTGATGGATTTTCGTAGTTTGCTCCAGTTTAAGGGATCGTCTGGATCAGAGCTTGGTACAGGTTGAAGGATGACATCTGACGCGGGTGTTGTCACTAGACGTTGGCTGTCAGGATGCGATCTTACTAGCAATAAGTGCTAAGCCTTACTATCCTCCAACCGGATGGTACCAGGCGCCCAGAAGTTTTCACCCTCCCCTCTCTGGGAGTTCGTGTCGGCCATCGTCGCTGAGGGATAAGGATCACAATGAATACACTACAAGCTGCTATCCACCCCAAGCATACAGCTTGTAGGATGAGTATTGACCCTTATCATTTCCCAGGCTTTCTTGCGTATATATATCGAATCGAATCCTCAGGCGGTCTTATTCCGTTCTGTGCCGTCCCCGCAACTCTATCCTGAACCCCGGAATACATGTTTCCGCTAACGAACGGGCCTAATCGAACGAATTGTGTAGCGAACAATCCCCCGGCTTGGCGTTGGCGGCTGTGGGGTAGCAATGCGCTAACGACTGCCGCTCAGACACGAAACGAGAGTACGTACTGACCGGCAAGATAACAACACCGTATCACGTTATCTTGTAAACGGAATCGAGACCACACTTTCGTCAGCCGAGGCTACATTCTACGGCAGCCGAGGGTACTACTAATATACATATTCAAGAAGGTGCCGATGCTCATCGTTGGTACCATTGCGTCTGCCCAGCCGTAGTCCAACCAACAACTCGCAGATTCCACTCATCACTCGAACATGGCTATCACTGCATGGGAAAGCAAAGTTGCTGCCAAACAACAAGCTGGCCGTGACAAGATACCAAAAGAATGGCTTCTTCCGGCATCCGTCATGAACTTGCTTCGAGTACCGCTTCCAGAGCATCCAAATCGCATAATCGAGATGGACATCCCGCGGCAATCGGGAATTTTGAGTGAGAAAGAGCTGAATATAACGGAGAAGTACACCGTCGAAGAACTGTTGGAACAGTTGAGGAAGGGTGTTTTATCGTCGCTAGAAGTTACGATAGCTTTCTCCAAGAGAGCAGCCATGGCGCAGCAACTGGTTCGTTTGAGTTCTTTCCAGAATGCCAACGAGTTGACTGACACAGTATCCTAGCTCTCTTGCCTTACAGAGACATACTTTCCTGAAGCACAAGACCGAGCACGCTTCCTCGACAGTGAAAGAGCTGCGGGCCGTCTCGTTGGTCCCCTTCATGGCTTGCCTATAAGTGTCAAAGACGGTTTCCAGATCGCCGGAACAGCGGCAACTATCGGCTTTGTCTCTTTCCTGGATCATGCATTATCGGAGAAGAACTCACCGCTTGTGGAGATCCTGCTGGAGCTTGGTGCAGTTGTATATGTCAAGACTAACATTCCGCAGACCCTGATGGCAAGTACACTATCTTATCGTGACCTTGAGAGGGATCATACACTAATGTTGCATAGACGGCAGACTCACATAACAACATCTTCGGGCGGACGTTGAACCCTCATAATACTGCTTTGACGGCGGGAGGCTCTAGTGGAGGCGAAGGAGCGCTCATTGCATTCCGAGGATCTCCTCTTGGTATCGGAACAGACATTGCAGGTTAGTACATATCTTTGAGTTTGTAGCTATCACCCTCACTGACCAAAACCAGGCTCTATCCGTATACCGTCCCTCTGCTGTGGCACGTATGGATTCAAGCCTTCTACAGCGCGTATTCCATTTGGTGGCCAGCCTTCTCCTGTGCGAGATGGCATGTCCTTCTTCGAGCCATCCGCTGGCCCGTTGGCAAACGACATACAAGCACTGCGTATCCTATGTCGGTCAGTCTTGTCAACGAGACCGGCCATGTACGACGCCACCGCTCTCGACGTCCCTTGAGAGACCTGAAGTACCGCCGAGCGCGCCGAAATTGAGACTCGGTCTTTTGACCGAAGACTCAGCCTTCCCGTTGCACCCACCGGTTAAAAGAGCACTGGCTCAAGCGGTCAGAGCACTAGAAGCCAAGGGTCACCAGGTTGTTCCTATATCGCCGTTGCGCGCACAAGTCTCCAATGCGCTGGCTCTCGGGTTTGCCTATTTTGGGCTTGATGAGCCCCCAGCGCATATAGCCGCTAGTGGTGAGCCTCTTGTACCGTCTGTGATTCAGGCTATGCAGACATTTGGCAGCTTCAAGTGCGATTTTCTGGCCGACTGCGAAGGTCTACAGGGCATACCAAGGGTGGCAGCACTTAATGTGAAGAGAGAGTCTATCGCGGATGAGTGGAGGAAGGTATGGAGGGACGAGAGACTGGATGCGGTAATCGGACCGGCGGCGCAGAACACTGCGGTTGCGCATGACACGTACGGATTACCGCCGTATACGTTGCTGCTAAACGTACTGGATGTAAGTTGTAGTCAAGCATCCGAAAATGCTAAGAAAGGAATATTGCTAACGGCCGTGCCAGTATCCCGCATGCATCATACCTTTCGGCAAAGCATCGAGTGCTCTTGACGCCGAGCACTTCACCATGGGCTCTGACCAAGTAGGTCCAAGCTGTAAGTTGTCATCTCCTGACTTTACATACTGTTGTTGAGATACAGGCTAATGTGTGCTGCGCACAGACGATCCCAAGGTCGTAGACGGCGCACCGACTTCGATACAAGTCTTCACGAATAGGATGCGCGATGAAGAATGTCTGCAGGTGGCCACTATTGTCAATGAGTGCTTGAGGACTGTGTAGGCTGGATAGCGCGTTAGCACCTGATCAAACGCACTTGAGCATTCTTCAGATCCACAATCGTTAACCTTTCAATCGAGAAGTACCAGTCTGACGAGAAGGCGGTGAGTGCACAGAAGCAGTAGCTTTCCTCTTGCATTGCTCTCGCATGCTGTAGGCGGTATATGCCGTGTCAACCGGTTGCCCGACCTGCTGTAGCGCCGCCTCCTTCTTCTTAGTAACTAGGCGAACTGTAATGTTCTTCCAAAAACCGCAGCGCGAATACTTTCGCTATTGCTAGCGCGGCTCAGTCCTCATCCCGATATTGAAGATAATGAGCGTCGTCCATGTCGTCTAACACGAGATGCCATTGCTGCTTGTAGTTCTGGAGCTGATAGTGCATCAGCTTGATGGTACTCGCCTGCGCTCCTCACGGTCTAGCGATCTGGACCTGGTCGGGCGATGTCGTGGTAGCTTCGCTTAGACTGGGCGATGTTGCTGGCATGCATCTCAAACACAAAGTTCGAGCACGACTTGTCGTGCATCGTATAATCATGCTCGATGACGAGCTGCATTTTGCTTTTCTGTAGTGAGTATGTAACGTTGGCCAAGTAGCTTTCCGTTCACCTCATGCCGCTAGGGGACATGAGCGCAGCCCGCGAGTCCAGGAGTCTGGCGCAGCGTATAGTTAGCTCAACGGGTCGAGTGTTGTGCCCCGATTGGCAAAGTCTTTGTCCTGAGCAAAGAGTCCAAGAATTGACAAGTGTGGTGGGGTTTTTGCGGGATTTTTGCGGGATTTTTGCGGGGTTTTAGCGCTGCTTAGGAGCTAAAGATCTCGGATAGTCCCGCAACTCAACGGGCGGTGGATAGATAGCAGTGCTCACTAGGCGGTTGGAAAGGCCGTTGTTGTAACAGTTCTGTGGTGTGATAATCAGCGCTGCCGTATGCGGCGCAGTCTCGGCTGAGTTTCAGTCTGGAGTATTTGCATACGCTCTTGTACCGATTGACTTTTACTTAGTCTCTGCTAGGCGACTCCTATTGATGGAAACCCTGTGTACCACACTGGCGCTTGGCGACTCACGTGTAGGTTATGTTAAATTCTATACATCCATACGCGAAACCCGATACTGATACCATACTTTGTGTCTGCCCACGATAACATTGCAGAAACGGGTTACAACACACGTGATGCTTCTCGTGGACTACTCTCGTAGGCTAAGATTTGGAAAGGGAAAAGGGCCCATACCACGTCTTACATGCGTCGTACGACATTTTGAATTGTAGCAGAGAAGCCACATCACTTAGACGGCACCTGCAATTCGGTGAATGCAAATGTGTTTAGGATTCAAGATCACTCCACACCCCGCACTGTATGCTTTTCTAGAGGCTTGTTAGGGTCTAGTAGATGTTTGCGGGGAACGGTCCGATCATCAGGCCGCATAATCGGTAACTGGCTGACCCATGCTGCTTCTACACATCATCTACATAGGCGTTTTGATACACCTACTAGCTGTGAATACCAAGCGGGTACATCTCTCACTCACATTGAGAGCTTCGTCGGAGGCGTCTTACGACGCTGCTTAGTGAGGTACGGGACTGCACGTATTACTCGTTCGTATAAACAAGCTACTGGGTGTAGTAGACTCCTCTGATGTGGCAAGCGCTGATTTGATACCCTAGTTTACATAGAACGCCTATGTAAACTAATAAGGGCCGGTCCTTTCCGCATGGTTTGGCACACCTAGCGCCTAGCTAAGCCTTGGCCTTCAAAAGCAATGAAGTCGCAGGTATTGATGCGCATTTTTTGGTATCATCAGGTGATGGGTGCAGGAACATGGAAGATCTTCGTAGCCATTATGCATACGACCATGTTCACGTAATGGCAACTGCAAAGGTGACTGCGTGTCAGACGACAAGATCATCTGCCATGGAACAAAACTCGATCATGCAAGTTTTATTTTGATGATGCTTAGGCTAGCAACACCTTAGTCTTGGGGCTCTCACCTGTATGAACCTCATCGAATGTGTAAGAATGATCAGAGATACAAATCTTGACAAGTGACATAAGACTGGCATGATACAGATGTATCAACTTCTTTTTTCCTTGGAATGCTACCAACATCTCTGGCTGCTATCCACGCAATCCTTTGATAGTTTCATAATCCACAAAGCTAAATGAGCTTAGCATGATGCATATGTACAATACTTTTGTTTTCTCGGAGTGTTCCCATTGCCTCCAGTCGCTATCAACCCCATTTTCTATTTTCGTCAACGCTAAGAAGATAGGTCAGACCTAGAACTGAAACAAGGAAAGGCACATCGACTTCTTGAATAGCTCCATGACAATATAAATACATCCAGTTCAGGCACTGTGGAAAGATACAGCCTGCTTCTTGTGACTTCACATCATCATTACCAGTTTACCTTTCTTCTACCACTCCGAAGTCAGTATTCCCTTGATGACGCCTGATACAAATCTGATTTTAATACACTTAGACCTCGAACAACACTCAAACATGGGCTCTACATCCATTGCTATGCGTCCCTGGATCTCTGTTGAATCCTGGGGCCCAGACCGCCTTGATGTCGTTGGGATCGGTATGGATGACCAGATGTACCGCAAGAGGTTCGACAGAGGCGACGGTGGCTGGAAGCCTAGCGTTGATGCTGCATGGGAGCCACTAAGTGGCAAGTTCAAGCAGATCCCCGCGGCCATTTCCTGGAGTTTCGGTCGACTTGACATTTTTGGCATCGGTCTCAACAACCAGATGTACTACAAGGCGTGGGGAAACAACAGGAAGACAGGAGGTTCTTGGATTGTTAGCGACTGGCAGTCCATAGAAGGTGGGTTCAAGAGCCCACCGGTACCTGTCTCCTGGGGCAATGGACGAATCGACCTCTTTGGCATCGGCATGGACGATCAGATGTATCGCAAGGTTTATGGGGGACAGTGGAGCCCGGGAGGCTGGGAACCACTAACTGGCAAGTTCAAGAGCCCTCCGGCAGCGGTGTCATGGGGTAGTGATCGACTCGACGTCTTTGGGATTGGTTTGGACGACCAGATGTACCACAGGGCATGGGAAAGTAAAGCATGGACTACTTCAAGTTGGACTCCGATGACTGGCAAATTCAAAAGCCAACCCATCGTTGTATCGTGGGGCCAAGGCAGACTTGACGTCTTTGGGATTGGGATGGATGACCAGATGTACCACAAAGCGTACAATGGAACAAACTGGGTGACCAAAGAGTGGAAGGGAATCAATGGCAAGTTCAAGAGCGTCCCGTCAGCGGTCTCATGGGGTCAGGGCCGCATCGACGTTTTCGGCATTGGACTAGATGACCAAATGTACCACAAGGCATACGACAATGGTGGCTGGGTGGGTGACTGGAAGGGAATCGGTGGTAAATTTAAAAGCGCTCCAGCAGCTGTCTCGTGGGGCAAGGGACGAATCGACGTTTTCGGTATCGGAATGGACGATGGAGTTTGGCAGCAATACTACTCGAACAACGCCTGGGCTTCGAAGTGGGGAGGTTTGGGTGGAAAGTTCAAGACGTTCTAGGCGTCCTAGGACTGTGCAGACCTTTCGGGTCCTTTTGGATCTTCAGTATAGGATCACAAGCTCAGCACAGGTTCTTCTGGTTCAACATTGGTAGAATCTTGCCAGCGGTGAGCTTGATTATGTAGTCGCAGAGCAATCACAGTTCTTCGCTTTAGATTACAATCTATATTTGATCAACCGTCGTCGTGAATGCGAGCAAGATGTGCAATTTTAAGGATTTTATCAATGATCAATCACAGCGACAAGGACACTCGGTATAGAAAGACCACATACCAATATTCCAGGTGAAGAAACTTGATGCATGACTAGAAGGCTCTAGACATCTAACAACTACAGGCTTGTTACTTCGACCGGACTCTATTCTGAAAACTAGCTGTCAAAGTTGGCTGACCGGGTCGATGATTTCACCTGGAGCCTACGTCAACGTGGTACCGGGCTCAGCGAAAGTCGCATGAGAACCAATTCAGGCTTCGGGCGCATCCGCGCGGCATAGAAGGGCGACAGGGCGGATACTTTCGTCGTTCGAGTCGGCGTTACGATATTCTAAAGGAAGGAATTGCTTTTGTTTCACTCACCACCAAAATCTATCTTTGGGACGATGATGGCGATGCGGCTACGATTAGATGGATAATGGGGCCAAACGACGTGGACGTTTGGTAGTATTACTGAGGATCGTATGATGCCTTAGGTGACGACCGATCGATGTATCGGAGTCGATTTCGCGCATCAGTAGTGGTAAACCAGGTTGCAGATAGCAGGTGGTGTCATAATTTAGTGATGCAGCAAATAATCTAGCCTCTTCCTTCTGGTGCAATCATAGGGTGCCTTTACCAGCTTTGCTTACGGGCCCGACGCTGTTGTGCTTGCATCACAGCAAGAGGCTCATCGCAGATGTTAAAGTATCGTCCTTTACGGCGCGGGTAGTAGCAGCATGTGTCATTCAAGGTGGACACAGTGTGGCATCACGATATGAGGGTATGCGTATGGTCCAGTGGCCGCGAGCGACAGGCCGAGGCAAATCTGATGCCCCTGTATCCAAGCCGAGTTCCACCGGCCAAGCCCCTCGGCCCGCCACGTGGAAGAGGGTCAGTTCATGCCAAACGCTAACTAAACAAGACCGCGACCTTCACGACCGGGTTAGACTGACTGACTGCGTTTCGTACCTTGTTATAGAACACACTATCAATCGATGTTCAGACACATGCAACACTACCTACGCGGGCAGCCAGAGAGTCATCCACATTGAGCATATTGGATGTGCCGAAGCTATCTACGACATGTCGGCCACGACAAGACACAAATATATTCACATAGATTCACGTCTTCTTGGACATAAAACCATCTATGGTTGTGTCGGAATCTCGTCGCTTGTACTGCAGAACCTGAGGGTGGGTAGCTCAGACACACTTATGCTTGGTGGGCGATTTAGGTGCTCCCAATCTATACAAATAAACAATGTCTTGTTTGCCAAAAGTATCATTAATAGCTTCATCAGCGGGCTATACCCAGAAACGATCTAGCTTTGTGATCAGACCGAGCATCGCTCTCAAACGTCACCGTAACGGTGTTTGTCTGCATGATGTGATCGTCCTCGTATGCCGTCAAGCGGCGAACTCTTCCCATCTCTTCGTCGTCTAATATACCCCTCTGACTCGAGTCATCTCCATTGTCCTCGATCACAGTCCACCGGCCCTCTTTTCCTTTTTCCATCGCGTGCACGGTCGTGGTAGTTGTAGAGTGTTGACTTTGGTTTAATCTTGACAGCGGTACGCTTTTGTTTGTTCGGGTATGCGAGCGTGAATAAGAAGATATGGTTTCCTTGAAGAACACACGGAGGACAGGAATGGAAGCGGCAATAATGGCGGTTGCTGTCTCGACGGCAGTCCAGATTGTGAGCTCCTTGCCGTTGTATGAGAAGTCTTTCTGGCCAAGTTGAATGACATACACCCCCTTCACGATTGCGCAAACACCAGATCTGGGAACTCATGTTAGTATTACTTCGAAACAATCTCTCTGGTGAGCAGGGTCGGTACGAAGGCACTTACAATACACCCATGCTCATAGCAATGCCCACTCCAATCTTCTCGCGGAGCTTCAGCTGTAATCCCCATATCAGATACCATGGTAAAAGCGCGAGCGCAAAATCCGCCGCAGCGCACCACGCAGCATTGAAAATACCATAGTTCACGGAGCGAGTGGGATCCCAGCAGGTCCCTGGAATAGTGTCGTTCCAGGCCTTCTCCATCGGGTGGCACCGAACCCATGTAGCCAGCGCACTTGGCAGCATTATGAGAAAGAGAGTCACGATGCAGAACCATACGAACCAGCGCAGGTAGCTTGTCGTGAGGCGGAGTAGCGTGACGCCAAAGGATATCTTCGAAAATGTGGATGCGAAACAAGATATCGACGCGGCAACGGACATGCCGAGGGAGATAGTGGTAAGGTACTTGACTGGAATATCTTCCATTCGCTTTCCGAACCCCAACTGCTGTCCTGCTTGGGTGATGGCGGCCTGGGCAAGTAGAAGGGCCTGTTCACACAATGTTAGCCCAATCGGGTTTATCATACGATGTAAACTAACCCATGAAATGGTCAAGATGTGATCATCCCACCAAAGACCTTGTCTGCGACTCGTCTTCGCATACAGCCTCACAGCCAAAAAACCACCACTCAATACCGTCAACATCCATGTTACGCCAGCAATTACAGGGCCATTATCCGGTACACCCATTTCTGTGCGCTCAGTCTGGAGGACCCCCAGTCTTTATCAACCAAAGTGAGTATGCGCTCATGCGTGATGAGCATCCATGTGAAGATAGAAGAAACAAGCAAAGATAGGCGGCCGTGGGTTGCGGGGGATGAAAACCATGAAGCAGTATCAGCCCAGACACTTTGGACACGGTCCCAACCATACCCAAGCCGGCGGTACATTATCTCGGCATTCGCCGAATTCTGTGGCGGAAAGGAAATGTGGTAGTTATGGGATGCTGGATTGTCCACTCGACACGCGACGTGGTGCGTTTGGAATTGGTACACTAGAAGCATGTCCTCGGGAAGTGGAGTCAGATCAGGCTAGCGTGGCGTAAACACTACATGTTTTCCTCGTGTCTTGCAATCGGTTGGAATGCATCATTCGGGCATTAAGCCTGTCCGAGGAGGCGGCACCGTTAGCAGAATATCCGGCAGTGAAATGGAGCCGAGTGATGAAGCAGGGACGAAAATGCTCGAGGGAACGCGATCGCCCAACATGGTGAACAAGGATATTCCTTCCAAGTACCTGGCTCCCGGAGATGACGAGGCGGCAGGTAGCTGTTGCAACCTGATGGACGGAGTTGAATTGTTAACATGGAGCGGCGGGCGCCCCATGCAGATGTGCGCCTAGGGGGTCTCAGATCAAGCGGGATGCGCGATCGCTTGTGCGATTTGTCGGACCGATCTGTGCAACCGACTGATCTCACATTCTAGACCGTTAGCCTCTTTTTCAACAATCGCATGCGTATGTGCAATGCGGCGATCGCACAATGGCTGTCAATTCGATGGCATTTCGGCAGTTCAGAGTAGACTTTCGGTGACAGAAGCTTTCAAAACACCGGGTGCAGAAGTTCTCGGGTTTCTCGTGTGTGGCGCTGGAGTGACGCGGCGTCGGCATCAAAAATCCGGCACTATCGACGGATGGCGCAGAAATAGAGTTCGCGCCACGTTGGAATGCAAGACACTCGCTAGCTTCGACACGAGGTGACAATCTCTGCAATTGCCGGTACCTGATGCTGGGCTGAACCGTTGAACTGGGCGGTATGATTTGCCCGGTCTCTTGACGTTGGGCAGAAGCGATGAACGTGCACGAAGATCTGGGTCAGCTTTGGCCGATCGCGAAGAGGTTCGGAATCGAGTCCGCACCAGCTCTTGTTACTGCATATGTATTCAGGCTATGTTGAACGGCTCAGCTCCAGACCGTTTACGTTCTCATACCTATTTCATAGACATTCCTGTAACTGGACCATTGCTTCAAGTGTACCTTGCTCTACCCCTTTCTATTGAACTGCTTCAGCTTCTCTTGCACGGCTTTCTTGACGTCGAACCCTTGCATGACGCTACCCCTCCTCTTTCTTTGCTCGATCTCTGCCTTGACTTCTGCTACTATCTCGTCAATTTCAGCTTCAGGATCGTCTGCAATACCCAGGAGAGGCATCTTAGCATGGCTAGTAACGCTATCTGCCGAGTTGGTCCTCGCTAGCCTTTCTCTTCGGATCTCTTCGCGTGCTGCCTTCTTGATCGCAGGATCGCTGTAGGGGTTTGCTGCGGCTGACGGCGTACGAGCCGACTGACGTTGAACGAGCTGCTTTCGGAAGGGGAACGATCTCGAGAAGAGTGCGAAGGATGCTGCGACACCGATCAGGGTGTAGAAGTAGACCCTTGCCCAGACCTTGATCGTGTCGGAGAAACCGAGCAAGATGAAGGGTGCAACTACATAGGCAAAGACAGTCTGCGTAAGGAAGACGGTAAATAGGTCATAGTATTTCTTGGAAGGCAAGGGCGATTTTCCATCAGGCGTCATGAACAGTGGGCGAATCAAACGGCGGCCATCTGGTACTTGTCAGCGTGCGATATGTTAGGCATATGTTAGGCGACCTACTCTTCGCGGCAGTTTGTACGAATGCTGCTAGGACAAACGCAAGGTAATAGCCAGGGTAAAAGCCATGCCAAAATGCACTGGTCACAAAAGTCGCTAGAGTAGCCCTGAAGCCAGGTTTCTGACCCTTTGGTGTCACTCGAAGATACATGTAGTTCTTCAACCAGTTATTGGTGTTGATGTTCCAAAAGCCAAGGTAAGCGCGAGCATTCTGCGCGCTCTCGATTTCGAGTGGCATGATGTTGGTGAGACGATCCCACTTGGGTCGGCCAGTCTTGGGATCAAGGCCGTTATAGCCGATTCCAGAGAGAATGCATGAACCCTCAGACAGACTCCAAACTGCATAGTACTTCATGCGAGTTGTAAGACCAAGCATATAGAGCTGCCAGACCCTACGGAAGAAGTTGTATTGCATGTACTCGCCACCAAGGAAGAAAGCTGGGTAATACCAGCTTGAGAACTTGATGAACGCTATAAGCCAGAGGGTACCGTATATTCCTTTCATGAAGGCAGGCATGCCGCTGCGAGGAATCTTACGCTTCTTGCGCGTTGGTGGCGCCTTCGATGGATCAGTGCCTGGGGGAGTGTGAACATAGTCGTGGTGATGTATTGACTGTAGTCGGCGTAGTCAAAGGCTGGACCAGCCATGATGGCGGGGAAGAAGAAGACGTAGCCAATGTAGTCGAGGATACTGGGCATAGTCCGGATGGCGTGGTCTCGCTGGACTTCGGTGAGTTCAGAATCAGGAAGGCGACCGTCTTGGACGTTCCAGCAGAAGGCGGTAAGCTTCATGACCAGAACCATTTGAGCTCCGGTGATGTCGAAGACAGATGGGTCGTTTACGGCTTGTCGGTAAATGTGGTTCACTGACATGTGGCCCATAAGGAACACGAACCCGATCCATGGCATGTACGGCGAGTGGATCTTAGAAGAGATAAGGTAGGCTCCGCCAGCACTGATGAGTATGGTTCTTAGGCCAGACCATAGGTCAAAAAGTCCCACTAGGTAGAACATAGAGACGCTGGAATCATTAATACTACGCAACACCATGTCATGAATGAGTTACCTCACCCTATCACGAAGAGATTCTTCTTCCATGGATCCTTGTCAGGTATCCTTTTTAGGATAGCAGCTAAGGGATATGACAAGTAAAAAGAGAAGACGAGCTTGACTGGGCGGGGTTAGCTAAGCAGCATCTTCCATGGGCACCTTGGAAGTTCTTACGCTCATCAGCCGAGTTTCCAAGCACACCAGCCACATATTCAAAAGCTTCAAAGTAGTCAGTATACCTGGTAGTGGCTCAATTCGCTAAAACGTACGTGCGTTGATGTAGGGCAACATGATGCCAACTGTCAAGCTGACGTAAGGCCAGACTCAGGAGACAATGGCGTAGTTTAGGGGGAGGTAACAGGAGAGCAACAGCGAATTTATATGCAGAACATCGACATCATCTCGGGGGGTGAAAGTGCAAAGGACGGTGCGAGTGTGTCTGGCGTAGGAAGGGAAGAGGGAAGCCAGGATGACGTCGCGGCACCTTTACCCGAGGCCCGTGCGAGGCTGCTCAGCGCTCACTGGTCAACTTTTTCGAGACACGAGCTCCACGCGACTTCGCGAATCATCCACGAGCGCAACCACGGCGCACCTAGGATAACGGGCACAAATCGCCAAGATGAGTACGACATACAACCTCGAGCCGAACCCTACCGCCAAAGTCGTCCTCCACACGACTACCGGTGACCTGGAAATCGAGCTATTCGCGAAGCAGACGCCCATAACCTCGCGCAACTTCCTGCAGCTATGTCTCGATGGCTACTACGACAACACCGTCTTCCACCGCCTGGTCAAGGGCTTCATCGTCCAGGGAGGAGACCCGACAGGCACCGGCCAGGGCGGAGAGAGTAGCTACGATGGCGAGCCTTTCGCGGATGAGTTCCACAGTCGGCTGAAGTATACTAGGCGAGGACTGCTGGGCATGGCCAACACAGGAAAGAAGGACGACAACGGCAGCCAGTTCTTCTTCACACTGGCCGCGACGCCGGAGCTGCAGGGGAAGAACACCATGTTCGGCAGGGTGGCAGGCGACACCATCTACAACCTGATGAAGATGGCCGAGGCTGAGATACGGGACGGAAGTGAGGACCAGCCCATGTACCCGACTAAGGTCACCGGCGCTGAGATAATTATTAACCCGTTCGAGGACATGGTCAAGAGGGCGCAAGTGGCAGCGCGGACAGAACCAGAGACGAAGAAGGCTAAGAAGCCGAAGCGGAAGGCCGGCAAGAACGTGCTCAGTTTTGGTGATGATGCAGCTGAGGCTGACTCGGCTCCTGTTGCGAAGAAGCCCAAGTTTAACACCAAGCTAGTCAGTGCAGGCGAGGACAAGCCCGCGTCGAAAGCACCTGAGGACACGAGAGAGATACCCATACGCAAGCCATCGCGAAAGTCACCGCCGCCATCCCCCTCGCCCAAACTCGCACAAAAAGCCGCCCCCATATCACCACCTAAGCCCAAAGCCCGCACCCCCCCACGAGAACTCTCGCCCGAGTCCGAAAAGCGATCGAAGCTAGACCGTGTGAACCAACAGATCGCCGATCTCAAGGCATCTATGAAGCGAAACACATCAGCCCAAGATACAGGACCGGTCAAGAAGAAGTCGTTGCTAGAGGCTATGGTGCCAACATCCACAACACGGGGACGGAAGCGAGGGGCAGGCGGCAACACTAAGGACGAACAGTCCGCGCTGGACATCCTCTCCCGATTCAAGTCGAAACTGGAATCAGCCGACTCAGCCGCAGCCCCGAAAATCGCAACACCGGCACTACCCGAGGATACGGCGAACGGCCACACCAACGAAGATAGGGGTGAAGACGACCAGGAAGACGAAGCTGCGTGTGACTTGCATTTCATAGTAGGCTGCCAGTCCTGTAAAGCCTGGGATAAGCAGGACGAAGAGGATTCAGATGACGACGCAGGGTGGATGTCGCATTCGTTGAGCTTCGCGAAAGACAGATTAGGGAAAGACCTCGAGTGGAAGCGGAAGAACGAAGAGGAGCTATTGGTCATTGATCCAAGGGAGGAGGCAAAACGGCATAAAGCTGAAGGTAAAAGGGTAGGAAAGAACGAGATGATGCAAAGGCAAACAAGGCCAAGGTTTAATATAGTCCCGATGCACTGGATATCATCACTTTGATCAACCAGGACACATCATGTCCGAGGAAATCCTGGAGGTCCTGGACATGGAGTCTTTTCATTCGAGCACGCGATGCCAACCACCAAAATATACCAAGATCCCCAGAGTGATTTTCCGCCACTACTGTCTCGCCACATGGACAGTGTGGTCCCATAGCCTAGACTACTTGTTCTACTTGTCGTCTTCTATACATGTTTCACGTCCAACAAAATGACTTGCGCGGACCATACGCGGACCATACGCGGGTCGACAAATTCGCTCGCCTTTACTACGTCTATCCCATGGAGACACACGAGCGGTGTAAAGGCGGAGAAGGGCAGCGGACGGAGTTGTGGCCCGCCGTTTTTAACTGTCGCCTTCACTATCTTCCACGTATATCTCGGACATTCTACTACCTTGCATTCTGTTTTCAGACACTGGACTACCCCAACAACACTAACAGCGATACTCGACGTCTCAATCCTAATAAACAGCTCAATCAGCTATCCTCAATATGTGAGTTTCTTCCTACCCTAGTAAATGCTCCAGTGGACAGACATGCGCTCTGAGGAGTTATCGCAACCGCTCGACACAGCCGTCCACAGCCGCACCTTGTGCACTTCCTAGCCATCACAGCTTGTCACAACTGATATCCCAGCTCTTTTCTCAATGCGCATTAAATATCATAGAATTGTCTGGTACTTTCTAACACTTGACAGTCCTGCCACTAAGATGCCGATTAACTGGAACGACAAAGAGGTGCTCGAGCGTCTCTTCATCGCGACCCTTGCCTCCTTCGACAACGAGGTGAGTACAACTACACACTGCAACTCCCTTCCACAAACCATTCTAACCCGCCGTTTTCGTCAGATTGACATCAAGGAAGTTGCTCGTCTCCATGGCGGCGACATGACCTACCATGCTCTCGAGAACCGATTGCGCAAGTGGAAGAAGGAGGCTGCAGCTCTCAAGGATGAAGCTGAAGGTCGTGAGGGCGCTGCGAAGAGCCCGGTGAAGACACGCGCAAGGAAGGGCGCTGCTAGTCCAGCCAAGGGTGGTACGTATTGCGGATACGTGCAGGTACGTGTTCGCATTGCTAATCCGGGACATAGCTGTCAAGGCTGGGCGGATCACGAAGAAGAAAGCCCTTGCTGCTACCAAGATCAAGTCTGAGCCGCCTATCGAGGAAGATGTGCTCAACGGTATCGACGAGGAGGCGATGGATGATGACGAGGCGGTTGGCGAAGTTGGCGAGTTCATCTGAAGGGTTAAGCGCTACAAAAGCCGCCATGGTTCACTAAACACATTCGCAATTGAAGGCCTGGATGCAGTGCAAGCCTTAACCAACCTGCGAGCTTGTTTGCGCTTCTATAAGCTCGCGCTTCGATGCCAACGCGTAACCCGCCGAGGTTAGTAGTTACCAAAAGTCGAATCGAGTTCATCGAGCACGGGTCGACACTAGCAACACACGAGATATTTGTGATGACACATGATCTGCAAGCGTTAAATTGACGTCAGAGAAGCTGCAGCGTATACATAGTGGATGTTCATGTTACAATAGCACTACTGAAACTACCAGTTCCAGGCTTACGTTCAGCCTATCCAGTTCACTCCAGCGACTGGTGAGGACGTCGCAAGTGTACTGCAACGGTAGCTGGCTGCGACCAACGCATGCTAATCTACTCTCGCATCTGCAGATTCACCGTTCGAACAGCTATATAGATATAGCATCAACCTAGAAGCTGATATTGGCAACACAATTCTGGTACTGCGTTGGGTATGCAGCACGATATGCTGCGGTATAGCCGAGCGAATAAGAGATTACCCTCTCGTCCAGTCACTCTAGACTGCAAGCCGAAAGCTAGGAAATATATGCAGAAGATCTTAGGCAAGTTGCAACCTCCATTTCCCGTGACAAGATTGGTCGAGGATGGATGTATGCTTACTGCAGGCCGTCATTGTGCTGGGTGTACTAATCGCCTTACATTGATTGCGCTCTGTGCCTGCATATCCGGCGATATTTGCAGGTCAACAACCATCGGCTAGCTCAGAGGTGAAGAAAGAGCATACTTGAACTATAGCTTCACCTCCTTACTCAAGCTTGAGATTGACGCTTCCAATATCTCGTACGCTCCCTCCATCATGGGCTCTCTTAGCTCGATTATTGCCGCTATCGCTTTACTAAGCGTGAAAGTCGTCGCCGCAACGACGATTAATAACAACACGTACGAGTACATCGTCGTAGGTTCTGGACCTGGCGGTGGACCACTTGCTTCCAATCTTGCCAGAGCTGGGCACTCAGTGCTGCTCCTCGAAGCTGGAGATGACCAGACGGAGAATCTCAATGTGTCGAATTGGTTGAACTTCAATCTAGCAGGCAACGACCCTGCTACGGTACGTGCAAAATCCGACAGCACGAAGACACGACTTATAGATTGCTTAGCGTTGGGATTTCTTTGTCAAGCACTCCGACGACGAAGCCCGGGAAGCGAGATATCTGCACAGAACTTGGCGTAAGCCAGATGGAGGCTTCTACGTTGGCATGGAGCCTCCTGAGGACTCTACCGCCCTGGGCATTGTGAGGTTCTTCCAGTGCACATGCTCGAAGTGGGTCCTGACTATCCATACAGTACTACCCGCGCGCAGGCACTTTAGGCGGTTGTGCCATGCATAATGGCTGCTTGACTATGAACCCCAACGATGCGGACTGGGATGAGATTGCTGAGATGACTGGAGATGACTCATGGTCGCATGAGAATATGAGAAAGCATCTCGTCAAGCTCGAGAAAGTGCATTACAACAGCTCATACGAACATGGCCATGACGGTTGGCTCGACATGACTATGCTAGATCCTGGCTACACGACCAGCGCTGATGCCAAGCAGCTCAGTCAATTTGCTGCGCAAGCTGCGGGGTACTCTGCGTCGTCTGCTTCAAAGCTACTACAGCGCGATATGAACGGAGCCCAACCCGATCGTGACCAGCTCGTCGGACCTTTCGGTGGCGTTAGTCATATCAACCCCAATGGGCGCCGGTCATCGCCCGGATACTACGCTCGAGATACTGCTGCTTCAGGCAAATACCCGCTGACCATCTTGCTGGACACACTGGCGACTAGGATCATCTTCGACAAGGCTTCTCTGGGTCTGCCCAAGGCGATTGGCATTGAATACTTGCATGGGAAGAGCATGTATAGTGCCGACCCTCGCTACAACGCTGACGACAAGGGTGTCGCGGGGAAAGTATTCGCGTCTAAGGAAGTAATAATCTCTGGGGGCGCATTTAATTCACCACAGCTCCTGATGCTCTCTGGCATCGGCCCGCTTGAGCAACTCACCAAGTTTAATATCTTCCCGGTGGTTGACTCGCCCGGTGTGGGCAGACAGATGGCTGACAATTATGAGGCCGGTATCTTGTCGCTTGGCAAGCGTGCCGTTACTGGCATGTCAGAGATCTTCCCCAACTTTTGGAAGTCTTCCACTTCGCAACTGGGTATTCGTGATATCTACATGTGGTGTGGCTCTTTTCTCTTCGAAGGTTTCTGGCCAGGGTATGCTGTTAGAACGATTGAAGCACTCCATTTGACCAGCGCTAACCCTACTGATAGCTTTCCAAACCGGCCTCCATACTTCAATGAAACCTATGGCCCAGCACAGTACGAGTGCGCAATGGTTCACATGAATCCGCGCTCGCAAGCCGGCACGGTTGAACTTCGATCTGCTGACCCACGCGACGTTCCTGCCATCAACCTCAATTTCTTCAAAGATGGAGCAGAGGAGGATCTCCAAGCCATCTATGAAGGTGCCGAATGGGTACGTTCCTGGTTGTCGAAAGTGGATCCATCGGCACCCGATTCATTGGGTCCTTTCCAAGAGCTCCACCCATGCGAAGGTGTGATTGGGAAGCAGAACTGCACGGTCGAGAGCCAGAAGACGTACATCAAAGAGCAAGCTTACAGTCACCACGCTAGTAGTAGTTGCAGGATTGGTGCTGATGGAGATAAGTACGCCGTGTTGGACAGCAAGTTCAGAGTGAGGGGGACGAGAGGGCTTCGAGTGGTAGACGCAAGCTCGTTTCCGAAGGTGCCAGGAGGCTTTCCTGTGTTGCCTACTATGATGATCAGCGAGAAAGCTACCGAAGATATACTTGCTGAGCTGTGAGTCTGTATGACTGGTTAATCAGAGCTGCCGTTGCTTCCGGCAAATTTACAATCTAACGACGCATAACAAAAGAGCGTAGAGAAATTTATAATATAGTAGGCTCCTGAGCTATTCATCTGTATATATAACACTCCTGTTAGTCTTGCTGTAGTAGGCGAGAAAATGTTTGGTTTCTTTCCTTGCATGGAGTGCGGTCCTGCTGGAGGCGGGTTGACGGTTGAGATTACAACGTGCAACATGATTGCTCCTTTCTCAATTAGCAACATCCACAACACATGCGCCATGCTACTTTCCATGATCTCTCTACGCCACTTGCCTCGCGAAATCTACTCGCAGCCCTGGCTGCCTATAAAATATCGCCATCCCGCCCATTCATCTCTCCCCACGTCACCCCATTCTTCCGGCGCCGCAGCTCTTACGGCGAAGGATTCCATAGCAAACGGCATCCAATCGCTCACGTCAAGAAACCATCCTCACATCGCTATCATGATCTTAGTGTCCCTCCTCGTCATGTTACTCTCACCCATCTTGATTTTCGCCAAAAGCGTACCTCGAGCCGAAGACGCAAAGATCCATTCCCAGCATACAGTTTGTCTCTCGTACCAAGGCTCCAATCGCGGAGTGGTCACGTTCAACGACCCAAAAGAGAACGACGTGTTCGACTACGCTATCGTCACAAAGTACACCACCTATTACCCGAACGCTCTCGTCCATGCGTTAGTGTTCAACCGCTTCTCAACACTGCTTTTGGACAATGATAAGATGTGTGGCTGGCGAAAGGTTAAATCCGTGTACGGCAGTCTGGGTTTGGACTTCCACAACCACCGTGGCGATATCTACTGGAAGTATAGCGACTCTGCTCATATCTCAACATCCAATGGCCAGACACCCAGCCAGGAATCCATCGATCGCATCAGCAGAATTCTCACTGACAATCCACCTGCTGGAGACGCCTATATGTTCTGCGCCATCATCCTCGCATGGACAACCAGCCTACTGGGCTACATCCTCTTCATGATACTGCTCATGACCTGCATCAGAAAGACGGATCGGAACGCGAATGAGTCAAGGGATAAGGAGGTTGATGAGGGTATTGAGCTCGCTTCAATCAAAGCACCTGATACGGACAGTCTAGTAGGAACCACCGCCGCAGCGACGCCACTCGATGATGTCAAACACGTATACACAAGTCCCCACCCCGGCTCTCTGACTTCGAATGATACGACATGTTTCGACCCTCTTCCCACATACTCGCGCCAAGGTCAAGGATGTGGAGCGACATTCCATAATGTACGGTTAGCTAAGGCTTTCTGGCTATGGTGGGTTTGGGGTGTTTCTGATTGTGTATTGCTCCTTGGGTCACTACTTCACGTTTGCACAGTCCGGAAGGATCAATCCGTTTTGTTGCAACTGAGCATGCCGGACGTTTTCGTCTTTGTCATGCGCATGTGTGCTTGGCCTGCTCTCTTGTTTTCAATCCCCTTTTACCGTTCGTAGCTTTCCCTTCCATCCCTGTAGTAACTTCAATGAAAGCCATTGCACTTCGCATACATCCAGTAGTCATGGTAGTGCGAACCATCGGAAAGTTAGTACGCACGAACAGTACTTGAGAATGGTATTGCCCTACTGTCGTAGATGTGGAGCAATAGCCACTTCCCGTCTTCTATTTTAACGTCCTAGCGAAACTCTAATCGAAGCTCAGAGACGCACAAGCTGCCTGACGCATCTTGAAATGTGTCTAATGTGGCTTAGATCAAACAAATCTCCACTCATGCAGTCACTGCTACACAGAGAGACACTGTGGGCCAGTGGAGTTGGCGTCGCGCGGGTATGCGCACCCATGTCTATCTGCATTGAAGGCGTTGGCTAGTCCTCAGGGCTGAGGAGGGACAGTGACCGGTGAGTGACGCGCCACTCAGTGATACGGCCAAGAAAGGCATATACCATGTTGTCGTACATCATCAGGGCGGAAGTAAGTAAAGTGTGGTGATACACGAATCGTCAACACTCAGGCAACATCGGTAAAACTGTCGGTTCATGATGAGTTGCTTGGCATGTGATACACAAGGAAAATTCAGTTCGTTAAATGGGAGGAATCAGAGGACAGCTTGTAAAAAGAACAGCATCGGACTATGATCACTGACTACAAAGAATAACAAACGTGTACATTAAGAAACGCTTCCTCCTCCGTCGAGTTACCAGCATACTATCGTGAACAAGTCGATCACTCGCTACATCTCGTACCTCGTTGACGCTGCCCCATCGTTTGGCGTTTTGTGCGCATGAACCTCTGCGGCGTGCTGTGGGTCCAACTCTACCAAGCTCTCTGGTGGCGCCTCGTTCAGAGGAGGTGCGTAGTGTCCGTACTTGTACTGCTCAGCGACTTGGGTGTCAGGTGTCTGTTGTCTAGCGGTGTCCTTCTTGTGGCGACGGAACAAGAGGAACCCGACGACCAAACCGAGGAGAAGTGCAACAGGTATACCTACGCCAACACCGATTTTGGCTGATATGGGAAAGCTGTTCGCGTGCGCTGCTGTGCTGGGTACGGGTGCGGTTGTCGGTGCGCTAGTGTGTGTCGAGCTTGCTGCAGTAGAGACTGAGGACGTCGCGGCGGACGTTGAGCTTACTAGAAGCAAAGATGAAGTGGACGACGTTGACACCGATACCGAGTCGACTTTGTCTACTAGATAGAAATACTGGCTGAAATCGTCTGGTTCGACTTCACCCTCTTGGTAGATGGTCAATTGCAAAAGATTTGACGCTGTAAGGTCCAGGCCAGTCCTGATAAGCCAGCTATAGTCGGTCTTGTTCACGACACTCTCTGTTCGATACCATCAGCCAGTCTCGCTCCAGCTAATGTCAACAGCGGTGTGTTTTTCATACGTGTCAGATATTCCGATGGCTCAATCAGATCTCCAGTTGCGTTTGCCCGCCATAGAAGAAGCGATGCGGCAACGCCGATGAGCGGCTCCGTCCAGATAACCGGGAGTATATTGCCTATAGTGTACGTGGCCGCATTGCTAAAGTCTAGAGATTTCGAGTTCGACGGTGGGGCCCTGAATTCCATGAGGGCTGAGGCCATAGATGAAAGTCCCGCTATAGCGACCCAAGCACCCAGCGAAGGCATATCTAAATGAGAGAGATTGCTATTGTGAGATATAAGGGGGTAGAAGAATAGAAGGCAGCCCTGGAAAACTCTGTAAAACGTAAGCAGGTTGATGGCAGGATGGCTGGAATGGAAATGCACATGAGGCTGAAGCAGGCGGCTTGCTTGTGTGTGAGAGATTACTTCAAGAACATGCATGTGAGCCGGACACAATTCCATGCGCATCCATACTTCCAGCTTGGGAGCTGAGAAGCACGACATTAGTCTGAATGCCGTAGGAAGTCAGATTGTCGGCGACCCGATGCGCTTCTCCTATACCATGATTATTTTGCCGTGACTGGAAGCGTGGCGATAGTGAGGATCGGTGTGTGCACGAGAACTCATACTGATCAGTATCGGAAACGTTGCATCGCACATGTGGTAGGCCTTCGGACAGGCCTCGCAAATTGCGTGTGATGGTCGAACGCTGGTGACTGGCGTAAGTACTAATCATTCACTGGTCTTGGTGAAAAGCTCGTGTAACCTTCTCAGCCTAGTGGGCATGCAATCGGGCTGAGAAATACTTTGCCTTTCCATGAATGCAGATCATAACTGGGCACAACATGGTCAACCTTCCCGTAAATTAGATTGTGTGGAATCCTCAAGCAGGTGCAGGTATATATATCGCGGGGCGTAAGACTACGCGATTCGAACATTTCTTTTGTATCTCTGTCGACTAATAGTGGTCCCTCGTTTCGTTGAGGAGTACGAGTTCTTTGTTGCGCGCCTGGCTGCATATACTGTACCACCTCCTGACACTGATCGTTTTCGTTGGAAGCTCAGCCTTAGGTCATGCGCACCACTCATTTCCGACAGTGTCAGGGATAGTCTAAGATTCACTCTGGGTCTGGGCTGATTTCGAGACCGCATAGCCCCTCTTTATCAGCAATCTTGCGTCAGCCTTGCCAAGGTCGGTGTGAATGATGAAGCATATACATCTACTCGGCTTGGTCTTGCTACAGCCAACTTTCGTTGAACATCCTGCGCTTCCAGTATGTTGGCGCGGCTGCATTTCAGGTTTCTCAGCTATCACTCACTCATTGCCTTATTTGTCATCTTCTTCATTTACCAGATTTGCACCTTCCGCTCCGTCCAAGACAGCATCGCGGGACGCATTCAAGGAATTATCCCAACACCAAAGTATGACGGGATACCAAAGATCATATGGTACAAACTGGGTCCTCGTGGTCTCTCAGATGAAGCGCGGAATTGGACCGATAGTTGTATCAAGCCCAACGCAGGATACAAAGCACACTTCATGACCGACGAAAGCAGCGACGAGTATGTTCGCAAAGCATTCGCGTTCCGGCCCGATATTGTCGACAACTTCCTGGCGCTACCAGTTCCTATATGGAAGGCCGATCTCCTTCGCTACCTATTACTCTGGGATCAAGGTGGCATCTGGTTCGATCTCGACGTTTCTTGTGAGGATATACCCATTGACGATTGGATCCCAGCCGAGTACAAAGGAAACACGAGTCTTGTCGTGGGCTGGGAGTTTGACCATGGTTGGCCGGGTAATTACCTACACCAGATGGAAATATGGGCCATGATGGCAAAGCCTAGGTCACCACATCTGATGCAGTGTATCAATGACATCTTGCAAGAGCTGGGTGACAAGATTGCTGAACACGGTATAGCCGTTGAAAACACCACGATGGATATTATGGGAGACACAGTCGAGTTTACGGGCCCAAGGCGTCTGACGAGTGCGGTCTACAAGAGTCTGGGAGGCATGTTGAATCGCAATCTGGTGGGAAGTGACACGGAGGAGCTTCTGCAGCCCAAGCTAGTCGGAGATGTGCTGTTCATGCCAGGTCGCTCTTTTGCGCCCATGACGAACATGTATAGCCTGGAGGAAGAAGCAATACTATCTCCACAGCTAGTAACACATCACTACGCTGGAACGTGGAAGAACAGCCACGGTGGCGAAGGTTGAACAGTCGCGGTCGCGCTGGATCATATATTCGGGTGCAAATCGGTGAGGTGGCTGATCAGGTCCATTGGTATGTTCAAGCGAATCTCATCAAGGCAGACCATTGTCTACGGGCGTCTGGTTCCTCTTGTTTAGCAACAGTGATTGTTGGTCGATAATAGCCTGAGATGTCGATGCTGGGACAAGCGCAGAGAGAAAGCATTCCCAGGTTTCGGGAGCCGCAGGGGAGCTGGTACGAGCTAGTGTGGATGCAGTTAGCTCGTTGCTTCGCAATACACGCGCCACTGCCATGTTAACATTCAGTATCCCACAATCTCCACAGCCGTCTTTGTGAACGTTGAATTTGACATCACATCAATTGTTTATTGTGGCGATATGTATATTCAAGCCTGAACCACGATCTCCCACCTCCTCCTTCCATTCAACTCCCGAAGCCGCGTCCGAACGGCTTCTGCAAAGCTGTTGAACATGTCACGCACAGACACAGCGACAACGGACTGACATTCCAGCTTGATGGTCCCGACTTCTTCCAGTTTGGGAAATACTTCCAGAGCCTCCAGCCAGTCCTCACACTCTCGGGCAAAAAGACTGTAAATCTTCTCTGACGAGTTATGTCTTGAAGCATGACTTTCGATTTCACAATAGACAAGGTAGCCGATGTGTAGGTAGATGGCAGCATTAGGTATAAATCCGTTCTAAGCTGCTGGAATGTACAACCCGTTTGGAATGTCGTAATGGCGGACTTGAGTGAGGATTGGAGGTTCTTGTCCAACCATGGTAATTTGGTGTATCAACAGTATGGCCTAGTATTGGAGATGGGAGGTCATGGGTAATCAATAGCGACATGATTGCTACTTCCACCAGCGGATGAGGTCATCGTGGCTTGGAGCCATGCAATGGACCTTGAAGAGTGTCTAAGACTCCTGGTTGCCAAACGGGTAATTGAACTTCAGGAGAGCGTTCAATCCACCAACCCAGTGATCCTCAGCCATGTCTTCCTTGCCACTCGTACCACGCACGATGCTGGGCACTCCACCTTCCCAGCCTCGAGCGTCGCGTTTGACCTCCTCTCCACCTATGCGGACTTCCATGCCCGTGCCCAGCTTCTCAGTAATGGTATTCCCGTCAATGCTGACCTCTACTTCGCGACCGCGGTTCTTCTTACCTAGGCGCAACGTGATTGGTGTCTGGGCGGGCAGCACCAGTGGCCTGAAGGAAAGCGATCGTGGGCAGATCGGCGTAAGGCATATCGAGGGCACGAGAGGGTGTACAATGCTTCCTCCAGAAGATAGCGAATATGCGGTCGATCCGGTTGGCGAGCTGATAATCATGCCGTCAGCGACTGCCTCGGTGAGAAAGCGGTTGTTGATATAGACGTCGATGATCTTCAGATGCGGGCTGGAGCCACGGTGAAGCGTAACCTCGTTCAGCGCATATGTGTCGCCCTGGGCCCCAACGCCTCCTATCCTCTTTCCATCAGGCCCGAAGACGCCAACCTTCAGTCTGTTGCGCAACAAGATGCGCGCTGTCCTATTGCTTCCCATAGCCTTGCCTCGTATATCGGCATAGCTCAGTGGCCGGTCCAAAGGATCATCTGGCGACGTGGGGGGTGTAGGAGGATTTGTCCCTAGCGAGTCGGAGAGAGTAGAGTACGTGTCTGGCGCACCGCTCATATACACTTCCCGGAACGCCCTCTTGTATTCCCTGAACTTGAACTCGCCCAAGAAGCCGATGGTGCCCATGGCAAAGCTCAATACTGGAGGTACATTGTCTGCATGGCTGAACAGGCTACTAGCCCTCAGCAGCGTTCCATCGCCGCCCAGTGTGCAGACCAAGTCAGTTTTATCCGAAAGGTACTGCGGTGCACCTTGGCTCTTCGCATATGTGTATACGGGGAATGGAAGCTGCTCGTGTAGCTCTTGAGCCGTCTCGGGGTCGAAGATGACGTTGATGGATGGGTAGGTGGAGCGGATGTGCGACGTAAATTCTATTACGGACTCGGTGATGTTCGGTGTGCGTTTCTTCTTGGTGATGAGGATGTTGCGCGGCGGCGACGGCCATTGCAGGCTCAGCAGCGTATTCGATGATGGTATGTATGACGGCTTCGTGCGCGAGGGAAGCTCAGCAATCTGCCGGATCTCGAGTCGACGTGACGTTGAAGAGAAGCTTCGTGCTTGGGCTGGCAGAGCGAGGAGCCGCCATGGCAGGATGCGATGGGGTACAAACATGTTTTGGGAGCTGTGGGAGAGACTAGGGCCGAAATTCGAGGCGATGCTGTGCGCAAAGCTTGTAAGGGTGAGTGGGCGCCATATGAGCGGATGATGACGAGTCGAACCGTGATAGGATAGCAGCTTGAGGGTATCGCGAGGCACACAACCTAGAGTGAATGCTAACGGGCGGAGATAATGCTGGCCCAGCGACTAATCTCCATCGTCACATGCGAGAAACGTGGGCCTTGGGGTTCAAAGGGTGAAAGTTGCGAGTGAACGCGTCCGGATGTGACTAGCGCCCGCACAAGCAGAGCTATCCCCTGCACGGGGTGGGGTAACTCTCGCCGGTGTCATCATGCTGGATGGAAAGCTGCGGATCGGCAGCACCAAGTTCCAGCGCCCGAAGACACGATGCGCAAAAGCTGCGGCCTGGCTACCTTGTCTACCCCTTCACGCCATTCTCCCCGGCACTCCCACTGCAAGACGCTCAATGCTGACCACCGCGCCCTGTTCTGTTTCCCCCCACCCCATGTCTCGACCTTAGTTCACTCGTCCGCCTGAGCATCCGATCACGCCAACCTACGTGCACGCGCACTCGCGCCTTATCTGTCATATTCCCCAGTGTGAACCACCTACACCCTTCCTATGCATGTCCACACTCGAAGCATCATGTCAACCAAAAGCATCAGGCAGCGCCAGCCCCCCGCCATAGTGCCCGTAATCGAGAAGCTGAAAGCGCAGCGGGCCAAGACACCATCAGGGCCAAAACTCCCCGACCCCACGCAGCATCCGGCCGGAGAAGTCAAGCATGGAGTCTTCGCACAGGCTATGCGCATGTGTCTCTTTGCAGCGTACTTCAACGGCAGCATCATAGCGTTAGTATACACCAGTAGCTAATGCCGCCGATAGGATACTAACGCCGTGTTCCAGCATCGCCGTCACACAATATATTGGCCTCCGCTGTACTTCTACAGCAAAGATCTCTTCTACGCGTGGATGGCCATGACAAAGCAGCACTTCAGCATAGTCGTCACCACCATGACATATTGGTGGGCACCCGTCACGATGCGCGTCAGCGGAGACGAGAGCGTGAGAGGACAGATGAGGAAGAATAAAGATGGAATGATGGAATGCGACTTTCCAGAGAGAATGGTACTCATCTCGAACCACCAGGTGCGCTTTTCCAACCAACTCGTCCGGGAGCACAAAGAGCTGACGCTTCCTAGATCTACACCGACTGGGTCTACCTCTGGTGGATCGGATACAGTGCTTCGATGCATGGCCACCTCTACATTATCCTCAAGGAGTCGCTCAAATACATTCCCATCCTCGGCTGGGGCATGATGCTCTACGGCTTCATCTTCCTATCTCGCAAGTGGTCGACGGACAAGGAGCGCTTCCAACATAGGTTGAGGAAGCTGAGCAGGAGTACCAATGGCCCACTATCGGGCTCCAAGGGCCTCGACCCAATGTGGCTGCTCATCTTCCCTGAAGGCACAAATCTCAGTAAGAACGGTCGCGTTTCCAGCAAGAAGTGGGCGGAGAAGAACCAGATTGAAGATCTGAGACATGCGCTGCTGCCGCGAAGCACAGGTTTGTCTTTTTGTCTGCAAGAGTTGCAGGGCTCTGTCGACTACTTGTATGACTGCACAATGGCATACGAAGGCGTCCCGTAAGTCTCATCTACCAAGCCGAGAGTACGATTACTAACCCCAAACAGTGTCGGTCAGTATGGCCAAGATCTCTTTACACTCTACAGTACCTACTTTGAGGGCCGACCTCCAAAGTCTGTAAACATGTACTGGCGCCGCTTCGCCATCGCCGATATACCCCTCCACGATGAAAAGATCTTTAGCGACTGGCTCCTTGCCCGTTGGCGCGAGAAGGACGATCTACTCCAATACTTTGTCGAGAACCAGCGATTCCCGGCAGACGAAGGCGAGACACCCAACGTCAATGGTGGACCCCCACTAAAGGGCGCGGGATGGATCGAGACAGATGTCCGACCAAAGCTGTGGTATGAGTGGCTACAGATCTTCGTTCCGACTGCTGCACTGGCGCTTATCGTCAATGTATTCATAAAGATTGCGAACATTGTGACGAGGGTGACGGGGATGAAGTCATGAACTCGAGATTCTCTGTAAGAGACATGGTGTGCTGTATTGCAGTCTCAGGCGCGTGGGCTTTTGTGTTGTGTAGATCGGCTTGATACCCTATATCCATCTCTTCTCTTTTCACTACTCGCTTCCATCTCAAACAAGAGTATATCGTGTAGTACTCACGTAGTCCTTCTTTGGCCCTTTGACGTCATAGCGCACTTCCCACCACTTCGCCCACTCACTCCCTACAACGACACCCTCCCCAAATGTCCAGCTCGCAGAATACAAGTCTTCGGCACAGAGGTGTGTTTCCTTGTTCTTCGCTTTCACTTCTCCCCCAGTAGTCTCAAGGCTGCCCATCTCTACAAATAATCCGCCAATCCCTTCTCCGTTCTTTCCAACACCATCCCCGATATCCGCTCGCGGCATCTTCTCGTCATCAAAGAAGCGTACTGCTATATACTCGCCCCCATCTTCATCATCTCCAACTTTGATTTGATACACATATCTTCTCCGCGCAGTAAACTTTAGCCCTGTGTCGGTAACGAATTCGCCTTCTTCAGCGTAGAGTAACGTGGGTGGAAAGTGATCCGGCAGATTGCAGGACGTAAATGTCGCTGTTCCTGTCACGGTGCCCGAAGGGTGTGTGGGTAGGGAGGAGCGCAGTGTACGTTCAAAGCTCCATGATTGACTCGGCGAGTTGAGTAGGTTTTTGAAGATGGTTTTAGGCATCGAAGGAGGATCTTGTTGTGGTTCCCCGTCTCCAGGTGCTTTTCCTGTTTGTAGCTCTTCTGCCTCTTGCGACAAGGGTCTTGTTTCTCTAATCGGAATCGAGGCAGTGAAACTGTTAATACCCGTGCCGTCACTCTTCGTCTGTAAGTAAGCCTTCGGGTCCTGGCTCTCTAGTAAGACAGCATTGACACTTTGAAGCGTAGCTCGACTTGGATTCAGCGCTGGATTGCTTGTTGTTATCCAGCTTAACCTTTGCTTGATGAAGGCTTTTCCCATGTCCTTTGCATCTCTTGGTTTGCTGGTATCTATCTCCCCTTGTTCGTTCGTATAGAGGCATAACATCGCAAGGGCGGTGCCGACGGAGAGATCCTTGCCTGTTGGGCAGCACACGAGGATCTTTGTAGTTATTGGTGTTGAAAGGGATGAAAAAAAATACTGAAGCTGCGGGAGTTGAGTGCGGAGGTCGCGCGATCCGAGTTTGCCTGTCTGGCATTTGAGATGCAAATAGTGTTTGACTCCAGCTTCCTTGAGCATCGAAGAGGACAACGGCTCCGGTGTGCAGCTTACCACAACTCCGAACCCCTCAACGTTTATCTGATCACTAGATGAGATGTGCAGTTTCGACGTCGGCTTGATCAAACTCGCGACTGCACTGCTACCTCCATCCTCCTTGAGCAGTCTTTCAATGAGAGCCGGCGCATCTTCTTCGCTCGTATTCATCAATGTATCTTTATGCTTCCAGAACATTGCCGGAGTGAGACTATGCGACCACGCTTCATGGTCATCGGCAGCACCCTGAATGTACCCGCCTTCTGATACTTCAGCACCGCGCACTCGCCGTGAGGCTGTGCAGAGCACGATGGGATGGAAATCCGGAAAAGAAGGTGCTAGTTCTGGAAGAGATGATTGTTGTGTCACCCATATCGGTCGCAGAGGTTTCTGTAGCTTACTGCGAAGGTCCGAGATGTTGGGCTTGCAAACATCCTTCTCTCGGTATTAGCTAGTATCCTCGGGAACGTCAAGACCATATACGAACCAGAAACTGTCGCACGAACTCATCTATCCTCTTCTCCATTTGCGCATGCTCACTTTCGCCTACAGCTTGCGGCGGTGTAAACAACTGCATCTCCTCTTTCTCGTGTGCGCCAAATACGGCCCTGTTGATCACACAACACCATGTCGGAATTGTCTTACTCAACGCATCCGGCATACTTTTCCCCCTTCTCGTACTATCCACAACCACAGCTCCACCATAACTCTTCACGACATCTAACAACTGCAAATTCAGTCTTCTTAGACTGAAACTCCATTCGCCCATATGGCCGTCCGTGCTCTTGAAGTAAACAGATCCAGATTTTCGAGAGGGAGGAATGTACCAGCTTCCACACCGTTCATTTGCCACCAGAGGCAGGTCGTAGGCAGATCCGACAGATGTGATGAATTCACTGTCCGAGACGATTGAGGCGAGACGGTTTTGCGTTGATAGTGTTGAGCGGCGTAGAGAGGAGAGGGTACTGGATAGGTTTGGTGTGTTGGAGAGATGCGGAAATATGATATCGGCCTCTTTCAGGGGCTGCGACATCTTGGTTGTGAGATATTCCGACCTTTCAGGCCAAAGCTTGATTATATTCGAGTCAGTACAAACCACTCAAATCTGCATACCCCGCATGATGATTTATCCCAAAAGAAAAAGAAGGCTCTCGGAAAAGATGGAAATGCAAAGACTAAAGTGTGAGCAGGTAACGGGGATCTTGAACCATAGATATCCGTTCGACCCTGCAATATTATCGTTCAACAGTTGGGTGGGGACACGGATCTGCCGTAGAGAAGGGATCGGGCAGGAAGAGGCTAATCTATAAAGGGTTAGTAACAAAATAGCTCGACACGAAGTTTGTTCAGTATGGTGTAGCATGCTAATGTATTTATCTATAGATCTGCAATGATTGCTAGGACAAGAGATCCACTACCTAATCCTGTTTAACGAGCGAGACGGGTGCAATATAGCTCTTCCGCGCACTAACGAAATAATTAACGGTAGCGATGATGGCCATCACGCCAAACATGAGCGACGCCCAGTTCATATCCGTAGCAGAGGGATTCGGTACTATGGGGAAGAAAGAGAAAATGAAGGACACGATCAGGAAGGCCAGGGCAAAGTCATTGACGATGCCTCCGAACTTGCCCAAGCTCCAGCGTCGAGGCAACAATGGCTCACCGCGGAGACGCTTCAATCGGACACATCCAATTGATATGATGTAGGAGAAAATGAGGGCAGCATTCGAAATGGAGACGATGGCATTCAGGGCGACATCCGAACCGAAGTTGATGCACGCGAGCACGCACGAAAATCCAAGGCAAACGAGAAGCGCGTTCACGGGGATGTCCCAGCCGGCCGGAACTCGCTCGATCCATGCGGAGAACGGAAGTCCTTTGTCGCGCGCAAAGGCCCAGATTTGACGTGAAGAGGCCGCAGTGACAGACACTGCTGCGAAGAAGACAAGAATGACGAGCAACGCCCCCATAACTTCTGTGCCGGCAATGGAGCCTGTCGCATTGTAAACAGCTTGAAGCACAGGTTGTCCCGTCGGGGATTCTAGGACGGAGTCGAGAGCGCCGCCGCACATTACGAAGGTGATCATCTACAACGGAGGGCATGAAGTCAGTGTTTGTGTTGTATGCAGTATGGTACTCGGGTGCTCTTACCATGATGCATCCAAAGATACCATTAAAGAAAACAGCCCACATCATGGCTTTGGGAAGCACTGCGGAGGCATCTTTCAGCTCTTCAGACATGTGGGCACCCGCATCTGGACCAATGAAGCACCACAGTGGGGTTGAGAGGCCAACTAGAGCAGATACACCCATCGAGCTCCACTCTCCTCCATTCGTCCATGTCGTGAAGACTTCCTCTGCGGGAGACCGCTCCGCCATCGTCCAAAAGAGAATCAAAAAGGCGAAGAAGGCGAAGACATGCAAGACAAGCACTATACCTTCAGCGAGGGGTAGATGCTGTGCCAGGAAGATGTTGAATCCTACCATGAGGACTAGCCAGAGCATCATCAGAAGCGTGACATGCCATAACTTTCCAATTTCCGCGTCGGGGTACGCGAGGAGGACCATTCCAATGACGAGACTTGAGAGCATTTGCGCACAAGCGGGAATGCCACTAACCCAGCCGACGGCCGCAGACCATCCTGAATATACTGTCAGTAGATTGAGCGCAGTGGTGTAGTTCGTGCCACTACATACCCACGATGTAACTTAGTGACTTCTGGAATGATGGTGGCGCGAATTCGCTAACCCAATGATATTGCCCACCAGCAGTTGGGGCCATCGATGCCATCTCAGCGAGAGAAGCGATCATAGCTAGGACGAAGATCCATGTAATGATCATCATCCAGATGACACCTGCTGTGCCTCCATTGAACAAGCCAAAATAGGCGGACCTTGCCGAAAGTTAGCAGGGGAATTGTCATGCGAAAAGGTACTTACAATAGGGCACTTTCCCATGTTGACTGAAGGACAACGACAAACCCAATGATGGAGATCAGGCGAAAATTTCTCTAATTACGCAATCAGTAGAGTTCCTGCATATAGGGTCCAGTAAGGGATTATACCCGAAGTTCCTGTTTCTTGCCCATCCTGTGCATGTCCAGGGCATCATGAGCTGTGCCTCCCAGAGCACTGGCATGCATCCTGTCCGCTGCGCTGGATCCATTGCTTCCAATATCGTACTCCTCGGCATTTGCAATCTTCGCTTCTCCAAGAATTGCCATTGTGCGAAGTGTAGTGCTATAAGACGACGACCATCTACGAAGATAAGGGATTTCTTGGAAGAAGAGAAAGGCTCAACGGAGAAATATATCTCAAACGCTGCTTAAGCGACCTAGATGCGAGATCTATGAGCGAAACTATACATGGTGATTTCAAGCCGTGTCCTAGGGCTGGCAATCAGCTGCCATTCTCGGGACGATCGCCGGTTCATTTGGCAAGCCATCGAGAATGTGGAGCCTTGGGCGAACCAACCGCGAACAATACAAGCGTTGTGTAACCGAGGCCCGCTAGGAAGGGTGCCCTTGTGGCCGCGGCTTGAGTATACAAGGTTCGCAAGCCGGGTGCAGTTTACGAAAGGGACACCGATGCTGTTTTTCGTGGGGGCCACGCGATCACGTTGACTTGAATATACAGTAACGGGAGTGAAGCTTAAAATTGACAGGTATCGGGTTCCTGTAGCTTTCTGCATAACGCGTATCGTGATATCGGCACGTCACATGTAAGCTGGGTGGATGGCGGCAGCATTGTTGATGAGGCGTATGGGTGGTGAAGGTGTTGAAGGCCCCAAACTATAGCGAAAGACCCTCTCAGGGCCCGTCCCGTGGCCACTAGGAAAGGCGCCTCGGTGCAAACCAGCCGCGTCCGTCCACGCTTGCACAGCAACACCACCTCCCCGAGCCGCGCACGAATCCTTCGCGCCTTCTACGGAAACGCACATCTCTTACAGTTTCATCAAAGGACATGTCATACTCGCTACAGGTCCGCGCTCGTGAGAGTCAAGCGTGCGCAAATTCTTCTCTCTGTCATTTCGTCCAGGGATCTCGGAGTGTAAGGTCAAGCACTTCACGTAGTCTGACTTCAATTTCGTCGTGAGGTTCCATCGATGAAAGCTTAACGGCCTCTACACCGTTAACTGCCGAGTGTAACGTACTGCATTCCTGCGCTACGTCGAGAAGCGTCAGGTTCTGGCATGCTATGGTACAGCGTTTTATTGACATGGATGTAGTGAGCCTGTGATAATTCTTATGGCATACACCATGTGCTTTCATCTTAGCGCCTGCAACCAACGCACCATATTCCAATCAAATGACGCTGTAGGGTCAAAGGATTCCATACGCGACAGGGCCTGGCCCCAGCCACTGGATAAATGCGGAACAATAGACGATTGGGGAGCGGTAACAAGGTCCACGCACCTATCAAGGGGTGATACGAAACTTGCAAGGCGTACGGAACAAATGTACTCGGCTGGTTTTGCCGTTGGGTGCGAAGTGAAGTTCTTCCTAGAATATGATATTAACACGGGATGGTGATCAGCACCGCAGCTTCGGAGACGACGCCGCAACCCGCCCCATGTAGTTACGCCTCGGTATAGCAACGCAAGAATCGAGCAGCACTCATCGTACTTTTGTCTAATAACATCATGGCGGACCACCAGGAAGCGGTCGTACGGCATCCCGGACATGCAGCTAGTTTGAAGTTTACTATCGGTCTCTGCCTATGCTACACCCTATGCGTAGCATGTCTGCGCGGTTTCACTCGATGGAGAGCTTACAGTATCGATGATGTTTTTGTGATGCTGTCGGGGGTACGTACGTCTGAACGGAGAACATCGAACTCGAGCGTCACAAAAGCCTGTTTCTAACAACTTTGCACATAGGTGTTGGCGTTGAGTTTCTTTGGCATCGTTTTTGCCTCTATCTCTGCAGGACTTGGTCGCCCGATGACTGAGCTAGATCTCATATCACCTGCTATTGACAAACTCAACGGTTATATAATAGCTGGCAACATTCTTTGGATCACATCGCTATGCATCTCCAAGCTCGCGATCATTGCCATGCTGTTGCGTACGACACAGACCCTACACCACAGAAGATGTCAATACGGCGTCGGTACTCTAATCGTTACTCAGTCTATTGCGTCCATTCTACTTCTGACCGTCAACTGTTCTGCTCACAGTGAGTTCGCGTGGAATATGACCTCCGTAAACTCCGAATGCCCCCAAATGGAGAGAAGATGGCATGCCTTGACAGCTCTGGACGCCGTGACGGAAGTTCTTCTGCTCTTTCTGCCCATACAATTGGTATGGAGTTTGCAGATGTCTTTCCGAACCAAGATCACCGTTATATCAGCATTTTGGCTTCGATTGCCGTACGTTCCGATTCTTAGTACTACTTCAGTATTGGCTGACCATGCGATAGAACCCTCGTCTTCTCTGCTCTTCGCCAGAGGGAGATGCACAAACTTACAACAGCGTCAAATGTCCCACTCACAGCTGCTATAGTGGTCATCTGGCAGGCTGTAGAATTATCATACTCTCTCGCTGCGGCTACCATTGCAGCATTGAAGCGATTTACAGAATCGCTCAACACTGGTTTCGGTCACGGTGAGCTCATGCGGGTTCACGGGTCATCTCAAGGGTACAAACTGTCGGGCAGAAGTGCTACATCAAGAAACACGAAGGGTTCGCGTAAGAAGGCACCTCGCTCGAACACGCATGAGGTTTCCATCGACATAGTGTCATCCCAGGCTTCGTCTCAGGCGGAATCAAGCTTTGACCATCATGTCACGCGAATGAAGCTGAGGCCTGAAGTATTGCGGAACACAGCCATAGTGTCGTCACCATCGAAAAGCTCAGCTCCGCGCAATAAGCAGACAGATGCATTAGGCTCAGAGAATAACACCATCCGACAAGAAGTGCGGTACTCTATTCACTACGAAGAAGATATCACGCGTAGCAAGCAATGATAGACAAGGCACCAACGTAGCTGTTCATAGCGCGTGACCGACGAAGAGGATTGCATGATCTCTCGTGCTGATCCCTTTGCTAGAGCCTACCGTTGTTTCTGCTTTCCCACAACTATTTAAGCTAAGCATACACAACCTACACGCGCAGCACCTTAGCTACATCAGCGACTGAACCACACCGCGACAACGGCGGATACGTCAACCGTACGACCGTCTCGCTTCCTAGGCTTACCTGCCGGATTGAGGGTCAGGGTTCACGAGTCCAGTTCAACCCTCGTTCGACAATTCATATCCAGACATCCGATGGTTGACCTAACGTTAGAACTTGTTGATAATCGGGACTCAAAAATCACACAGGTCGAAAAGTGTCTTTCTGTCGCTGTTATGGCGACGTGGTGGCTAGTAAACAACGAGGCGACGTATGTACCGACGGTAAAACTGGAGGATCTGTTCGAACAGTCATGGTGATTCGTTGTAGAGCCCACAAACTCGGGGCTGTTCTGTGCCTTAGGCCGCTTCCTTGTCGACATGCTTGGGAAGTTCTCGAATGCCCTTGCTTCCGGTGCTCTAGGTGCCCCAGAAGCGTGGCTAACGCATGTTCAAGAGATGCCCAGCTCTTTCGTCACCAGACTACATCCCTACTCACTGGAGAATCTTTACTGCTTGCTTGCAGGCTGCGCACGGGTCGAGGAAATTCGTTAACTCCCCTCCATAGTACAATTTGTTAAGCGCCAAACTGCCCACGACCTCGATGATTTTACCTCTACTCTTGCCAAACTAACATGCGGCGGACTAGAGGATGGCCTGCAGGATATTCTATGGACTGTGGGATTAACCGCATGCACAGGCTTCACCATCGACAAAAGTCCACCCACCCTAGCGTCGCATCCCAGACAGCGAGCGCACGGAGATGTTTCGTTCCTGGCTTGCAAGTGATGTCCTGGGTCCCAAATCTCATCCATGATCCGTCTTTCACATTTCAGACGAGTATGATGAGCATTGAAGCGAAACTTGGGGGCAAGGTTATCGCTACCAGCAGTATCATATCGCAACATAAAGAAGACTGTTCAGTCAACCAACAGCTGTACGATTCTCGCAAAACTATATGCTTCGATATGGCGTTCGTACTGCAACGTATGGTTTATGCTTATCAGAGCGGGGTACAACAAGATGGAGAAGGAGAGTTAAGAGTGGGTCCTAGATTATAGCAGGTAGTGTAGACTCTAATACTGTTTTGCTGCCCATCACTAGTGTCATCCATGGTACTTGCTTTCCTAAGATTACGTGATCGGATACAAACTTTGGTAGAACCAATATAGAACGGATATGGATATATGCCTGCTACCCAGTCGCGGTGTCACAGGGGTCTTCATAGGTCATGTCATGATTTTGCTGGAACTCAGCAAGACTGGTAACGTCGGTAACAAAAGTTGTCATAAGATATCTACCTAGCTTTCTTACCACACATACATCCGCCAGAGACTCAAAGATCGTGGACGTTCACACAAGCTCAGAAATTCTCCTCAAGCGCGAGGCTTGCGAGGCGATGGCGTGGAGCTTAGGTACAGTAGAGGGCCCTCATATTGGCACTACGCCAGGATGGGGATAGACAGGCTACTAGCGTGAGCAGGCTTCAATTACCCGACCACTCTGATATCTGCGAACGTAAACCACCTCACTGTCCCCAACCACTCACGATTTGCCCCCCCAATTACCGCTGTCATCGCTCTGTATCGGTTTCAGAATCATCGCTATCTGCGGCATCTCCGATGCTCTCTGGTCCACACACGTTTCCATGACAGCGGAACTGATATACCGAGACCTGTGCCGTACACTCCGAACAGAGACTGGAGTGGTACGATGCCTCCCAGACATACACACCATATACCGGTTTCAATAACATTGCCATGCCTCCAATAGCGCTAGGTGTCACTCGCGGCGCTATGATGCGATCGCGTGCCAGCATTCGTCCGGTGCGACAAGAGATTGAGGGGTAGACGGTGTTTTTGGAACGAAAGACCTCTCACACAGCGGTATAACGCGTCTTCACGCGGCTGGTTTATGGCGTGTCATACTTCTGTGTTCTCGTATATTCTAACTAGGCAGATGCTCGTACCCGGGAATTCTCTCCGTCTCATTTTCCAGAATTCTACCTTAAGCGCTCATCATGTCTCACACGACCTTTGTTCAAGCATCTTGAATCGGTAACGAGGCTTGGCCATATTACTCACCAGGTCTTTCGTTCGTCACAGCTTCCCATGCGGAGTGTATCAGGATAAATGCAAGATTAAAGAGCCTCCAAGATCGACCTCCATCAATTTTGACCGTCATGTGTACTCTCGAGTCTTTCGAGAAGCTGTTTCGGCCATAGATTCCCGGGTCGCGCTTCATGTACCTGCTTGTATCGTATCATACGCGTGTCATAGCCAAATCAATAGCTGATGCAGCTATATTGGAGGCGCGAATTCGCGTCATTTTTGGCTCCAACCGTGTCGATCATACTCGTAGTGATGGGGGCATCCGCCATTAGTGACTGTACAATACAGGCAAGGCCATATACATCTGGGGAGGATCCTTGAGTTCACGAGTGCATTGCTCGGTCCGATAGCCTCTCCTTTCAATAAGACCAGAAGACCAACTTTCCATCACTGGGGGTTGTTTTGCCCTACGAGCGAGTATGGAGGACGGTGTCATATCACATTCGAATGAAAAACTCGCGAACCCCATCCGCCAATCATAGTCACAGAGAGCAAGGCTGAAAGCTCAGCACGAAGATCGCGGGGTATGAGACCCGAAAAATGACTACCCCCGCAATTCATGGTGTCTCATGTAAACATTCATCTATTTGCCCTGTGGGCTTGATCCAAGCGAGTGGGAATGCACAAAGGCAATTTCAGTCAACAGGAAGGGCAGGCAATGATGACAGAGGCTGAAGAGGATATCCGAAGAAGGTTTCCTCCCGCATAACCTCAATAGAGGTCTTTGACGAGGCGACTCTACTTCGCCAGCGGAAGCCAGCTTGATGAGAGCTACAGCAACGTAAAGTAACGCCACTGCGATGAAACTCACTCTCGCCTCCTACTCAACTAGTATGGTTTTACAGGAGCTCCACTATAGTACCATGCTCCCGTTGATAAACCTTCATCTAAGCCTCATATCTCAAGCGCTGATCGCACAGACCTAAGCCAAAGGCTAACGTCCGCATTCTACGGGCCTGCTTCCTGATGAACTGGTACCTCAGTACTGAGCTGGCACCATGCTAGCAGAATACTTCCCAACGTCGATATAAGAGGCTCTCGATACCCCCAAGCCTTCTAGCATCGACACACCCAGGTACCCAAACAACCACTTCCAGACGTCAACATGAAGGGTCTCTTTTCTTTCGCCGTGGCTTCGGTCATCACAGGCGCTTTTGCGCTTCCTTCTCCTACCGAGAACGGCCCCATCACTGCTCGCCAAGCTGCAGCATGTGCCACTCCCGTTACCCTGTCCGGCAACCCCTTTGCGTCTCGTTCCATCTACGCAAACAAGTTCTACTCTTCCGAGGTCGTTTCTGCCGCTGCTCAGATGACCGACGCTGCTTTGGCGTCTGCTGCTCTCAAGGTTGCTGATGTTGGAACTTTCCTCTGGATGTGAGTCAGCCTACTCTTTCTTCCCACAGTTTTTGGGCTAACACATATATAGTGACACTCGTGACAAGATCTCTGTTGTCGAAGATGGCATCAAAGACGTTCCTTGCGGTCAGATTGCCGCGCTCGTCATCTACGACCTGCCCGGTCGTGACTGCGCAGCCAAGGCCTCCAACGGTGAGCTCGCTGTTGGCGAGATCGACATCTACAAGAAGGAGTACATTGACCGTAAGACTGTCTTGTCCATCGAAGACTACGACCCGTACTGATGATATGTTAGCCATTGTTGCCATCTTCAAGAAGTACCCAAAAACTGCCATCGCTCTCGTCATTGAGCCCGATTCCCTCCCCAACTTGGTCACCAACGCCAACCTCCAGACCTGCAAGGACTCTGCCTCTGGCTACCGTGAGGGTGTCGCATATGCCCTGAAGCAGCTCAACCTGCCCAACATCGCCATGTACATCGATGCCGGTCACGGAGGATGGCTCGGCTGGAACGACAACTTGAGTAAGCATGCTCTCATCACTTTTCAAACCCTCCAGCTTATCACTAACAATGTTGTGCAGAGCCCGGAGCCAAGGAATTAGCCACCGTCTACAAGAACGCCGGTAGCCCCAAGTCCGTCCGTGGTGTCGCTACCAACGTCGCTGGCTGGAACGCGTGGGACCTAACCCCAGGAGAGTTCTCCAAGGCCACAGACGCCCAATGGAACAAGGCACAAAACGAGAAGAAGTTCGTCGAGCTCTTCTCTCCCGAGCTCAAATCTGCAGGTATGCCCAGCCAAGCCATCGTCGACACAGGCCGCAACGGCGTTACCGGTCTGCGCGAGGAGTGGGGCAACTGGTGCAATGTCAACGGCGCTGGATTCGGTGTTCGTCCCACGAGCAACACGGGATCCAGCCTTGTTGATTCATTTGTGTGGGTCAAGCCTGGTGGCGAGAGTGACGGTACAAGTGACAGCTCGGCGACTAGGTACGACTCCTTCTGTGGCAAGTCGGACAGTTTCAAGCCGAGTCCTGAGGCCGGTCAGTGGAACCAGGCGTACTTTGAGATGCTCGTCAAGAACGCTAAGCCTGCTTTGTAAACTGGTGGCTGGCACCTGAATCCAAATCGCATCGGAATGGTTTAGAAGGTGGATGGTACTAAAGGATGTTATGCCCACTAAGGATGGTGCACGTTGTATATAGATTGATTAGTCGGTAGGTAGGAGATTCGTCAAGTAAAACCTATCGTTAGAGAACTTCGCTTCATCTGTCTATACATTGTTGTAGTCCCGACAAGGAGATTGAACTATCATTCCGTCAACAGTACCGACTGCATCTTTGCATATCAATCTTCCAAACAAGATCTGGCAGAGTCTGCTCAATGTTGTAAGTCAGTCTGGATGGCATTAGAGTAGAGTTGACGTGATATCATTCGACCACTCTCTAAGTGTGCCAGCGTTTGGCTAGTAAGATGAACATCTGCCTAAAGGAGTGCGCCCGGTGCATTTTCCCCTTTGCCAACCCATATGTACGTCCAAAAACTCCGCGTGCGCGCTTACAAAAAAGGTATGCTCGCTCGCTCGCTCAAACCTACCAAAGAAACGCCTTGGCTGCGCCTTGCGATGCATCCCAATCCAAACCAGTACTGTATAACGCTAGAGTCAAGCCGTGAGGCTCTTCATGTAGTATAGCGTATGCTCTTCGTTAAAATCATTCGTTCTCTATCCTTTCATCGTTTCTATCGTCTTGTGAATCGGGTGTTTCCTTCAGTAGACAAGCTCTGTCGGCTCAACGACCGCTCCAAGTCCCGTCTTAGATGAGAAACGGACCGTTCGTCGGAGTCGTCCTAAGACATCCGTCTCCTCCTGAAAGGCTCCTCTTCCTCCTCTTCCTCCTTCTCTTCGTTAACTTGCAACGTCAACCATGCAGCGACCAGAGCGCAAACACCACCAAATCGCAGCACCCAAGCCACACTCGTGTCGCCTGCTGTGCCTCTAGGCTTTTGTAGAAGCTTGAACATGATGGCGCTGACGAGTGTCGCGATAACCTGCGGTGCTGCAATAGCAACGTTGTGAATTCCCAAAACGACACCGGCAGAATCGGCGCCTGAACCGTCGTCCTCACCCTCGGCGATGAGCTGTGACTCGCGATCACGGGGCCTGATGATACCACGACGGATGGCGTCCCTCTTGGAGATCTCGGAAGAAATGATGGCAAACGGCGCCCAGTTGGTTACACACCAAGGAATTCCAATAGCACCAACGAGGACAGTCGCTCCCCACGTACTACGAACGAAGAAGGTAAGGGCCATGAGTACGGTGAAGAGGATATGCGATATGAACCAGGATCGGCGGAGAGTGAGCGACTTGACCTGCAACATCTCCATTGACCTAGAGATCTTCTCCATAGTTGTGTTCGGGTTTCCCTTTGGTGTGGGGTTCAAGGCAAAGTAGCCAGAGCCACCCATAGAGTGTGGGGTTGTCGGTGTCATGGGTGTCGCCGGTGTTATCGGACGGTCGGGTTCTGGGGCTTGGAAGGTTGGGGGGATTACGAACGGCAGGACGACGGAGGCGACGAATGTGGTGATGGCAAAAACCAAAAGAGCTCTGGTGCCAATCCTTGTACCGTCCTCCAGGATCTCGTCAATCTTGGCGTCCGGCAGGTGGGGGTTCTCCTCAAAGTATGGATCGGCATAAATCTCGCCAACATATGTAGTGATGTAGAAGAGGAATGGGAACCACCCGATCCAAGCAAAGAACTGTACGGCGCAGACCTTCTTGATCTGAGGAGGTAACTTCTTTACTGAGCGCGCAAGACCCTTGAAGAAGGCGATGACACCATCTTGCTGCTCGGCTGGTGCAGTGTCGAATTGGGGATCGCGTTCCGAGCAGGTGGAGCAACTGATACCGACAGTGAGTGCCATGACGAAAGAAGCGATGGCGCAGAGGACCTTGAACTGTGTGTTACCGAGCCATGGAAGGTAGTCTGGGAGGTTGATGTAACCTGCTAGGTAACCCAGAATGTTACCGATACCGGCGGAGCGCATCAACCATGCATTAGCAGATTCTTGCTGATGGGTAGGTGCCACATCGACAATGTATGCGCGCACACCGGCTTGAATGACGTTGATAGCGAAATCCAGCACGTATACGAACAGGACAGCGAAGAGCATGATGCTTGTCTTGACACCCGTTGACTCGGGGTCAGCACCGAAGATGCCTAGGAAACCTCCGATGATTTCTCTTGCCCAAGCGAGGACCATGAGGGAGACGATGGTGGCAGCTGCACCGCCGATGATGAAGGGTCTCCGTTTACCCCAGCGCAGGCGGCAATTGTCACTCTTGAGACCGACATAGGGTTGGACGAGTACACCAGAGAGCGGGCCAGCAATCCACACGAGGGCAAGCATCGACTTGCTCAGACCGAGCGACAGTAAGTATGGCTGCACACATGGTTAGCATATGTTGTACATGAAACGAATTGCGGTGGTCCGACAGATGATGCATGCATGCACGGCTCACACGACCTCGGTGACAGTACGCCCAAGGGTCCTCGAGGGCCAGATCTACATGCAGGGTCCATGGCGTCCTCATGGACATTGGCTTCCAGGAAAAGCACTTACCGATCCGTTGGAAGTCTCTACAGACCATCCTATTTGCAGACCGAGACCGCCAAAAGTGAGCAAGAAGAGAAACCAACTGCTCTTTGTCTCCTCGACCTGCTGTTCGCCCATCCAGTCATCGTCATCGTCGTCAGGCGACAAGGCCTCCTTAAGGAGCGGATCGACTTCGGAGGACATTCTTTGAGGGATGATGGTGGGCGAGTTCTCGTGGATGATTTCTACGTGGGTGTGGCCTTCAGTGTCTGGACGTCCGCCCATGAGCGAGTCGCGGCCAAAGGAAACGAGCTTGGGTCGTGGCCGGGGGCGAGTGGAAGTGTCGAGTTTGGAGGGAGGAGAGGAAAGAGGTGAAGACGAGGGCGAGTCCTCGGCGTCGGGCCGTGAAGACGACATATTGGCACAGGTGGCAGTCGCAATGGGCGTGGTGCTTGGTGTGGCCTGGGCGTGCGACGTGGTCAGCCCTGGTGGCTTACAGGCTCGCTGTAAGGGCCGGCGAGATTGTGATTGGCAGGACCTCAGTGGGTAACTGCGAGGTGTAAAGGTGGAGAGATGTGGTGAGAGGCAAGGCTATCAACAAAAGTCAAGTGGCGCGGCGGGACTTAATCCATGCTTGTCGACGGTGAAAAAGGCGCTAGTGGAACCGTTGGTGCTTGAGTGGCGATCGATGTCGGATCTCGACCAAAGTTGACAATCGGACGCTGCTTCAAAGGGAGGATGGAGGGGCGAGGAGCAGCCAGGTATAACAACGGGCGGGGAGTCAGGGTTTCATAAGAGGCGGTGTAGGTCATGTGTCTGCCAGCCGTCTTCGGTAGGCTTGGTGAAGGGTCTAGCAGGTCTTGCAGGTGATTCTGGGTAGATGTCATGCAGGCGTCTTAGCCAGTGTGTGTGCGATGACGTCGCTGCATCAGCGGTTCAGATGCCCTTGTCCGCGGCACTAGGCCGCATGCTGATTGGCGCTCGCTGCAACGCCAGCCGAGACATGGAGACCACCTGGACGCCGTGGAAAGGCAGCGACGCGTCTATCAGGAGTTCTGGGAAGCGAATACAGTGCATCGCCAGCCTCGCACCGCTCGCTATATCCAACACACCCGCGGCCACGCGCGCTGGATAAGGATCTGACTGTGACCGGAGGACCTCCGAAGCCCACCGCCGGCCGACGACTCCTTGCGCAACGTTGCCTCAGGTTCCGTCCCATCTCTAGGCAGCCCAGGTAGCATCCTAGCATCCACCACCCAACAGCCACCTGTACCCTTCACATACACTCCGACCCCCCGCGCAAACCTCGAGCCACACCGCACACACTCGCGCTGTTGATGACAGCCCGGCCCTGAGTCCAACATGGCGTCGATAATGGGGTGGTGGGCAGTTGGCCAGCTACTCAGTATGCGCCCTCGAATCTTCGAGAAATACCCGGTACACGTACTGACTGTTGACGGCAGAGCGCGATGCATCCGACGCAGACCCGGACGGTCAGTCCCCCGCTCCACCACACACTCGGCGATCCCATCTCTAATGCGCCCCCAACAGACGAACCAGAGGCAGGACAGAAGGAGATATTCACATCATGGGCCCTGTCCATTCTGATTATGCTCCTTATCATAGCCCTCTTCACAAGCTACATACTACACACGCGCAAGATCCAGGCGGTGCATGAGACGGTCCTCTCGATTTTTGCTGGTACGTTGTTAGTTCCCACACCACCCTCTACGCCTGCTTGGGCCTTTCCGCAGGCTTGGCATCCGTTGAGACAAGCTCGGCGTAGTGTGCATGGGCAAGGCCACAAAATCCGATCACTTGCAGCCTGAAGCCCATCACCCGACTAATTGTGGGGTAATCTGCACATATCCACCCTGCCATGTCGCCTAGTCCATCTCGTAATGCCATCGCGCTATGATGCTCGCTAATGCCCTTCAGGAATGGTCGTTGGCCTGCTGCTGCGCTTGACAGCAGTCAGTTCCGTGCGAGATGTCGTCAGTTTCGACTACCAGATGTTTTTCAATTTGCTACTGCCGCCCATTATCCTCTCGGCTGGCTATGAACTGCATCAAGGGAATTTTTTCCGACACATCGGAACTATTCTCACCTTCGCCTTTGCTGGCTCATTCATCTCCGCCGTAGTTCTGGGTGTCATCCTGTTCCTGTGGACCAGAATACCTCTCGATGGCTTCAAAATCAACTTCGTCGAGGCCATGTCCGTTGGCGCCACGCTTTCGGCCACGGACCCAGTGACCATTCTTGCCATCTTTGATACTTACAAAGTAGAACCAAAGCTGTACACTCTCATCTTCGGCGAGTCTATTCTCAACGACGCCATCGCCATTGTTGTCTTTGAGACGGCACAGAAATACAAGGACGGCGCTGAACACCTCGGAATCGGGAGCCTCTTCGAAGCCTTGGGTATCTTCATGGGTGTCTTCTTCGGAAGTTTGTTCATCGGTGTCATGGTGGGCATTGGCGTGTCTCTGATGCTCAAGTTCACCTATGTTAGACGGTTCCCCAAGAATGAGAGTTGTCTCATCATCCTCACCGCATACTTGACCTACTTCCTGTCCAACGCCATCCACATGTCTGGTCAGTCTCGCCCTATCTAGCACAGCCATCAGCTGACCATCTTACAGGCATCGTGTCTTTGCTGTTTTGTGGTATCTGCTTGAAGCATTATGCTTATCACAACATGTCAAGACGAACTCAATTAACCACCAAGTTTGTTTTCCAGGTTACCTCGCAAATCTCGGAGAACTTCATCTTCATCTACCTAGGCTTGTCTCTCTTCACCGACGACAAGCTCGACTACAAGCCACTATTTATCTTGATCACCGTGTTTGGCATTTGCGCCGCTCGCTGGTGTGCAGTATTCCCGCTTTCAAGGCTCATCAACTCCGTCACAAGATATCGCCAGCGCCGCCGCGGTGACGAGATTGTAGAAGAGATTCCTTATCCCCACCAGGTTATGATCTACTGGGCAGGTCTGCGCGGTGCTGTAGGTGTTGCACTTGCCGCAGGACTCACAGGTAACAACGGCGACACTCTGCGAGCCACAGTTCTCGTCGTAGTCGTTCTGACTGTCATCATCTTCGGAGGAACCACTGCGCGCATGCTGGAGATTCTAGGCATTCGCACTGGCGTGGTTGAAGAGATTGACAGCGATGATGAGTTCGATATCGAAGTCGTTAATGGCGGCACTTACACACGCAAACAGGGCCAAGCCTATGGCAACACCCCACGCCCGAACCAAAATGGCTTCTCACTCAATAATGTCAACGGACCAGACGCCACGTACTCTAGTGGATCAGCTAGTCGCAGCAGCCCACCGACACGACCCAACGGCGCTATGCGACGCAATTCGAGCCACCCACGTGCCAAAGATGGCGCAGACCAAAATCTTCTCAGCCCCGCCGATAGTGGCTCTGCTGACGAGGACGATATCGATCTTGATCTTCCACCCAGCGCACGCCGCTCGCCCAACCGCGGTCCGTCACCATTGTTGGGAGACCCATCACCGTACCCGACGTCCGGTATAAGACCGGTCGGCACTGCAGAGGGCTCGAGTAGAGTCGCGACTGCCACAGGTGCAGTGAAGCAGCTGTTCAACGAGATCAGTCACGATCCCGCGAACGCTTTCAAGCAGATTGATGATGGTTTCCTCAAACCACATCTGCTGCTCGACCAAGGAAAGGCCCAGGTCCGGGTAATGTTTGATTTTTCTAGTAGACGGATAGGAAAGAAGCATTCGTGGCGTTTGAGTCATTTTTGGGAATATTGGCTAGCGACTTTGTTTGCCTGGTGCATAGCGTAGCATGACATGAGTCATGGTGAAACATGGTCACAGCTATTTTATCTTCTAGATTCGTATATCCCATTACATGCGGAATGGAAAATTGATCCGGATCGTATTTCAATTGATTTGGGGGAGGGGGCTTTGAACATGTGGAAGAGCAGGCATGTATGTTATGGGTGATAAGCATGCGAAGGTAAACTTTAGATCACATAATACAACACTCCGAGTTCAAGCAGCAGATTCAAGTCAAGAAACCAACGGTATTCACTATAGTTTAAAAAAAATTGGGAATCAAAATAAACACCTAACAGAGGCCTGATTTCACCAACACGAAGATAACAAAACAACACAATTGTCCTCAATTCCCTTTGCCAGTTTTTCCCACCACCCACTCGCCTGCCCTCATGGGAGTAACGAGCAAACCTTTCCCTTGACCAGGACGTCTTTCATGACATGATGACCGACTCAAGAAACATGACTGGCCTAAGGTCCCGGATATCTGTCGAACCTCCAGATACGCGCGCGCATGTCGCCACTGCCGGTAGCAAACACGCCTCCTGTAGGGCTTGGGGCTACAGAGATGACTAGAGACACTTGGTTAGTAACTTGTCGCAAATTTTTGAAGACATGTCAAACGTACCGGAGTTCTTATGTCCTTGCAACATGAGTTGCGCGACACCAGTATGAGGATCCCAGAACTGGACACCACGGTCCTTGGAACCACTCAGAACCCAGTCACCGTGCGGGGTAAGCGCAACACTGAGCACAAAGTCCTTGTGGCCTTCAAAGGTGCGGATGCACTTGCCACTTGGCTGGTGCCCGCCTGGAACAAAGCGGTTGTTGGTCGACAGCTCCCACATCTTGATCGTCTTGTCGAGACTGCCACTGACAAGACGATTTCCAGAAGGTGCGAAAGCCACACTGTAAACACTGTCCTTGTGGCCGTGCTCGCCTTCAAGACGTACGACAAGCTGACCAGTCTGAATGTCCCAAACGCGGACGCTCTTGTCGAGTGATCCGGCCGCAACGTAGAGGTTGTCCGGAGAGATTGCCACGGTAGTGACACCGTCTTCGATAGAGAAGTTGGAGACTTGCATGTTGGACTCAAGATCCCAAAGACGGACACTTCTGTCACCACTACCAGATGCAATGATCTTGCCGTTCCTGGCAAAGTCGAGCGAGTAAATATCCTGCTCGTGTCCAGTGAATTGGTGCTTGATGGTGCGGCTAGCGATGTCCCAGACCTGGCTCAATGTTAGTTATATTCAGATTAGTACGTCAAAATCAAACTTACCCTGATGACCTTGTCCTCCGCACCAGTCGCGAGATATTGCCCGTTAGGACTGAAGCAGACGCTCCTTATGTACAGATCTCCATCCTCGGGTAGGCTTCCGTCCTGAAGATGCGCGACGGGGTTTCCAGTCTCGACATCGAAAATCTGGGCCGAACGGTTGCAACCTGTCGCAACCCACCTACCGTCCAAACTAAAGCGTACACAGCAAACCACACTTTGATGTGGCAAATTGTGGATGAGGTCGACATCTAGAACTCGCCTGGAGCGAGGGTTGAAGACAGCGAACCAATCGCTACCTTCCTTCTTCAAGTTCTCTGGCAACTGCTCGATGTCTAGGTCAGCTAAGACGTTGCTCTGGCTGAGGGGAATGTGGTTGGGCGCCATCAAAGCACTCGGCTGCTGCTGCTGCTGATGATGGTTGGGAGGAGGAGTCGGTCGTGGGACTTGGGGCGATCCGGGATACGGAGCAGGGTTGTTCTGCTGAGGTGTCGCGGGGTTGGGGGGACCGTTAGGAGGACCGCGAGCAGGACCTGGACGCTTAGCACCAGGGGAGGCAGTGGGCTGTGGAGGCTGACCATAACCTGCGGTGTGTCAGCCAAGATATAGTCACGAATAGGAGGTCATCTAAGCTCACCATTTACAGATGGGCCCTGCTGGTAGCCACCAAAGTGCTGTGGTGGTCCAGGAGCAGGGTTCAGTCCTGGTGGACCTTGGGGTCCCCCCAGTTGTGGTGGCATGCCGTGGCCTTGGGGCGGCTCCTGTGGAGGAGGCGCCAGTCCAGGGCCGCCCTGCGCAGCACTGCCTGCCATTATGCCGCCGAACAAGTTGCTAGGTCCATGGCCAATTTGAGGCGGCTGAGGCTGCGATGGGCCGTGATGCTGCGAGTTCTGGCTGGGGCCGCCACGAGCTTCGAGTTCGCGCTCCAGCTGGGCGATGCGCTCCTCGTATCTACGATGCAAGTCAGTATTCAAAATCCAACATGCCAAGGAATGGCAGTAAGGTTTCTTGGGGATTTGTAGAGACGAGCTTACTTTGCTTTCATCTGGTTGTGTGATTGTTCGAGCGAGTAGACCTTGCCGCGGATCAACTCAATCTCTTGAATGTGGCGGGTAACTAGAAGAAGCAATCAGCAGCTGTTCATGGGAAGATATTGAGCTATTCGCGACAACATGCAGTCGAAGACATGCGCAGAAAGTTTGCTTCAGAGGTCCTTCGGTTTCGAAATGCGACTGCCTCAATTCACGGCTGAGTAGCATGGGGAAGACTCACTTTGGCCTTCGGCATCAACACTACGCTGCGACTCCGCCTCGAACTCGGTCTTGATGCTGTCGAGCAGCTGATTGAGGCGTTGGGCTGGCTCAGCTTGGGGGCCTCCCATGACACGGGGAGGATAGTGGTTCATGCTGGCGGTTGGTGCGCGCTCGTGGGGGGAAATACGAAGTTGAGCTTCCGATATGCTTCGCGTGGTGCGCTATTGAGACGCGAACAACAGGGCGCGGTATGCGACGGGGTCGTGTGGATGCCTGATGGTCGCAAGGCTGCTGTCGCACAGCTGGGACGAGCTATCTAAACTGGTACACGTTGACGGGGCCGGCCCTTTGGTGGGCGCGACGGGTATCGGATGGATGGATGGTGAATGAAGCCAGATAGGGATGCAGACGAGTGCAGTTGGTGTGGTGGCCGCGAGATCGCTGAGGTTTGAGCGCAAGATGGGTGGGTCCGTGGTTGGTGCTTTTGCTTGGCTTGCACGGAGGAAGAAGCGTTCCAAATCCGGCAGGCGGGAAACATCAGCATCTGGAGTTTACGCCGAACTGCTGTTCAGCCACGGCATCTTTCTTCGCCGACTACGCCGCTAGGGTTTTCACCCATGGTACGCTTCCTCCCCCCACTCGAACCCTTTCGTCCCAAGCTCTCGACAACCTCTCTCCTCCCATTCGTGTCGGGCGTTCCGCTCCACCCCATCATGACGAACCCTTGCTCGCACTAACGCTGCCGTTCCCGTCGCGCTAGAGTCCTTTGGGCCAAGCTGCATATCACACGTGTTTGTCCTGTTTCGGCCGCAATCGGTTTTCCTACCTTACATCAGCATCCCCAGTTGTATATTGACCCAGACGATGTTGTGCCACAGCAAATTGCCACCCCCACGATGAGTTCCTACTTGTCGGCGATAACAGAAACAACAAAGCTAGGCGCACCTTAGGCTTCGGCCATTTGGCTACGCGGGGAAAGTGTTGCAAGCGCATGCAGGCTACTGTATCGCCGTACGAGCCATCATGATGTGTTCGAGCCAGTTACCTATTTGCCTGATTGTAGATGTCCTTGAAAGATCGACTTTGCATGTATGGTCCAATGTCTCGTGGCTCCTGGGAGTATGCAATCTGCTGAAATCCAGGACTAGTCTTTGCTTTCAATGTTGCATGACTTGTTATACTCGCGTCACCACCCTTCACATTGAGCAACGCCGTCCCCCATATCCGGCTCATCTGCAGTGCTGGTTTCACACGTAATCACGATGATTACACGACGCGTTGGCGGCTGCATCATACCTAGGCAATCCTATGGCACGCGGCCCCTCGAGCGCCCCGCGCTGCTGATGGTATCAGGTGTGATTCGCCCAAGCCAGCCACGGAAAATTCGTTCATGCCAAAGGACGCACTCTTTCACCGCATTGAGAACAATGCAGCAGATTCTGCAACTTGGTCGTCCTCGTCGTTGTATTGTGACGAGCTGACGAATGTGTAGCTGTCGCGCTTTCCTATTCGTAGTGCCACGTGAAAGTGCCTAGCGCCGTCGCGTAAGCCATCTCGGAATGCTCACCTTACCAGATCTCGTCCCGCAGCTAGGGCTATCGTTGCGTCACCCCATCGTCCCGTGTCTGTCCTTTTGCCTGCTGGTCGCCACGGCTAACACACCTTGTGATCTATGTCTTTCCAGTCACCGCTTCCAACAGCCGACGCTACGTATTCTCTTCAATGCGCGATCCAACAGCTCGTACTGGCCTTTTGTCTACTGGTTGCTATCAATCGCCACTGCTTCCCGTTGTGAAATCATGCTGCATTTAGCATGCTCGTAATCACCGTGGCTGCTTCAATGTCCGTCACAATCACAGGCTACTGCCCTGTGAAGTTTCCAGGCTCGCCATAAAAGCACTGCATCCGCCTGTAGCTTCGTTACAATACAAAATACTCTTTGCTATCATCGAAGCTTGCTATTATGTGCCAATTGCTATCAACTAACTAATCGTTACTTCTAATTTTCGACTCTTCATTCTTCCAGAACAACCTCCAACACTAGTGTTCACCATGTCGCTTCAGCATGACAGTACTGGCGAGCAGCGATCCACATATGTGTGCCGACGTCAGTCGACTTACGAGCGACGTCAGCTTAGCATCACCTCATTCAAGTCCTCGGATGCGCTCCACAAACTCAAGGAACAAAAGGGAACTCTTGCGACCGCTGTCGAGGTCCGTACCACTAATTTTACATCCTAAAGATTATCTGCTAACATGTGGATTTGGCAGCCTCTCTACGCTGGCCTCGCTGTCGCCCAATCGGATGATGGAGACTTTCGCTATTGCATTGCTTTGCACGATGGGACATATACCATTAACTGCGAAAGCCAATGTCTTGAGCTGGCCAGGAGTGCAAGTGAAGGCAACTCATCGAATGAATCATCCCGCGTCGGATCAGGCGTCTCCACACCAACGTCCGTGGCAGACATCTCCGAAGCTCTAGCCAAGGCTGTCATCGAGTTTTTCAGCAACTACCGAGAGAAGAATCTGTCCAAGCCCATGGGTGCTACTCTGACTACCCAACTCGCTAGCCTAAGCCCGCATCTTGCCGTGCGCCTGTGGACCGACTTGGACATCATACCATTCATCTTCCCAGCCGATGCGAAAGACAAGCACGAGCCAATGATACCTCTCGACCAAGAAGCTGAGCGCATGGCCAGGAAGACAGTGAAGCAATTCAATGTCAAGGGCGAGTTGCCTGTTCAGATGGGCCATCGTCGTCAGGTCTTGGTTGATCTTAACAACCGAGTGCACATAGCCGAGCGCGAAAGCTACGATTCTACCATCAGGACGGACACTACAGGAGCTGCAACTATGCACTACGCCAACTCGTTAAAGCGAAGGAGGACCAAGATCGCGTTCTTTAACAGCACGGCACAAGGTGGAGGCGTGGCTCTCATGAGACATGCTCTGATGAGATATCTGAGTCTCCTCGGTATCGACTGCAAATGGTACGTTCCATTCGGAAAGACCGACATTTTCAGGATTACCAAGGACAACCACAACATCCTTCAAGGTGTCGCAACTAATGGTGAGCGTCTTACCGACGACAAGATCGCCAAGCTTGATGCTTGGGTCGTTGAAGAGACCGAGAAGTGCCACTGGGTCGAGTTCGGTGGCCCGCTTTCGGCTCGCGAGAAGGGCGGCGCCAATGTGATTATCGTTGATGATCCTCAAATGCCGAGTCTTGTCAAGATCGCCAAGCAGAAAGACCCTAGGTTAGTCTTCCTAGTTTGCTGTCTAAAGTTCTCAGTGTGTTAATTCTAGCTAACTCTGTCTTTCAGTCGCCCGGTCATCTTCCGCAGCCATATTCAGGTTCGAGCCGACCTGACTGATCAAGAAGGAACCACTACCTCCAAGGTGTGGAACTGGATCTGGAACCACATCAAAGACTGCGACGTCTTCGTCAGCCACCCTGTTCGAGCATTCGTGCCCAAGGTTGTCACCCCTGAGAAAGTGGGTTACTTGCCCGCGACTACGGATTGGCTAGACGGCCTGAACAAGCACATGCACCCTTGGGACGAACAATACTACCTCCATGAGCTCAAGGTTCAGTGCTTTGCAGCTGGCATGCGTCAGCTCGCTCATCCGGACCGTAAGTACATTGTTCAAATCGCTCGCTTCGACCCAGCGAAGGGTATCCCAGATGTTCTCGCGTCTTACGCCTGTTTACGCAAGAACTATATGAAAGACACTCCTCTCGCAGACATCCCACAGCTTGTAATAGCTGGACATGGAGCCGTCGACGATCCAGATGCGACTAGGATCTTCAAGGAAACTGAGACGGCTCTCAACGGAGACTACAACGAGTTCAAGAACGATGTTATTATCATGCGCATCGGTCCATCAGACCAAATGCTCAACGCACTCATGTCCTGTGCCCATGTCGCCCTCCAGCTCTCTACCCGCGAAGGCTTCGAAGTCAAAGTCAGCGAAGCGCTCCACAAGGGCACTCCTATCATCGCGACTCTCGCTGGTGGTATCCCTCTGCAAGTTCAACATGGGAAGTCTGGCTTCCTGGTTAACCCTGGTGACCACGACGCTGTTGCGAAGCACTTGTACGATCTCTTCACCGATTCGGAACTTCACTCAACCATGTCGGAGTACGCGAGCAAGCATGTTAGCGATGAGGTCAGCACAGTGGGTAATGCGCTGGCTTGGCTGTATCTGGCGGATGAGCTCTCTAGAGGTGTGCATGTCGCTCCCAATGGTCGATGGATCAACGATATGGCGAGGCAAAAGGCGGGTATCCCATATCAGAAGGACGAGGACATTCTAGTTCGCGATGTGAACTTGACGGGTAATTGAATATGAATTTCTTTGGGCTCTAGTAGACATTATTATATGAGTAGAGGGAGAAGTAGAATAGTTTTTCTCGTTTGTGGCTTCACTAAATTCTCATAATAGCCTTTGAAAGGCCCTCCAATGTCTTATCCTGGTCCATAAATCCCCTTCGCGCTGTTTTGTTCTGACCCGTCGTGCTCACAATTCAATGTCTCCTCCATAAAAGAGTACGTTTAGAGGCGATCCATGCGTTACAGATTCGGTTGGAAAGCCCATTGACGAGTTAGTGGGATGAGAATAACTGCCGCAAATTCCATCATCTGCTTAGTAAATCATCTTTGTGCAGAACACCAGACAGAGCCATTCTTTTGAAAGATGCCCTTCATGGGCCCATAAACACTCACTACCTAGTCTCCTCGGCATCTCCTTGCAAAACGCAAAGCTCGTTCTTCGTATGGCGCAAGGAAGTACGGCGTGCTTTCCATATCGAAACAACGACATACTCATACCGTTACCAACCCTCCCTCATGGCATTTCTAACAGCCACTTGGAACTCAGATATCGGCAACGAAGTGGAAGCCACCCCATCGATCGCGAAACAGCATACCACCCCCCTTCCCATCGCGACCCTGACTAATCCGCTCCTCAAGCACCCAGTCACCTTCCTTACTAGCATCATACTGCTCAATGGGTCCAATTTCCCGATCCTGTGCATCAACACCATCGACCGCACGTGTACCGTTCTCATGGTAACGAACGTACTGGCTGAAGCGACTGTACCTCACACTACCACTACTGTCGCGGATGGGAAGACGCTGATTGGGATCTAGCGTGAAGCGCGCTGCAAGGGGAGATTCGATGGAGCAGCTTCGTGGAGTAGTACCACAACCGGACGGAAACCCGAGACGTGCTTCGATAGAGCTAGTCTGACTGCGAGGTGTTGAGGCCGTCGCTGTGCTTGCGCTGCCACGGTTGCTGGGTGGGAGGACCATACGGGTACCGCTCTCGCGCATGAAAGCTAGCGTCTCCTCATCGAGACTGTCGGGGCGAGGAGGACGAGTAGGAGGTGGACCCGGGCGTTTCTCGAAAGGTACCGTGATGGGGTTTTCTAGGATGGGAGGACTGCTCAGCTGCGCCATGAGCTGGGGGCGCGAGATGGAGATACTGCGGCTTTGAGCTTTAGCGAGAGAGATGCGTGATCCGCGAGCTGTGGCTGACGGTGTAAGTACACAACGGCATGTTCTGGCCAGTGGTACATTGGCTGGGATCTGTGGGACTGGCGGAGGCGGCGGTGACTGCGTAGGGCTTCTATTTGTGCTGACACCAAAGAGGCGCGAGCCTAAAACACGAGTCAACATAGAGTCGATACGGGAAATAATGGTGAGTAACATGCCTTTGTCTTTCAACAGCGCAAAGCCGGGGCGAGACTTGGATTTGAGCAACTCAAAACCACCACCGGTGTGTTTGTGCTCTGACATGGCGGAGAGGTTGCGCGAAACTGGTGGAAGCGCAGGTGAGTATTCCTCATCCTCATCCTCATAGTCGGGCAGATTCTCGAAGCTATCGCCCTGATATGCCGGAGTCACACGATTGGCGACCGGGGCGAGTAGCGTAGACGAGGAAGTGTTGGATGTTGAAGTGGACAGTGGCTTGTCATTCCTGCGCCCAAAGAATCGCGATGCTACAGATGTTAATCCCGTGCTTGCACCTATCGGTAAATGAATACTTACGTTTCTTCTTCATACCAACGTCTTGAATCCCGGCGTCAAAGTCGATATCCGAGCTCCCGGCAGCAGCAGCAGCCTTCTCATCGCGACTTGGGCTATCTCGAAAGAAATGCGAGGCTGCATGTCAGTCAGCACTGATCGTTTGCAGTCGGTGTGCGGGAGCAGGAGTCGCAATCGGTCATACACCGCGCTGCGATATAGCGAGAGCTTACCTTTGCTCCGAAGACCCTTCATCCTGATCGGTTGCGACGACTCACAATCGCGACAAGTTGGTTTTGGATTAGTACGGAGTGTTAGCTGAGAAATGCAAAAGCCGCGTAATTGTGCGTGTTAAATACTTGGATCGAGCGGGCGGTGGCGCAAGCGATCGTGTACGGAGAAGCGCGCGATGACGATGGTGAAGTGAACTGCACCCTTTCGAAGGTTTCACGGTGAGGTACATCGCGTTCAGTGCCAAGCTGGGACTGGCCTGTAGCGCTCGTGATATCGGATGATGAAAGTGAGAGTTCACTCGAGCTGCTACCGCAACAAGTCGAATCTAGAAACCTAAACGCGGAAGTTTTACAAGAAATTGAGATATGACCGGTAGGCATCGGAAAGTCCATACTACTTTCACTCGTTGAAAGATCAGCTCCATCATTTCCTACTCTTGCCTCTGCCACCCAGCACTTTGGCATGGAATCTCGCTAACAAAGTGACGATGATATCAAAAATCAAAGAGAAGGAAACTGTATATAGAATGATCCTACCATCACGAACTTGTGCCGAACGAGAACCATGTTTGGACATGAAAACTCTGAGCCTCCCAAGGGAAGCACCAGAGCCGAGCATCATGCCCTTATATTTTTTTTCTTGATTTTTACTTATAGTTTGTGGTTGTGTAGTGATAGTCGAGTTGAGTCGTGCCTGGATCCAGATCGTGGATAGCAGAATAATATCGTAGGAAGCTCACTTCTTATAGCCAGTCGAGACAACCCCCAAAAAGTGCCTAAGCACCGGAACATGAAAACATGGTGCCAGAGAACGCCTAATGTCCAACTCTTGGATCCCGTGTCCATGCACCCATTCATGAACAGTAGCGAAAGAAACGCTTGCGCTAGACCAAGGAACCTGAGACGACATGCCCATCAATGCTCACTACGTCCACAAAACAAAATGACGACCAGTCATTCCTAACGCCAGAAATTCCAAATAAAATGAAAATACAATCATGAACCATGAACATGGAACAAATAGAGAATCGATATAAATAAAGGAAGGTGTCGGACGGAATAGATGTCTAGATATGAGAGGCTTCGTGATGACGACCGACTACCTGACGCTGGACTCGCCAGCCGGATTGAGATTGAGCAAACGCTTGAGATCTTGCTCCAAAGACAACGTATCGGAAGGGGTGGAGGTTTTCATTGGTGAAACACCCGCGGTAGCGGCGGGTGCTGATGTCTTACGTTGTTTGGCAGCGACGGAGGAAGGGACAAAAGACATCATACTTGTGGGAGGCTTCGCAGCAGAGGCTGGAGGACCGTTGGCGGCTGTTTTGCCAGGTCCGGTCATGTTGCCTCTTGCTTGGTGAGAATCAGGACGAGGCTGGTGTGGCTGTCGACCAGGCGTCCTCCTGCGGTTGTTTGGGCTCTGCTGGTAGTGTTGCACAAAAGGTGCTGATGAACGAGGCGCATTCGGGTGGCCTCCATTGCTGTTTCCTGGCTGGTTTCGAGAGAAGGCGTTGGGATCCATCATCTGAGCGGGAGGACCAGAAGGAAAACTCTGGAAATCGCCCTGTCCAACCATAGGAGACTCGGCTGAGATCTCAGTGCGGAGACCGGAGTTGCGTTTCTTTGCTGAATCTCCCTTTGCTGCTTTGAAGAGTGGAGAAAGGTTTCGGTTGCCATAGAAGAAGTCAGAGTCTTGGTTCAGAGGCTGTGTCTGCGGTGTGGTGGGCCCCGACGCAGTTTGAGCAGGAGGCCGACCGTCATGGAAGGGTGACGGTGTTTGGCCTGAAAATCCTTGGGGTCCTTGAGCATCCGGTCGAGGAGGCGTTGCAGAAGGCTTCTTCTGCGACATTGAAAGTCGATTGAAAAGGTCCTGCATCACATCATTGCCGTGGCCCTGCTGCTGCACGTCCTTTAGCTGCGTGACTTTATTGGGGTCTGTGACGGAGCGGTGCGAAGCTGGTGATGCTACGGGAGGAGGAGACATGTGCGCGTGCTTGCTTTCACCATCAAGCTCTATGGGAAAGACGCCGTTCATGGAATGGTAAGAATCATGCTTGAAGTGCTGCGGTCTGGCTGCATCCACTGGGTTGAATGGCCCGTGCGCTAATGGGCGTCCATGGTTGCCTTTGGCTCTCTCTGCTGCATCGGCCTTGAAAAGCAGATCCAGCGGGGATTGTTCATTACGAGGGGGGGCGGCCACCGGGGCACGAGAAGGAGAAGCAGAAGGACTCGGAGAGGCAGAATCAGAACTATCTTCGGGCGGAGGTGTTGGTGGACCAGCACGTGTTTTCGCCGGCACAGAACGAGAAAGAAACTTGGGTATAGGCAGAGCAGAAGGCGCAGGAGAGGCATGGAAAGTAGGCCCCGCATAAGCGGCCTGGATCTTGGCCGGAGTAGCCGACGGATTAATGGGAACGGGCTCTGATTCAGGAGGAGAGAAGACGCGGTCGATGGAGGGATGAGACCGGTTGTTGGGCCTCCTCATGTTGCGCGGTCCTGGTGGCATATGCGCGTCCTCACCTGAGTAAACCGTGCCTTCCGCGTGGGCGAGTTCAGCAGGCATCTTGCTCGGGGACGCTCCTGCTCCATTGTACTGGTTTTGGTTGTAGCCATTGTGTGCGCGGTTCCCTCTCGGTTTCCGTTGCGACTGCCGGCCTTGATTGGTGTGCGGTGCCTGAGCTGGGCTCTGCGGCTTGCCCCGAGGAGCGAGTGGAGAAGCAGTAGTCTGTGCCGTCGACATGTGAGGCGCTGTTTGTGGTGTTGTATTGCGATGGGATGAGTCCGGATTATCTGGAAGGGCGCAGGCGGACGCTCTTGGTTCGTGATATGCAAGTGGGTTGGAAGGTGGGCGATGACGCGGTCTGTGTCTTTGTCTGTGTCTGATAAGGTGGGATTGGGTAAGGGTTAGATGTTGAAGTGGTCATGTCCAGATTCGCGGGGTATAGATAGGCACGCGCCGTCGGGTGAAGTAGGGCGAAGGGTGAGGGTGTTGTGAGCAGACTCGGTCGCATCGACGGTGAACGGCGCGGAGGTGGCTGTGACCAAACAAGGCTGATCTCGGCAAGGCGCACTGACGATTGCGGCGGCGTAGGGCTGAGTGGTTGGCACGTCGGGTATGATGGAAGCGGGAGTCTGTTGGACGCCGGTCTTTGAATCGTAAGAGCTGGTTGAATCTCGACGTTTGTTCGTCTGAAAGGGATTTGAACGTTTAGCGAGACAATTCTTACTCCCTTTCATCTGTCACGCCGTCCCAAGGTTGGTAGACAGGGCCAGGGCTTGGCATTTTGGAGCTCGCAGCTGGAGCCTGACGCCTGCACATTGCGCCTTCACCTCACAAACACACTGGGAGCACCTCAACCACACTTCGCCACCCCATATAATACTGGGAGCTGTAATAGGTTCCTCTCCAAACGCCACAACTCTCACACCGCTCATAACCGCCCTCTTTCCACCTCAAGAGCTTCAACTCCGACCAACTCCCCGCATCCCCCACCACTCCGATACATAACACAATAATGGCGGACGTCGACATGGCAGATGCGCCCCCGGCCAAGACCAAGACCGGCAAGGCCAGTGCTGGCGGAGAAGGCGAGAAGAAACGGTTCGAGGTGAAGAAGGTAGGCATCACACGACAGAAGGCAACATAGGGAGATTGAAACTAACATTACTCAGTGGAATGCGGTCGCTCTCTGGGCATGGGATATCGTCGTCGACAACTGCGCCATTTGCCGCAACCACATCATGGACCTTTGCATTGAATGCCAGGCCAACCAAGCCTCCGCCACGAGCGAGGAATGCACAGTCGCCTGGGGTATTTGCAACGTAGGTTCCCTGACAACACTTCACTGGCAAGTACTAACGTACAACAGCACGCCTTCCACTTCCACTGCATTTCACGATGGCTCAAGACCCGACAAGTCTGCCCGCTAGACAACCGAGACTGGGAGTTCCAGAAGTACGGTCGCTAAACGCTTGCGAAAGCTGGGGAGAGATGGATTTCAACAGGAACAAACATGGGTCTTGGTTTCATTCGGACGTCTGGCGTTAGTAGGGCCTTCACAAAAGGGCTATGAGAGCATGAAGTAGCGACATAGGCGGTCATCATCGTCGAATCAGATTCCATTACGATCATGAAGTTGTTCTGACCATGCAGCTTGTCCCTCTCTTGCCTCGAGCGACTATCCGACTTTTTGCCCGTCCACGTCGATGTTGTACTGCGACGTTGAGTTGTGCGGTGGGAGCCAGTCTTCAGGGTTCTTGTTGTAGAAAGGCCACGGGGGCACGACAACGAGGAATGTGAGGGCGGAGCCGGCGAGGCCGATGTAGAGTGCTAGTCGGATGTCTTGCTGCAGGAAGCCAACGATGAATGCGATGATCTATGCCGGTCAATTTCTTGATGCAACTAGGAAGAGGGGGGGTTCCATACACCAGCTGCTCCGAGCAGGACAGTGCTCATCATCTCTGCAAGCCTCTGACCTTCAAAGTCCTGTTCATGTTAGCGAATGCGTATACTGAAGTAGCAGCGTTGCTGTCGCATACAATCTGGCCCTCGAACGCGTCGCGCGCTTGCTCAAGTAGCTGGTCTGCCATGCTGATGGGGTGTGCTGGATGTTCGGGATGTGTCTGTGGTATTGCGACCCGGAGCAAGTGTAGTTAGTTCAGGTACCGGGTATCACTTGGAACTGTCTACTCAGAGTCCGACGGCCTAACTGTCTTGGAGAGGTGGCATGTTCACAAGCCACACAGGCAACCATGGAAATGCAAGGGTCCGCAGCCGCACTAACCCTCACTAAGAACGCCTCTTGATTCACGCCCAAGATTGACGCAGCAACGACATGCAGTACCTGGTTCCTAGTCAAGGTGCAAGAACCAAGGTCAACTAGGCCGCGGAATTGACGGTAACAGTTTCAGTCGCGAACTCCCCACAGCGGCTGCGTTCTGGACGCGTCACATGCACGTCTGGTTGCGCTTCTGCCCAATCAGCTTGGGCCAGTAGGCTCCGTTTGCACAAGCTTTTTCCTTGACCCATCGCTCAACTGCCCGTATTTGAGTCCCGCACCGTCCCTCAAACAACATTCCCACCGTCCGCCTGGACTCCCACCCACCGCACCTCCCATCGATTCCCAACAGCCTCACGATACAAACTTCCAGCAGTCGCGATCGCGCACCCTCCATCTATCCGGCACTTATCCCCGTGGACCGCCATCCACCACTGTGACTGATCACTCAAGGGGTCTTTGTTTTTGCAACCATCCCCTTACACCGCACCTTCTGACGCTACGGCGTCGATATACATACAAACCACCAAGTTGGCGGGACTCTACCTCGACAAGCTTTCCTTCATCCGCCCCTTGCTCGGCACAAAAGCCTGGGTATACGGAGGCGACCACAAGCCACCATAATTGGCCCTAACGGCATACACAACACATTCGCTACTGCATCACCGTCTTTACAATCCTTCCCATTCCCAGCGAGGGTGTGGAAGTCTGGCTACCGAACTCTGTCTTCCATCGGCTTAGTGTAGGGGACGACCCTACGCGAAGCCATCGTCAAGTTGAGCGCGCCTTAGAGGTGGGCGCTCACAAGCGACTCGCCCGCTTCTGTGGTTCTTGCGCTGCAAGAAGTCGCTGAATACACCAACAATCTGGCTTAACCAAAGCAAACGACATCTGATTCGGAGTCCTACTCATCGCCGCCTGAGTCGCCAATATGACTGACACTCCGAGATCCGACCACCAGACGAGGTTCAGCACCCCGGTGTCTGACCTCGACGACCACCGCCACCAGCCTGTATCCCTTCCACGAGCCGATGCATCTTCGCCTCCTAGGTCGCGCCGGCCAACTTTCGCAAGCGTCCAGGGTCAAGACCGACCCAACATCCTACTCCAAGTCAACGAAGCCCTCGAGGCAGACATTACTCGACGTGATTTCGAAAGCGCTGTAGTGGACGATGACCAGCACTTGGCTCCCGATGCCTACATCCGCCGCGGCTCTCTAGCACACAGCCCCCAAGCTCGTCGAGAGACATTCCGACGCCCGCGCGACCCGGCAATCGAGCGCCTGACTAGGAGCAGGGCTTCGTCGACCACTTCGCGATCCGTCTCTCCTCCCAACTCTGTCGACGCGTTCGCCGGCCCTCGGCGCCGCGACCGTGCCAACACTCTTCAGAGCCACGCAGGCTCCGAGCTTGAGCTCGGATTGAACAGGACGCTTTCTCGCGGCACCGCACGCCGACCAACTATCAGCGACGAGCGACCTGATCAGCCACACGACATCGAAGTCGCGTCAGCGCACAGCTCAGCACAGGAGGATGTATGCTTCCCTGTATCCGAGGACACAGGCAAGACCACCAGGTTCGACTACGAAGAGTTGGAGGAGTTTGTGGCAGAGGCTCACGAAAAGACACCTATTGGCCAGCCTCTGCGCCACAAGGCGAGCGTAGCTTCTAACCTTTCCGCAAAGCCCAAGGTCTTCTCCGACCTTCGTCCCAAGTCAAGCCAGTCAGGAACACCCAAGACCGAAAGTGACGTTTTGAGTCTGAAGAACGCAGACCCTGCAGTTCAAGAGAAGCTTGCTGAGGAAGGTCTGTCGCATATTTTTGCGGAGAAGCAGACCCCGGAAGTGAAGACCAACCGCTGGACGTTCTTCTCGTCCGAGTTGGACGACACAATCCATGCTGCCGAACTAGGCGGACTGCTTATGCCCGGCGAACGCTTCCGCGATCTGTTTGACACACCATCAGACGGCGGCGTCTGGTGGCTCGATATGGTCAATCCCACAGAAGAGGAAGTTTTCGCCATATCCAAGGCTTTCGGAGTGCATCCTCTTACTCGCGAGGATATCTGCATTCAAGAGCCGCGTGAGAAAGTAGAGCTATTCCATCAATACTACTTTGTCTCGTTCCGCTCCTTCTTCCAAGCCGACAAGGAGTCGGAGGAATATTTGGAACCCGTCAACTTCTACGCAGTTGTCTTCAAGGAGGGTATTCTGACCTTCACCTTCTGTGAGAGCCCGCACACGCTCAACGTGCGCAAGCGTATCAGCCGTCTTCGCGACTACATCAACCTGAACGCCGACTGGATCTGCTACGCCCTCATCGATGACATTGTCGATAGCTTTGCACCGGTCATTCGAGGCATCGAAGATGAAGCCGATGCGATTGAGGATCAAGTCTTCACTGCACGTATCGAAGACTCTCGCGCCATTCTTCGATCGATTGGGGACTGCCGCAAGCGTGTCATGCAGCTCCTGCGTCTCTTGGGCGGCAAGGCAGATGTCATCAAGGGCTTTGCCAAACGTTGCAACGAGTCGTACAGCGTTGCTCCTCGGGGTGACGTGGGCATGTATCTCAGCGATATACAGGATCACGTTGTCACTATGATGTCCAACTTGGCTCATTTCGAGAAGATGCTCAGCCGCGCGCACTCCAACTACCTCGCGCAAATCTCGGTTGACCAAGTCATTCAAGGAAATGACAGCAACGCTACGCTTCAGAAGGTTACAGTCATTGCTACAATCCTTGTTCCGCTCAACTTGATCTGCGGTCTCTTCGGTATGAACGTGAAGGTTCCGGGCCAGGATGGCAGCCTTGCGTGGTTCTTCGGCATTATCGGTGTTATCTGTCTCTTTGTTTCGGTCTGCTTGGGAGTTGCAAAGAAGATGCGATACATTTGATTGGTAATTCCTCGTTCCGTCACTGTGACGATGTTTGCATTGTTATCTTTCGTATGTTTAGTATTATTGGTTTTTCGTTCAGTAAACGTATTAACGCCAGCGTGGTGTACTGGGGGTTGTCGTAATTCTGGGTCATGTCATACACGATCATATCGGCTTTAGACGTACACTCTAGAATAGAAAAGTATTGTTCTCAAACGCAAGACCGTTCAATGGCCGGCTGTCTATTATCAGCCACAATTCTCATTACGTGCAGGGTGATGTGAAGTATCTGAGAGTGCGATACTAAAGTCGTGTAAGAAACAAGCAAGCCTAAAATGACGACAATGGCGCACCTGCACGATGAGCCATGCAGGTGTTGGCCGAAGCGATTGGCTTCTGCGAACAGATAAAGCAAAGAACACTGCATAGTGCTGTTTCGGCTTCTGAAGGTGTCTACAATGGTAATTCAGAAAACACTGCGATTTTAGTAGCGTGTGTTGAGTTACTTTATTGACACGCTCACATGACACTCTAAAGGGACGTCCACGGGTGATGATACCTTCATTGATAGATAAGCCGCAACTCTTCGCTATCACGCGAGCATGACAACCTTGGAACACATCGACGGTGTCATTCCGTACCGTTCCTATTCGTTCCGAGGTCGGAAGGAACAAAGGCGAGCTTGCCAAAGACAGAACGCGGGCCTACCACAGTGCTCCAACAGCAACTCTGCCGACGAACAAAGGAACGAGGTGACGGCGAGTCGCTGCAGACAACGAGTACCACGGCCAAGGTTCCACTCGTTGTCCGCAAGTTCGGAAGCGGTGACTTAGGCTCTTTCCGAGGGCGGACTAAGTGATCCTTGCTTCGGCGAGAGCATTCGATCATGCAGCGCCTCAGCCGACCGACTCCCTTAAGTACAAACTCTCACCCTCCCGCCTCTCTCTCACTCCTCACACATTTCACCAAGGCGCTCCCTCTACCCCACACCCTCTCTGTTATACGTGCAAATCTACTCGACCGACTACCTGCGCCAATACTGTACTGTTTCTGCAACACCACGAACGCTACGCTTCAGTAAAGATCTAAGAACGAGAGAAGGCAACATGGCGGAAATGGCGCAGCGGATACTCATGAATGAGTTCAAGCAGCTGAGCAAGGAGAAGTGGACCAACATCGAAGTAAGTCCCAGTGACGTTGCGCCAAGAGTCACAGTCAGAGTGGCGATGCAGGAGCACCAAGCTAACCACGTCACAGCTCATCAACGAGAACGTTTTCGAGTGGAGTGTCGCCCTAATCGTTATGAACGAAGAGTCCATGTACTATGGTGGTTATTTCAAGGCCAAGATGACTTTCCCTCGCAACTACCCGCATAGTCCGCCAGGTACGCCACTGCCAATACTACGTTCCAAGCATGGAAAGAGTCGCGAAGCGCAGGGAATGAGCTAACCATTTACCAGACTTCAAGTTCATCCGCCCGCTTTATCACCCGAACATTTACCCTGACGGCCGTCTCTGCATTTCCATCCTCCACCCGCCTGGCGATGACGAGATGTCCGGCGAGACTGCCGCCGAGCGCTGGTCGCCCGTACAACGTGTAGAGACGGTCCTGATATCTATTCTCTCCCTGCTAGACGATGCTGAGGTTTCCTCGCCTGCCAATGTCGACGCGGGAGTAATGCTGCGCAATAAGCCTGCAGAGTACAAGGAGATGGTGAAGAAGGATCTCGAGTTGTCAAAGGCGGATATTCCAGAGGACTTTATCATGCCAACCCACGAAACAGCATGGAAGCAAGAGAAGGATGAGGGTCAGTTTGACATGAGCTGGGAAGACAGCGATGCCGAGAGCTTGGACTTTGGCGGCAGCGAGAGCGACCTGGACGAGGATCAAGAAATGGACTCCGATTTCGAGGCCGATGATGACGATGCTGAAGAGGAAGATGCAGACACCCCCATGAAGCGCTAGATGTTGCCCATGGATTGCAACTCCAAACCCCTCATCATGCGCACGTCTCTGGCCCGCATGAAAGGGTCGTTAAGGGGCGGGACACCTCCATCTGAGACATCGAGTTCCGACCCTGGCACTATGGTGCCTTCATCAGGAGCATCATCATCATCATCGACGTCCACGCCCCTCCCTTTATCATTGTCGTCGTTTGACCCGAACATCCTTGCCCCATTTACCCCTCAACCCTGTTCCACGATATGGTGGACATGCGCGCATTAGTACATCCGCTTGTCCCTCTCACCCCCTTCCCCATCTTTCGATTCCTCGGATTTCTTCCACATCTTCATTATAAGCGCGGCGTTCGGTTCTGGTATGGGACTGATGGCGTTACGCTTTCAACGGGCTTTTGCGCCTACATTTCGGTCACGATTACAATGGCATTTGCATTGCATAGGAAAGGAGTTATCGGGTCAATTTTTTATCATACGAGGCATGGCTACTTTGGGCTTGCGGTTTGCGGCGCAGTGGCTGCATTTGAGTGGACGTAGACTATGGAATGCATGAAATACACATTGAGATTCGTGACAAGGTTTACGTGATGCACATATACTTCGGGTGGTAGTCTTGTTGACCTCGTCCTGTGATGAGCCGCCTGGGGATATATTTGGAACGGGTGTGTAGCCGAAGAAAGTCATGTTTGTAGAGGACAGTGGGAATTCAGGCGGGTGTCGAGAGCTGAGAAGGACATTATGCCGTAGGCATTTTTACTAACGATAGCTCGAAGACGCATGAATCTGTGAAGTTTGTTGTGCAACGACAAGCAGGTCAACCTGATGTGTGTGTGTGTGTGTGTGTGTGTGTGGGAAAAATGGTGCGGGTTTGGTCTTCTTAGAAGATATCGTAACGAGACGATAGGATGTCTGGTCCGACTTTAGGCTCATCGTCCTAAACCTTGCATGGTTCACCATGCCATGCCCATGGCGCTTCTTACCCTCTGCATAGTGCTTTCGGCAATCTTCTCTGCTCTTTGTGTGCCTTCTTCCGCATACTGGACTAGTTCTTTCTGATCTCCGTTCATCAACTCCTCATACCGTTGCCTTATATCGCTAATGCCTGTATCAATGGTATCCGCGACCTTCACTTTCAACGCCCGCATACTCAAATCTTTGAGGTCATTTGCTAGATCTTCCGGTGACACAGCAAGCGACTCATCAAAATGATACATGAGGTCCACTAGGTTTGATACACCCGGTCTGCTCTCAGGACTATAGCTGACCCCTTCGATCGAGTCAGTCAGCGCAGTCTTCAACTTGTGGTGTATTTCGTCTTTTGAGTCTGTTATCATGATGCGGCTCTTCGGTTTCGGGTCGCTCTTGCTCATCTTTTTTGTTGGTTCAGTCAGGCTCATGACTCGTTTCGCGGGGCTCAGAAGTGTTTGTGGAACTGTCAACAGAGGCTGTGATTTGGAGTAAACGTGGTTGAAGCCGGCGGCTAGTTCTCGCGTGAACTCAAGATGTTGTGCTTGGTCTTCGCCTACGGGGACGTGGGTTGTGTTGTAGAGGAGGATGTCGGCGGCTTGAAGGACGGGGTAAGAGAAGAGACCAAGCTTGAGGGCGTCTTTGTTATTCGAGGGGTCGAGAGGGGAGGCATTGGATGGGAGTGAGAGTTTGCTCTAAAGACAAGATTAACATCGTGCCTTGCTAAACCTACTTTTTGCGATCGCATACCTTCCATTGGGTCATCCGTCCCAAGTAGCCCATGCTTGCGCCACAGCTCAGAATCCACATCAATTCCGCATGCTGCTTGACACTGCTTTGCGCAAAGATTATGCATCTCCTTGGATCCAGACCTACTGCCAGCAGACTAGCCAGCATCTCTTTCCTCCATCTTGCCAACTCGCTCGGATCCTGTTTTATGGTAATTGCGTGCAGATCAACTATTGAGAAGAGAAGCGTAGTATCTGGGCTTGCTTCATCTTGAAGCTTGACCCATTGTCGCAGTGCGCCGAGATAGTTTCCTAAATGTGGTACTCCGGTAGGCTGGATTCCCGAGAATATCACCTTCTTCTGTCTCTCACTAGCATTTTGTCGTACTGTTGAAGCAATGGAGTACCTCCGCAGGCAACTTGAACAGATGCGGACAGGTGAAGGCGCTGCACGCTGCAGCGGTCGAAGTGAAAACATTGAAGTCGGTCAGTTGCATCAAAATCGGAATCGTTGTTGCTCAGCCACCAGAAAGCGCGGCCGGGGTCCTGTAGCGTCGTCATTGTGGCACTGCCGCCCGCCAACGACCACTCGACTGCGCCCAACCAGGAACTCCGTCTCCATTGATTCCCGCGGCTCTCCCCACAACACCACGACTACCACTCACGATCCTAATCACTCCACGTTCTCCTCAACATATTACCCCCCGGAAATAGAGGGACTACACCGCAATCATGTCATGGACCGGTAAGGAGCCCCTCGACGATCATCCAGGAAGCCGCCGGCTTACACGACGCAGGGTTCAAGAAAGGCGTCAATCGCGCGACGACGCAAGTTCTTATGAAGACGGGCCAAGTTGAGCGCACAAATGATCGCGACTTCGAGACTGAGCAGCGGTACGCCCCCCTCACTCACTATCCATGCTCCCCATATAGGAAGAATGCATCTTACCAAAGGCAACACCACTAACGTAATGCCAGTCGCTACCGCACCATGGAAACCGCCGCGAATAAGCTTCAAAAGGAAGCCAAGGGCTATCTCGACTCTCTGCGCGCCATGACTGCCTCACAAATGCGCATCGCCGAGACCATCGACGCCTTCTACGGCGACGCTGGAACAAAAGATGGCGTATCACGTTCATATAAGCAAGCCGTCACTGACTTGGACGCCGAGACAATCAAGGCCCTTGACGGCCCGTACCGAACAACCGTCCTAGATCCCATCCAGCGATTCTGCTCCTACTTTCCTGACATCAACGCCTGTATCACAAAGCGCGAGCACAAGCAGATGGACTACGACCGCATGCGCGCACAAGTCCGGAAGCTCACCGACAAGCCCGACAAGGATGTTACTAAGCTACCACGGGCCGAGAAGGACGAGCAGTTGGCAAAGGCTGCATACGACCAACTCAACGACACCCTCACCACCGAACTTCCTCAACTTATCGATTTACGAGTACCCTACCTAGACCCGAGTTTCGAGGCGCTAGTCAAGATTCAGCTGAGGTTCTGTGCGGAAGCGTACTCAAGAATGGCGCAAGTACAGCAGTATCTGGATGCGAACACAAGAGATCAGTATGCGCAGGGCGAGCTGGATGCGCGGGTGGAAGAGGTGCTGCAAGAGATTCGGGACCTGAGTATCGCCGGTACCGTCTAAGAGATTGGCGAGAATGGCATGTTTTCTGTGTATCGTTTGTGGTAATTCTCTGCGGCGTCAGAATCGCCGGTTTTGCGGCATTGATTGGGTTGCGAATGGTGGAGCAGGCGAATCAAACGATGGTTTTGCATATTCTGGATTGCTCGAATCTTACAATATGCATGATTTGACGGCTTTTCATAATCTTTCACTGGCCTTGTTCTGCACTGACACACAGAAAAGGCTATGTACTTCGCCTCACTCCTCGTGACACAAAACGCAAGGAAAGGAATCTCCGTGAAGCATCCCAAGTCAGCGTGGCTATCATGACTGAGAATAGTTGGACTCATACCTAGTAGTGCCATTGAAAGAAGGAAGATCTGGTACTGGCAAGTCACATTCCCTACAGTTTCTCATGACGGTTTCGTCGACGCATACTGGTTGTATAAACCGCCTCTCACATTAATTATTCGCGTCATATTCTATACACTGCTCCATAATGCATTGATAATGTAATGCACCTAATGGCACATCGATAAGCTCCTGAGGGTAATACAATTTATAGAAAGCAAGTTTGTAACAATACAACGACCCTTTCGTCAGCACACCAAGATGCTGAGATGTTCAGATAGGACGAGAGAAGGGCTGACAAGATACAGAACACGACCTGTCGTTCTTAGGCCGTGACGGCCCATGTAAAGCTAACCGGCAATGGGCTGCTCTGATGTGGGGCTGATGCAGCCCAGATGCGGGATGCAAAGATCCCTGAACCCGTCACTGTGATATCCACCCCCCTACGTCACTGCCCTTCTGCTCTGGAACTGCGTGTCGTGGTCTCCAGATGAGTAGCATCTGAACTCTAATTTCGCAGAAGACTCGTCGTAGCATTGTGCTCATATGCTATTATTGCAGATGACGCCTGAATGTGTTTGCAGGGGCTCGCTGAATATGCGTATTCACCTCCTATCTAGATGTTTTACTTCCAGAGAAGAGAAAGGGGAACAAGGAAAAGGTGACGGAGGGATGCGTAAAGTGCTTCTTCCAAGCCTGCAAGCGATCCCCTATTTAAAAAAAGACTTGGGGTGATATAGGTTGTTGTCTCCATAGCGCTTTCCTCTCTGTTTCCCCAGTTATATTATCTATCACAGGTTGAATCTGGGGCCTGTTAGGATTTCCCCAGAGTGCTTTTTCTGGGTCTCGATACTCAGCCAGTATTTCGGTGGAACAAACATGCGACTACCTCCTTTCATCCCGAGTGCGCCTCCTATTCCTTACACGCCTGGTTCTGAAGATTATACATTTGCTTTATCGCTTGTAAAGGACTCTGGTATCAGAAAACCGTCCGCGAGACAACCCCTATCCCAGGCTTCTCTGGAGCATGCGATTCATGCCTACGAAGTGAGTCCCTTAGAAGACATTAGGCGGTAGAATGATGTTGGCTGCTCCGTAGTAGAAGCTGTGCTACTCATACTTGCTCAACGATGTTCACCTCGCTAAAGTAAGAGTTTTGTCAGACGGTGACCGCTGGTTCATTCCGGAAGATGCTGGTAGTGTTAAGACTCGGGAATGGTTAACTGAGCCTCGGGTTAGGTAGGTAGGCGATTTGATGAAGTGAATGATAATCATGACATGAGCAGAACTAGCGGGATCGGATTGGTGCCGAGGCAGTTCATACCATGCATATCTTAACCCGTATCTGCTTGTTCATCAAATCTTTTGTTTTGGTACAGGCTAGGATATTGGACGGTTATAGATATGATCATAGGCACATGAGACACTTAGACAATGAGGAACAAATTGCTTTACTTTGTCGATTGTCTGGCTCTAAGGCACTGGAGCATGAAATATTACTATGCTTCGCTGCGTGAATAGAGCTGAGGTTGGTATTCACAAACCAGCTGCAAAAGCTGGATGCTTTGAGGAAAAAAAATTGCGTAGGAGTTTATCATCGTTCAATCTACATCGATCATCACCTTTGGCGAAGCAGCGGCGCTCGAGATCAAAGTGAGAAAAGGAATAATTCCTGAAACATCAGTCAGTATGACTAGTAAGCATGGTCCAGATTCCATTCGCATTGTTGCATAATGCTACAAACGCATTTTGGTACTGATCTAGACAAGATACCTGTCACCAGCTTCAGGCCACATAACGTATTGGTAACTTTTTTTTAATGGAACATGGGGGATAAATATATGATTGATGCTTGCCAGAGGACAAGCCAGACTCGGATACATGATATTGCTCGTAAGCAAGTCGCAGAACTCCACCGCCAACGACTGCAACATATTACCCAATTCGATTCCTTATGAGCAAGTAATCACGAAACGTAAGGATACCTGTCTATTCTTTCGCACACCAACACTGCCATGAACATTATCCGTAACTCGTAAGCCTTCGTCCATGCAGCGTTTCCAAGCCGCAACAGCCGCACGCCTTGAGAAGCTCGGTCTTTCCGTCTCCTGCACAGCAGAGGGCGTATCCCGAACATCGTCCCGATTATTATGATCTAGTCGTGCGGCCGTCAAAGAGGGGTTATGCTCGCGACTGCTCTACGAGGCATGAGTCTTGCCAGCTGAGTCGGCCTTGGCGCGAAGGTCAGCGGCTGTGGAGCCTGACGTGGAGAAGTAGCGAGAGAAGACGGGCTGGAGGAAAGAGCGGAAGACGATCTGGGCACCACTGTGGGGTGTAAGCTTGTATCATTGCGCATGGAGGAAGAAATACTTACGAAGTCTGGGGAAGGGCCATCCAGAGGATAAGGACAAACTTGAAGGTGTAGTAAAAGGCTGCCAAGATCAGTCAAAGATCATGCAAGTTCATCTGGGCGTACTTACGGAACCAGTAGACAGCGTTGACGGCGCTCTCGAAGACAGTCAAGAACGCGAAAGTCACCCAGTACTGTGATATCGTGTTAGCCCTATCATAAAAAATTGAAGTAGTCATAATATGGCCAGGTTGCTTGCCAGAGATAAGCAGATTGGGTATACGTACGGTCAGCCACTGAGTGTCATCGACCTTGCTCGCGCTGAACAGGGCCTCCAGCGAGTAGTAACCAGGAATGATAAATCCGGCAATGTTGACGAGGAATTCTCCGGCAATGTTGAAAAGATCAGGAAGAAGTAAAGACCGGCAAGACCGAGGATCATGTAGACCTTGGGGACCGATGTTTGCTTCTCAAAGTTGTTGAGTGCGGGGTATTTGGACAGCTGGAACGCAACATGGTCAGTATATGTGGCTTCGTATGAAAACTGTTGTTATCATGACTTCTCATCAAAAACACCTAGACAGGTCGTATTTTGGCAATTGTGCCATGTGCGGAAGCGAGAGCGCTTACCTCCTTGTCGAGCTGCGACAGCTGGGCTTGGGCTCTATCCTGGACAGACATGTTGAGGTTTGTTTGGGGGTTGAGTGTGGTGGGTTGCAAAGGTTAGGATGCAATGGAATGTGGTTGAAGTAGCAGAAGGGCTGCAATGTGTTCAGTATGTTGGGAGGAGCAGGAACGTGGAGCCTGGAGATTGTGGGATGGAGGAAGTGGGCTCGTCATCGCTAAATACGTCACCGCCTTTCACGAGCCAGCCAGAACGCAGCAGTTGCACTCCGATAAGACAAAATCGGGTGCGTCTATCTTGCGTTGCGACGAAGCCAGATCCTGGATGGCGATAATGTTGCATTCACTCATCTCTTTTTCCTTTACATTGGCAATTAGAGAGTAGTGTCATTGCACGGGCATTATGACGATAGTCATGTGACTATTCTGGTCCAAGCGCGCCGGCCAGTCTCCGTTGCTGCAGGTGCGACCGAGTTCAGACGAAAGCGTAAACATCCAAATCCTATTCCACAACAAACCCGTTCGAGGGCGACCGACGACGCCGACGACACTCTTGGGAGCCGGATATTCTTCCTTGTAGCATTCTACCACGTTGGTGACATCTTAGCTGACGGAACAACGTGTTGAGCTAGTCCCTGGCCCAAACAAACAAACCCGCCAACCCCGAAAACAGCTGAGACTTGAGCTACACGCGAACAGCTTCGCGAATATACTCCTTACACCTCTGCATTCTTACCTTCCTCGTCGCTTGTTCTCTACACTCCATCGACTGTGTTGTCGCCTCCTCAGCGTCGTTGTTATCGCATTGTTTTGGTGTAAACAGACGGAAAATCTGCCAGCCGGCACCCGCACCATGACCGATATCCGCCGGTCACGATCGAATACGTCAATGTCTACTAGAAGTAATCGTCCTCTTTCTCGCGCGTCGACGACGAGCGTACATTCATTCGAGCAATTTCAGCAACCGCAACAGCCGCGGCCCAACCAATTTCCCCAACAGCCACAGTACCATGCTCCATTCACTACCAGTGAAGCGCTACAGCCTGCACTACTACAAGCCGCACAACAAGTCAGCGCGCAGGACCAGCTTATCAACATGAGTCTGGAAAGTGTCCAGCAATACCTTGGTTACCCAGCCGACCCGACTGCGAACCATCCCCAACCAAGCGGCCAGCCCCCACAGCCAGATCACCACGCCTACCAGAACTCCCTCTCCCAGCATTCGCAACATTCACAGCAACACAGCTTCATGGCACCGCCAATGGACACGGAAGACAAGAAGAAGAGGCCGTCAACCTCGGGCGCAGCGACCAACGACAAGGAATTGCGCCAGCTGTTGAACCAAAACGAAGGCCGCAATCTGAAGGAGGTCGCAGCTGAGGTCATCCAGAATGATAGGACATCGAAGGCAGAGAAGTCGAAACAGCTATTCGCTATGTTATGGTAGGTATTACGCGTTCGCTATCGGGGAAGAGTGCTGACGCTTCCCAGGTTACAGTCTGTCTGTCGTGTTGCAAAGACGTCAGTCCCGCGCAACCGTGTCTACTCCAAGTACGCAGAGCGGTGCGGTACTGATCGCGTTATCCCTCTGAACCCGGCATCTTTTGGCAAGCTCGTTCGCGTGATTTTCCCCGGTATCCAGACTAGGCGCCTCGGTGTTCGCGGAGAGTCAAAGTACCACTACGTTGATCTGGAGCTCATCAACGACAACGATAATGGTGAAGAGTCACGTCGTGGCAGCAACGGTCCCAGTGCACTCCATGCCATGAAGCGTCAAGCCTCTGGGACACCGAGGCTCAACCTCGAGTATGTTTCATTCACGCCCCTTTCATATGAAATGCTGACAATTTCCAGTGCTATTCCACGCTTACCTGCAGACAGCACGCAATTCCCCCCAAGGGAAGCGCGAGTGGAGTCACAGAGTAGCTACTATACTCCAGCCTCATCACGCGGCGTTCTGTTTACCGATATCTACTCGTCTCAGTTCCACCCGTCGCACACACGTACCAAGACATCGTACGAGCACGAGCTCAAGTTTCCAACACCAGATATCCTCGAAGCCCCCGATGCCTTTGTGGTAGAGTTGCCGGATATCAAACCGTACTTACCGGCACGTACCGATCCCGATTCTGCCGATAATCTCGTTGCCATGTACCGCTCACACGTTGTCTCGTTGGTGGACTCAGTACGATACTGCAAGGAGAAACAATTCTTCCGCCTCTTTGGTACTTTCCACGGGACCTTGACTGTACCAGTCCAGAAGCTGTTTGCATCACCCGAACTGGCCCCATGGATCAAAGAATGCGACTGGATGATGTACCAGAAGATGATTCGCAATGTCTCTCAGCTCACTCTCCAGGTGGCGCCGCCGCCAGTTCTAAAATTTCTCGACAACGTTGCGAAGACATTACACGCACACATTACTGCCAAGTTCGCGTCTCTCCCCGTACATGTACTTGAGGCGAAGCTAGAACCCGCTACGTTATTCGCCCATCTTCTCCGACAGATGCTCCGCGTCAATTCCGCTGCGCACGCTGCAGCCGTAATGCTTACCGCAGAGAGCCATCGCACCCAGATGTTTGCCGACTGGCTCCAGTACGTCAACATTAAGCGCATCATCGCGAACGAATTGCCCGCCTCTTGTGCACACGAGGAAGTTTATAACATCCTGACCACTGAGATCCGATCGATGTTGGGCCCGCTACCACAGGAGATCCAACTGCCTTCCGGGTCGATACATCGCGCAGCGTATCCTGATCCCCCCGCCGACCCTTCAGAGTCCGTCATCGATCGCATCGCAGCATTTTTAACACGTCTACCGTCTCGCTTCCCTGGCGCACACGCTCGCACAATCATGCATTGCATTAGTGCACTTGGTTCAGCTGCCATCCGAGAAATCACGGTCGAGAATGGCATCAGTTTCCAAGGTTGGTGGCTTACCAAGGTCTTCGTGGATGAAATGGCACAATGGTTAGCATCGATAGGTGGTTTCCTGGGTCATGCACCGCCAGACTGGAACTCGTCCAACTACTCGCCTGTAATGGGTGACTCTCTCAATGCAGCCATGACCAACGGCGGCAGCGGCAGTAACAATGAAAGCCGGTATAGCAGCTTAGAAGCCGATTTCGGCCCAGATCAGTCTTTCATCTCCAACGCTAGCCACGCTACCATTCAGGATGCCGGGTCAAATCAGGAAGGTGAGTTTCTTCACTCACAACATGGCTTCACATGGTAGTTGACTAACGCAAGACCATCAGTCAATGCTGGACGATTTGCTCAACAATCATCACAATACAACATGAGCTTTCAATACGAGTACGACCTGAACCCTTCACAGCAAGAGCCGAACCACGACGATAGTGGCATAGGCCTTGGTGTACAGGAAGACGGCATTGATGCCAAATTTGCGTCACATCTATCTTCAGCCCTTTCACAGAGCGTCAGCTAGCCTGGCCGTTCTTGCTTTTCGGACATTTTGATATTTTTACCTATGCGTTCATGACGTCTCTGAAGTCACGACTAACGACTAACCGTGCCTGCCACGGCCTGTTAATATCTCTTAATTCTTTGTATTTTAGGGTCGCGAACGCAATCATGGATCGGCGTTGATTGGATGAGGTCGGCGTTTTTGCCTTTGCATCTTTTCGTTTGCAATACCGGCGTTATGAGATGATATACCGCCTGCAAGGCCTGGGTTGGGTGTTACATGCAGCACTCTGCGGTTCGTCTACGCAGAGTTGAATTGAATATTTACCTTGTTACAGTTGTTACGATGTCTTTCCGTGATTAATTGATGAAGGAAAAAGACTTGATTCCTTTCCTTCATTCTTTGAACGGCCATGTAGGGGCATTTCACAAAACGAACTATTTGTATTTTTCTCCAATCAAACCCGTCTAGGGCTCGAACACGATTAGAAGCAACCCTTCTACAAAAGGAGACAAGGTTCGTCATGAAGCGCATCCTGTCAACATCAACAGTAAGTAATTTCTAGCAGAGACACCTCATTTGGAAGTGTTCGATCGGGACTACATTTTCTTTCCTCCAACTTTGATCTTTATATCTTCCTCATGCTCTGTAGTACCCTCTCAGTTACACTAGCTGACATAACCACCTGACCTCTTAAAACGGTCAACGTCGGCACTATACCGCGCCGCTAGCACAACCCGACTAAGATGGTTCGACGACCTTCTCAGTCGCCTGACCTCCTTGATCTACGAGAAAAAGTTGTCACTCTGACATCCACCCTTTGTCGATCGTGACCGGTCGTCGCACGACGATAGATCACACGATGCAGTTTCACCGCTCGTCCATTGGACTTTAAGAGTCGTGGTCATCCTGGCATGAAGTGTCTAAATACTTGGCGTTGTGGCCATATCGTGGAACAAGGGGATGATCATTCTAGCCGCGCTTGCATCATGATGATCTGAAAATGCAGTCAAGCAATGCCGTTCGGCAGTGCGTTAATATATACTATAATTTAAAGGTAAAATATCGTAACAAGAGAAATTTCACTAATCGTCTCGTGGTCGACTAAGCACTAGGAAACGAAAAACGGGAACTGAGCCCCCTCCTGCGCGGAATCGCAAGCATGGGTAGACGCAATCAAATTCTCACTTCTTTCCCCACGACCTCCTTCTCCTGCCGAAGTACGTCTTGCAGACGTCTTGGTTCGCACTAGCGTCCAGTCCTGCCGCGGAAGTCGGAACCCATTGCTTGTAGACCAGGTAACTGTAGTCCCATCTTGGGTCGTCAAGCTGTGTCCTCCACGTCCAGAAGATCCAACCGTTAGTCCTCTCATAGAGTCTTTGCTGCGCTATGAACCACTGCTTGTAGAAAGGCGTGTTGGCGTCGTTCTTCCAGTCAAATTCAGTGCTGTACTCGTTGGCGACAGTGAGACTCCATTCTTGCACGATCTTAGGGTTATCGCCGTCGGTCTGGCGGTTGTCGGTGTAGCATGTGTAGTACATGTAGTCGCCTTGTTTGGCATCGGGTTTTGTTGAGGTTACAGCTCCGCCGACATAGTTGTGATCATCAAAGATAACTTTGGAGTCTGAAGGGAGGTTGGACTTAGGGTTTCCGGCGCCCCATTGAGAGTCCATAAATTGGACGTGGAGGCGCTGGTCATCGGAGATGCCCAGAGAATTCTCAGCGTTGCGGACAGCAGCGAGAGCTTGTGGATAGTACTTTTGTGTCAGAGTATCTTTCTCGGCTTGCGGCATGCCACCTTGATCACGACCAGTTTGCGGCTCGTTGACAACTTCGATGATACCGACTGTGGCCCTGTATGATGGAGTGTTATGGATACGCTTGGTCATCCAGTCAAGCCACTTTGTCGCGCGGTCATAGTTGGCTTGCGAGAAAAAGCCTGGAAGGTATGCCTCAGGAAGACACTGCAATAGGTATCAGAGCTGACTCAAGGAGGATTGAAAGTTCGAAGACTTACTTGTCCAGTAAACGCATCTCCTACCTTTTGTGAACCAGGCGCACCATGCAGATCGATGACAACGAACATACCCAGGTCCGCAGCCTTTTGGATAACAGCATCAAGGTATTTCAGGTCCATCTCAGGGAAGTGCTCGCTGCTGTCCACCAGGGTGTGAAGACTCCAATATCCAATTGGAATACGAATGGTATTTAGACCGGCATTGTGGATATCTTGGATCATGCTCGGAGTGATCCAGCGAGAGTAATGGCCATTGAAAGCAGTGTTTGCTTGAGCTTGGCCAAGCTTGTTGACACAGTCAAATTCGGAGCAGGAGTCACCGCAGCCCATTTCTGACCATTCTTGATTCATCATCCATGGTTCCGACAGCAACCAGCCGCCGAGGTTGACTCCACGAATCTTCCAACTCGGAAGTGAATGAGCACGTTTGCTCACATAGTTGCTGGTGCGGTTGAAGGCTGGGAGTTCGCGGTCTGCAGGCATCCAGGCCTGAGCACCGGCTGCGAACAGGCAGCTCAGAAGAGTCGAACTCTTCATAACGAGGAGGATGCGATGATTAGGTATCTAAGTATAGTAGAGAAGTTGCTTTTTCTCGCCTGAAACAGGAAAGGGTGCTCGGACTTGAACAGCTGGAATGAATATCCAATTGCTTGACTGTTACACTGTGCAACCGGAGGACTATATAACTTTTTCACGGACCCTAAATTGATCGTGCTGAGCGGCACGAAGGCACTACATCGTGAATCCACGTAAGGCAAATTACCGAAGGGGCCTCTCGCTAACGTGAGAGGCGGAAGGCCGGCCATGCAATCTAGGATGCTTCACCGGTCCGGTGTTCGAGTTCGCGAGCATGATGGAGTCGCTAGCCCCCAGAATGGACCCCATCGTCCGAAGATCTTCTGAACATCCTGTAAGCCACCGAGGTATACCAGGGGTAGAGCTCACGATGTCGTACGAGAGCAGGCGATGGAGTAACATCGTTCGTCCCCCTCCATCGAAACTAGCTATAGTAGTCACGAAGTTGATGGATGATACGCTACTAAGAGTATCAGGCGACCACAGAGATTGTTTGAGGTGGAGCGGCACGGCTTGTTCACTGGAGAAGTGCCTCATCGCCTGACACCACCACAACTTCGTGAGGTTTGGAAAAGCTAGGGAGGAGCTAAAAGATATTCTAGTACGTGTACAGTCAACGAACAAACAAGGCCGTAAGAAGAAGGAGGTGTAACAAATCTTTCGGCTAAATTCAAGTTGGAAGGGTAGTGAAGGTAGAGTAGCTCCCATTCGCTACTAGCAAGAGGCGTGGAAATTGCGATGGCCTAACCAAACTGAAGCGATCTCAAAAGCAGAGGCGGAAATAAGCTATTCCAAGAACTGGAGGTCTGAGAGCTCTTCCTTCACCACCTGCATAGTGGGCCATTGCGTGGATCTTTGCTCAGATAGTAGACACACCTCGTTAGTTCGGACGCCTTTCTGCTACTTGCCGCCGGAACAAGAAATTTAGAGAAAAATGCAACACTGGCAGCCTGACCACATTGATAATAATATGAGATAACGTACCAAACTCATTACTTCCTTTCATCGCCCGCATCTGGGCAATGTTTGCCTTGCTGACCGCCACCATCAACTCGCTTCCCACAAGTGTTCGTACTCGGTCACCGGCCTCCATCCTTCCGCGGCGGGCCGTTGTGGCGTCAACATTTCGAAAGGGTCTCGTATTGACTGTGGAGAACGTGTCAGCCTGCAAGTCATGCTTGCGGGAGGTTGCCGTGTTTGCAGCTTAACGGCTACTGCATGGCATCAGTCGGATATGCACACCTCCTTGCAATATCGTTCGGAAACGTTTGCTCGATGGAGCAGGTGCATCCCATGGTTTCTTGCAGCAGCGCCCCGGAGCAATGCTTCCTCAGATACGTCCAAGGTGCAGACCGCGCTCTAGCTAACAGAACTAATCTCGAGCCACTTACCTGATATGTGCCTTCACCACTCCAGCGATCTGTTGCGGTCTACACTGTAGTCTGTAATCACGCGCCTATAGCCGTTCTTTCGGGGGGGAAAGGTGTCTTGATCGTGATCGTCGTTGGCCTCAAGCGCCGTTTTGAGGTCTCGTGTTCGCATGCTGTGGGTCTAGAGATCTCAAACGTTCGCCTCGGCAAATATGTTCAGTACTCTAGCACCCCCCCTGTCGTGGCGTCGCGTTAGCCAGATGGAGGGTAGCTGTTTGAAATGTCACGGATGTCCCCTGCAGGTGGGCGCTTAGGTAGATTGTATGGGGAAAGCAAGACTAATGGGGCAGGTTGGATGTACCTGCGCCTTGTGACGTCACTTTACTTTTGGTAGATCCTCGCCGGTCGAGGCCGACTTCGATGCCTTCCCCCACATGTTTTGGGAAACTCCGGAAACCCGGTCTGAGGACGATGAAGTCGGTCGACGGGCAGACTAGGAAGGCTTGTGATTTACAAACATCGTCTTATGACCTGTTGCAGATCGTTCGACTAAGACAAGATCCTGCGTCCTCGACGAACACCTCGAGAAGATTAGACTAATGTTGTTCTTTTTCTTCCAATAGTTTATCGATGAACCATCATTCCCACTGTAATCAAGTGGTGTGACCAAATCCTCTCATTACCTTCCAAGGATATTGCTTGTCCTGTAGCTAATGACAACCAGTGATTGTAACTTTCATTCGTTCACACTCTGTTGCAGCAAGTAGAGCAGGATCAATTTTGCTGACTTCCTCACTCGAAAGTCAAGACAACTTGGAGAACAAACCGAGAAGACAGTCTGATGAGTTAGGGGGGCATACGATTGGTCTCTTGTTTTCAGAAATGGATACGGCGCCACTAAGACCTGATATCAAATCCGAATATTGATACTTCGCCCTAAAGGCACTGTTGATGGCTCTCAGTGCTGCAATGTACCATCAGTAAGGAAAAGCTTGGTACTGCACGGATCTGGTTGCTCAGCCTGACCTCCTGATGACGCATTGAGCGCTTACTTTCGGTCCAAGATATAGCACGTGGTGCCTCTAATCTGCGATGACAAGATCACGCGTAGTCGTGCACCCTTACGTGACTGCCACCAATTCCCCGTTCTTGAGCCTCTCAGCGAAACTCCATGTCATGATCTATAAACGCCTTGCGTATACCATCGAATACCCACAGCGAGACGAGATGAGTATACGACACCAGTTGTCGTTTTCGTTCTCTCGTACATCAAAGGCGCGATAGTCGCCGCCTCAAAGCTCGTTCGACAAGAGTTTGAATCTGTAATTGACAGCGAAACCCAGAAATGTGGCTCAGTAAAGCTCATTTCGTTCCCGAAATCTTTGCTAATGTCCGCAATGTTCAAAACGAACTCATTCCGCAGAACATGGGACTGGCTGAAGAAGAGCGTAAGGGCTTTGATACCTTGTTCAACGTAGATCCTGACACGCGTGAATGGAACACGCCTGAGGTTTGCTATCGCTCTAGATGCATACAATTATACTATGTGCGGCAATGCTTTATGCATGTACTATATATACAAGGAACCTTGTTTATCCTTTATAACAGCTATACTAAGGTAATCCTTACTTGTAATAACTACTTAAAATACTGCAAGTAAATAATCTATAGATTATTAGTTGAAGGAGAATTGCATAATTCAAATAAGCTTTTTCTATTAACGTCTCTTTTTACCTAAGAAGGTTGCTTATATAAAAACATAATTTTTGCTTAGCTACCTACTAATTAATATCAGTAGAGCTTTGATTAGCTAATAGGAGGTTGCGCTTTATGTTATCTAAAGCCCCTACAGATCTTGATTGTTATGCATCTACGCTGCAACACTACGCTCGTTCCTCGCTTCGTGTTTTGCTGCGACAGCAAAGAGCAAAAAGCTAGTTGATGAAGCTAGAACAGACGCAGCTATGTTTTAGATGGGGAGACGCCTCGCAAACCTTATTTGAAGTGGATCGAGTGGATCGAGGTCAGTGTCTGGAATGGAAACAATCCCGTTTGCGACATATTGGTAGAGAATATCAACTCCACCATTGAAGATATCGTGAGCCCACGTTGGACGCATCAGATTTCGGCATGTATCGTTCTAAGTTCTGGGTAAAATTACATGGAATGTTCGGAGAAGGTAAGATCTACCAATGATCAAGACGTCGTCCAGGCTTTCACGGACAATTGTTTTGACGTCAGCTAGGAATTGGAACCGGACGAGGTGGAGTTCGGATGGGATGTCTAGTCTTTCAGCGGACTGATCGAAGCGATGAGTCTAGCGAGGAGACTGGTGAGACGTCGGATGAAGAGATAACTCAATTGAAGAGATGAACTCAATTGAAGAGATGAACTCAATTGAAGAGATGAACTCAATTGAAGAGATGAACTCAATTGAAGAGATGAACTCAATTGAAGAGATGAACTCAATTGAAGAGATGAACTAAGGTATTGGCACGGAGGATGGAACATGAAAACAATATATAATCAGTGGGTGTAGCCATCTGACTTCACTACCGACAGGAAAAGTTTGTCTGGACATTCAGCTCGTATCTGGCACGCTGTGAGATTACCGATCAACGATACATTTTACAACCAGGGTTTAGACCGCGTATATCTATCTATCTATCTATCTATATATATATATATGTCTTTCCTTTCAAAACAGAGCTGGAAAGCCTTATGTAGTAGCCATGCTGCGTTGTGATTATGCTGTGTTGCGATTTTGCGATACCGGACTTCACAGGCCGAAGAGTCGGACCTTCTTGTCCGAGGCGAGACGTCATGACCGTCTGCCATTCAACATCTCGTCGCGTGGACCTACCGCATCAAGATGCCACAACAATCCTCACAGCTTTGATGAAAAGACTGTGATAGAACAAGCAGCATCCAAAGATGGTAGCTATCGTACACGCGATGCATTAAACTGAACTGCCCAGAGGACGACGTGCGTGGAGAAGTGGGGCAAACTAACCGAGAATGGCGCGATAGTCCCGCGGCCTCTTCTTCTCGCCTCGATAAGAGCGTTTAAGACAGCGAGTTGACATTTAGGAATAATTCAATGCAATGATGACTTATCTGATTGGCGAACAAGCAGCGGTTTAGTCAATAGACAGACGGTTGAGATTGCGCTGCTGAGCCGCTGGGCCATCGATCTGCCTCGAAAGTATAAAACCCCGCTGGGCCCTGATAGCATCGCACCGTCAGTCTCCCCCAACAACTTCTACAACATATCTATACAATGGCGCTCGATCGACTCAAGCAAGCAGCCTCGCACATGACGGGTATTGGAGAGCTACCACACCCGTTCGATCCTTTGAGTGAATCAGAAATTGAGCGTGCAGTCGCTATCATTCGAAAAGATCACAGCGATGTCTTCTTCAACGCCATCACGTTGTTGGAGCCGCGTAAAGTGGAGACGATGAGATGGTTGAAAGACCCTGAGCATACACCACGACCACATCGAGTTGCTGATGTAGTCTGCATTGGCCGCGGGAGCAAGGTGTATGATGGACATGCAGATTTGACTGAAGGCAAGATCGTCAACTGGGCGTTGACCGATGACGTGCAACCACTCGTAAGTTGAGAGGAGATCTCAATGCACTGAACTCTTTTTTGACCTGTGTTCAGATTACTATGGAAGATTTGCAAATAGTAGAGACGATTGTACGGAAAGATCCAAAAGTTATCGAACAATGCGGCTTGCTTGGTATCCCACCAGAGGATATGCATAAAGTTTATTGCGATCCATGGACGATAGGCTACGATGAGCGCTTCGGCACCAAAGTCCGTCTTCAGCAAGCCCTCATGTACTACCGCCCACACATTGATGACTGCCAATACACGTACCCATTGGATTTCTGCCCTATCTACAACTCCGACACCCAGGAGATCATCCACATCGACGTCCCACCAGTCCGGCGACCGCTCAACCAGGCTCCACCGAACAACTACCACGCAGCTGCTATTGAGGCCGAAGGTGGATTTAAGACCGATCTGAAGCCCATCAACATCACACAGCCAGAAGGCGTCTCATTCAAGTTGGATGGGCGATACATCAGCTGGGCGAACTGGAAGCTACACATTGGTTTCAACTACCGTGAAGGCCTGGTCCTTTCTAACATTACATTCAACGACAAAGGCACCGTTCGCGATACCTTTTGGCGCCTGTCGCTTGCAGAGATGGTTGTGCCGTATGGTAATCCAGAACACCCACATCAGCGTAAACATGCCTTCGATCTGGGAGAATACGGTGGCGGCTACATGACGAACTCGCTAAGCCTGGGATGTGATTGCAAGGGCGCGATTCACTACATGGACGCTGCATTTGTCAACCGTGCAGGCCAGGCAACAACGATTAAGAACGCTATTTGCATCCATGAGGAAGATGCCGGTATTCTGTTCAAGCACACAGACTTTCGCGACGACAGCGTTACTGTCACTCGTGCTCGGAAGCTCATCATCTCGCAAATCTTCACAGCTGCAAACTATGAATACTGCGTATACTGGATCTTCCACCTCGACGGAACCATCCAGCTGGAGATCAAACTTACTGGTATTCTGAACACCTACGCCATGCTGCCTGGCGAGGATCTGAAGGGCTGGGGAACCGAGGTTTACCCTGGAGTAAATGCCCACAACCACCAACACTTGTTCTGCATGCGCATAGATCCAAACATTGATGGTCCGGAGAACACCGTTTTTATGGTTGACGCAGTGCGAGGTGAAGGCGAAGTCGGCAGTGCAGAGAACAAGTACGGCAACGCTTTCTACGCGAAGAAGACAAAGCTCAGCACACCCGAACAAGCGGCAACTGACTACAATGGCGGGACAAGCAGAACATGGGAAATGTCAAACACTAATAAGCTAAACCCGTACAGCAAGAAGCCCGCTTCCTACAAACTGGTGAGCAGGGAAGTGCCCGATCTACTACCAAAGCCTGGAAGTTTGGTATGGAAGAGAGCAGGTTTTGCGAGACACGCAGTACATGTCACAAAGTGTAGGTTTCGCTGTATACTGTGTGTGGGAACATGAGCTGACTTGCTGCAGACGATGATACACAACTCCATCCAGCAGGCCGTCACGTTCCCCAGACCTCTGGCGAGCCATCCCAAGGCATTCCCGCCTGGATCGAGGCCAATCCTAACGAGAATCTTGACAATACTGATGTCGTCTTGTGGCATACATTCGGAATCACACATTTTCCATCACCGGAAGACTTCCCTATCATGCCTGCTGAGCCAATGACACTATTGTTAAGACCGCGCAACTTTTTCACACGCAACCCTTGTATGGACATTCCACCTAGCTATTGCAGCGTCCCGAGCGGTGTTAAGCAGGGTAGTACGCTTGTAGACAAACTTTCTCGCATGGCGTTTGGAGAAGAGAAGAAGCCCGAGAGCGCTGCACCTTCGACTTGTTGCTCGGATCAGAAGTTCGGTGCTGGCGTGTAGTCTGATCGTGTCATGTACGCATAGTATATAGTGTGAATACAGCGTTTTCCTCGCTTGAGTGTTCATCATAGCTCCTTACCTGTATGAAGCATATATGTGCCGCCCAGGCAGACCGTCGTGGTATGCCGCATCTCGCACAAATGACGTAACCCCACGCGAGCTATCCGCGGGTAGCTCCGATGGCGGGCCCAAGCTTCCACCGAGTCCACATCCGACAACTTCTCCCCTCCATGAGCCGGCACTTTTTCGATACCGCATGACAGCAGCGATGATATAGCATCCAACTCTCCACGCCCCAGCTCCATCTAGATCCTGCCGGGTCCGAGGATGTTCTTGCCGGTTTCGACTACCCATCATCCGAGCCCGCAATGCCCCGCGCATTTCCAACCGTAGAGCAAAATGATAAAACGAAACGAGCAACCGTGCCTAAGAGCCCTTTGTCAGCGTCTCTTGTTGAGAGCGTAGCTGGATTTAGCGCCGGCGTCGTCTCTTGCCTCGCCGCACACCCACTCGACCTATTGAAGAACCGACTGCAACTTAATACACAAAGTCGATCGCGACCTGGCGACTCATATCGAATACTACGAAATGTCATCAAGGATGAAGGGGGCGTCCGAGCACTATATAGAGGGCTATGGCCAAATCTTTTGGGCAATAGTCTAGGTTGGGGGTTATATTTTCTATTCTACGGAAACCTAAAAGAATTATTCCAAAGTAGGAGGCAGAAGGGCGAGCATCTGGGAAGTGCTGAGTTCTTTTCCGCGAGTATCATCGCTGGTATGTTGAAAGATTGAACTTCTATAAGCTTTACTAATCGTTCGCTAGGCCTTCTCACTGGTGCCTGCACAAATCCTATCTGGGTAGTGAAAACTCGCATGCTTGAACGCGGCGCAAACCACCCTTCTGCATATAAGTCGATGAGATTTGGTCTTCGTCACGTATACGAAACTCGAGGACTGAAGGGCCTTTGGGCAGGCTTTCTGCCTTCGTCACTGGGTGTGCTACACGGCGCAGTACAATTTAGCATTTACGAGAATATGAAGAAGAGAAGGGGAACACATATTGGTGGGCAAGATAAACTGAGCAATTGGGAGTACGTCTATATGAGCGGTGGAAGCAAACTACTTGCTGGAGCGATTACGTACCCATATCAGCCCATAAGAGCGAGGCTGCAACAGTATAACGCCGCCCAGCAGTACACCGGACTAGTGGATGTGCTCAGGAAGACTTATCGGAACGAGGGATTTCTGGCGTTCTACAAGGGGTAAGAAAACCTTGAGCATTCTAGACCCTGATGTAAAGCAAAGCTAACCTTTATAGTGTCATCCCTAACACGCTGCGAGTCATCCCAACCACTGTTGTTACGTTCTTAGTGTATGAGAACACGAAACTATACTTGCCAAAGGTTTTTGCCGATGACGAGCAGCAAAGCCACGATGAAGACTAGATACTAGAAACATGCACGCAGTCACCCTGTCGGCACAAGCCTATGACGCCATATCTGCCTCTGTGTAACAGAGCTGCTGTAGACAAAGTGTAAATCATACTGTTAAAAGATTTGGAAACCTCTAAATTGGACAAATCCCTTGAGACACTCCAAATTGAAGGTAATGATTTATTGGTCAGACAAGACAGTAGTCGCGTAGTATCAGCAACCACTCAGCTGTAAGCTATGGGCGTTTGCGTGTATGTGTCGCCTTTACCGACCCTTCTAGCTTAGTACAATCGAGTCCTTCAATCACTTCTAGGTTGCATCAGACCAGCCGAGACCAATTACATCGGCCACGACCGCGGGTACTCGGGCGAGATCCTAAACACACTCACTACTCAAGCCTCTTGACAAGGTTGAAATTCTACACGGCTAGTTATCTTTTGCTCAACTCACTCAAATATTTCAACTAAAGCTCTCCATGTGGTAGTGAAACTCCATCAACTCTAAAGCTTATAAAGAATGTACAGTTCCTTCACACGAAAGCCATATCCGGCTCGCAAACCAACCGTCGCTCCAGCCTAGCCATATTGTAACCGTATCGGAACGGCTCCGCCTGATTATCAGCACATCGCACGCCATCTGATAGCATACATCCTTCGACCCCCACTTCTTCTAAGCCCTCCAGCTCTAGGACGGAACTTCGTCACATGGGCCTGCGTAGTCTCTTCAGCAAGCTCCATGAGGCAGAAGCACAGTCACCAGTGCTCACGCCTCCCTCGTCATCTTCGGCCACGCCGCCGTCCCTGCCTACCATCCCAAAGTTCACCAAAGCGTTTGTCAACGCCTTGAATGCCACGAAACTCTGCGACTTCCTTACTTGGATGTTATATCATGATGTTGTTGAGCTTCCAGAAGCTCCCGAGGCTTGGTACAAGTGGATAGGTAACGTGGACATGCGTGGTTGGATTGCTTTGGGTAACTTCCTGGCGAAGTTACAGGAAGCGGGTGCTACGTATGAGTTCGATCTAATTGTATGTTCGGAATGGATCGTTGAGTTTACAGCGACAAGAAGGGGCATATCGGGGTGATCTCAACAAAACGGACAAGGCTGCTGCATTTCGTAGTCATAGAGTGGCGATAAAGCCTCGCGTCCAATAGCCTTACACCATGCTGTCATCTCTCACCTTGCTGATGACAGTTGAAGCTGGACAGAAAAATCGGATTAAGAGTCTCAGTCAGACGCGACCAAGAAGTGAAGTTGGGTGGAAGAGACAAGACACGTGTTAGCGCGTGTTCGTTATCGATAACGACCCTGGGGAATTATCCAACTGTCCTCATCGCCCTCCACGTTGAACCACAACTTGCGCAGACTTGACCTCTACCTAAGCAACGATCAATACGGCCTCAAACCCCACAAAGTTGATATTCAACAAGCACGTAACAGCCATGGAGTCACCGGATACTTTCACGCTCCTACCTCTCGAGATGGACCCCAAGACCAATGAAATCACCGCATCCCAAAGCCTCAGCAACGCCCTCGAGGCCGAGCTAGCCGCCCTGAACAACCTTCACAGAAACATGCTTCAAGTGGAAACACCCACGGGCACGCCGCCACCACCTGTTCCTGTCAACCCCAAGCGTTCTGCCCAAATCAACAAACTGCGCGAGTCCGGAAACGCCGAGTTCAGGAAAGGAAAGCCTGAGGAGGCGGGCAAGCTTTACACCCTCGCGATCGATATGGCGCTCGCTCGTCCGGCATGGGAGCCTTCAGGTCTGGTAAGGGAAGAGGTCTCTGGGCTGCTGAGCAACCGCGCACAGGCGAACATGGCACTTAAGAACTGGGCAGAGGGCGCTGTGGACGCAGAGGCCAGTGTAGAGATGAGGAAGGTGGGCAACGCGAAGGCCTGGTGGAGGCGGGGCAAGTGCCTGCTCGAGATGGGCAGACTAGACGAAGCGGCACAATGGGTCAAGCAGGGTCTGGAATTCGAGGCGACAGAGCAAGATCTCATTAGTCTGAAGGACGAGATCGAGAAGAAGCAGAGAGGCGAACCTTAGGGTGTTCTTGTTGGAGACTGCAGTGTGCATGAATCACGTTAGGGGCTACGGGCTCATCACTTGTGGGATTTGGATTAGACTGGGTTGGAGGAGGTACAACCAGGTGGTGACAAGTGGACACGTTGTCATATGTGAGCGTAAGTTCGCCTTTATCGTCTCCATAATGCCTGGAAAAACTTTGAGCATTTTGACCCTCGGCATTGGTAAGGCGTTTGGCGCGGAAGGTCGTATACCAGGATTACGAAGGCATCCGAGCCTATGAAGCTTTTGGGGTATTCATAGAAACTCCAATCAGAAGCAAGTCTTTACAATCCTGCCTCCTCTCTTTGGTCTATGATTCTTAGCGTACCAAGTCCGACCAGAATGAGTAACCATGATCCATAGGTATGCCTTCCTAAATTGCTCCTCCTCGAATTTCAAAAGTCCATCGCACACACCCCAAAACTCTACGAAAGAGACCAAAGCATCGTACAAGACCGCACTTCGCCATGAACAGTGAGGATTCAAGCGCGGCGGGCGCATGGTGTACGCATACTACTCATGATAGCTCAGATCCTCTGGACCAGCATCTCCCTAATGCTATTCTTCACTATCACAAGCCTAAATCAAACCACTCACTCACACCATCCATCAAACATACATATCCTGACCAGCATTTTGCACATGTGCAGTCATATTTTCTCCATATGTTCAAACAACTGGCGCTGTAGGTCGCACATCTACCTGGCCGCGCAGGGCCAGAAAGTTCTCAGGAGCCATCAGGGGGATATCCGTGCAATGGAAGGATTTGGTGTGAGAGGGATGCCGAATTAGTCCCAGGCCTCTGCGCAGCTACCACGCGTGGAGTTTGAGGTATGTTCGTGCTTGGACGCGTCGAAATTTTCCGCAACTACGTCCATGGTGACGTGGATGGAGATGGCTACGAATGTTTCAACGGTCGTGTGAACCTTCTTCCGTCTATCCATTATCAGTAGCCTGGATTCCCTGGGTGGCTAGATTTCATCTTAAATCTGATAAGATGATCTGATAAAAATTCTCTTCTTCGCGCCTTGCCATTTTGGGACTGGCGATGCGAGCCGTTTATCGGACTTCTACCGCAGTCGGACACGCCAGAGAACAACATGACTCTGCGAATCTTGCGAAACGGCACATTTACAGTACTAAAAATGAACAATGCAATAGGAAAAAATATGACAAGTCAATATGGGTTTGCAGAACTTGATAGCAGGTGGTATCGTATCTACCAAACTAGGTATTCTTCCGGTGGTATCAGAGTCGCAACGCGTGCGCAGCGCACAGTCTCAAGTGGTGGAGACAGCCTACAAGAGATCCTACCTCGTAAAAGGCCCGCAAACAACCTGATTTAGAACTATCGGCGGAGACGCACGAGATTTTCGTTCTCGTTCGGCAGTAATAAATGAAAGATGGGCGCCGCTCAAAATGCAGGGACATTTCTTATTTTATCAGATCATCTCTTGCTTCCAGTAACCAGAAACGATGGACGCACGGTCCCCTTCTGAGCGTCCTCACGACCTCACCACAGACAACGATGGACAGATGCCTTCTTTATACGAAAAGAAGGCTGGAGATGTGGTCGTAGCTTCAAGTGAGGCATCGACCGGTGAGCGTGATGGCAGCGATCGGGGCTCAGCGATCCCGCTGAAGATGAAGCTCATTGCTATTCTCTTAGTGACGGCAACTGGGTTTGGTTCGCACTGGAGTAGTGGTGTCACTGGCGCGATGAAGAGTACGGTGAAGAAGGTATGAACAGCATGAACTTCTCGCTACAGGTACATCGACTGACATGGAAAAGGAACTACATATCAACAATGCGCAATACTCCGTGCTGGAAGCTAGCGAGGACTTTATGAAAACAGCTCTGATCCTCGTGAGCGGCCTTGTTACCGATAGGATTGGTGGTGCAAGTTCGTCTCTCCTCTACCTTCCAATCATGTCATGACGCTGACTGTACAATCTCAATAGGTGCCATGCTCTGGGGTAATGCTATTTACAGCATAGGCGCCATTTTCATTGCAGCCGCTACTACCGTACGATCGTACAAGTTCATGATATTTGGATCCATTGTTCAGGCATTTGGCGACATCGCCACACAGGTCGCGCAATACAAAGTGTTCAGCTCCTGGTTCGCGCCATCCAACGGCTTCGCATCAACCCTAGGTTTCGAACTCGGCATTGGTAAGATCGGATCTTTCGTCGGCAAAGCTACTGCAAACGTCATCGCAAAGAATACGGGCGACTTTAGCTGGGTATACTGGGTCGCCGTCTTTATGAATCTCTTCACCAACGTTACCACCCTCCTATACTGGTTCTTTACACGATGGTGCGGCAAGAAATACACTGGTACAGCCGACCCCGCGACCGGCGAGAAGCTCACAGAAAGCAACAAGAAGTTCGAGTTTGGGAAAGTACTGCGGCTTCCATGGACTTTCTGGAGTATCGTTGCATTCTCCCTCTTTCAGACCAGTACTGCGTCCGTCTTCGCTCAGAACGCAACAGAATTCGCTGAGCAGCGCTTCGATATGGATGCTGTCAAGGCGGGGTGGTACTCTTCCCTGGCGCAATACCTAGGCTTCTTTCTCGTTCCGATTATTGGCGTCTTCGTAGACGTTCTGGGCAACCGTATCACCCTGATGCTAGTGTGTGGCTTGGGCATGTTGCTGTCCATGTGTCTGGCCACATGGGGTCCGACGTTTGCTGGCACCGCAGCCTCGTTCGGCATCTACGGTGTCGCGTCTATGTTCGGTCCAACCGTCATCATCGACTCGATTCGCACTTCCATGTGGTACCAAGAAGTCTTCGGTTCTGGATATGCCGTCAAGATCGCCGTCAACAATGCCATGTCCATCATCATCCGTATCATCACGGGAGTTATTCAGGATCGTGACGACAACTCCTATGACAATGTCGTCGTCGTATACGTTGTTCTTTCTGCTTGTTCGGTTGCGGTAGCCGCAAGTATGTTTGTTGGCTGCTTTTGGACGAGCGACCTCGCTCAACTCCAGTGGACAAGGCGCCAGCGCATTGCAAAGGGCGAGATCATCAACGTACGGAGGGAGGAGTTTGGGTCCGGATCTGCTGGCCGGAGGAATAGAAAGATTAGCATGTCGTTGTTTGTTGCGCTATTGTTCTTGGTCGTGGGTTCTTGGGCGGCGTATTTCTGGGGCGTTGCAACGGGCAACAATGGCTGAGAAGCTACATGCTCGTACCTGCTATTCCAAGTTAATGAGCGACCCTAGTGTGGCTAGTATGTACTCAGTTGCTTCCTAGTGCAGTTTTGTGCCGCGTGTGTTAACCCAGCTTCAGTGCGGGTTTGTAGACATGTACGTATCAGAAAGTAGTCGCTTCGAAGTCGACACGAAGCAGCTAGCCCAGCGGGAAAACAAAGTCGATCGTTCCACTTCCCGTGTGTTGCCGCGATCATCCGACCAGACCAATTGAGCTGGCGGAATTCGACTTCATCAACCCGTATATCCTGTACGCGGTACTTCCAGTCCCATACAGCCTGTAGTTTATTGTTTCCGTCACTCCGTCCTGGTTCGGGAAACTTTCCAATGCCATAGTCGCTATACTATGTAAGAAATCAATTCATCCCTTACTGAGATCAGGTCTGTTCCGGAGCTTCAGGGAGGTACTCCATCAATGTTACGCACAATGACATATTTGTTTCTTTGTCGTTCGTAACTCCGGTACGCGGAATGTTTCAACCGCTCCTCCAACTTTTGAAAAGGGCCATATTCCGATATGAAGCGACCCTTGCGCGTCAATTCAAAGACGCATTCGTAAAATCACGACTGTTCCGCCAGGAGCGGATGACGACATCGCCACAATCTACCCGGGATGGCGACCCACCAATAGCCTCCATTTTCCGGCTGGCATGCGAAAACCTCAAGACTTCCAGTTCGATCATCTGATCCACCCTTGGGCGTCATGGTTGCAGGAGTAGACCCCAACGTGACTATATCAAGGCAGCCATAGAAATTTAATGCATAAGCTCTCTTCAGCTTCCTCATACGTGCTAGTAGAGCTAAGAGACTCTGCAAATGGCCATTTGACACTTGCAGTCTATCGCCCAGAACTAACAGTAGTCCGATATTGATCGGTCTGTTGGGACAGAATGGTGTATTGGGGTCGGTGTTGGTGACTGGTGACTTGAGCCCACAGGAATGTGGCATCTCATTCTCTTCCTTAATTGCGTGGTGGCATCGATGAGCCTTGTAGAGAATCACCACCAGTTCTGAGTAAACCTCATGTACCAAATTTCGGTAGTCGACAACAAGGCGTTCCTCTTCAATGATGAGTCCATGAGACCGTAGATCCTATCCCGAGGATCATGGCAATACGCACCGCTGAACATGGATATTGTGGTTTGCAAGCTGCGACGGTAATTTAAACCATACTCTTGGAATAATAGCTTTGCTACCGTAGGTACGTTGTGCAGTTCGAGAGCGTCTCCGGAATGCCTGGCGACCTTGCACATAGCTTTCCACGATACCCACACATTGCCAACGGAGGCGTGACTGCATAAGACGTCTATATGGCTTGCGAGTAGGATCTCTTGAACTACTCAAAGCGGCTTGAAGTAGTCGTGGTGCAGAATCATAGCGAGCACCCTGGACTGTTCGTGGTGATAAGGTTCATGGCCTTCTCCAGTGGCTCGCGGATATCGTCTGATCTGTTGTTACAATCGGATTCGGCACCTGACGCATCGGTGGCTAGCTTGAACGAGATAGACAATTCTGGAGGTGGGGACAGAGTGGATGTTGAAACAGTGGATAGGGTGGACATGACGGCGTCGTTGAGTGAAGGTATGTTGGGCTTGCAATAGGGAGAGGACGCGTTAACAATAGATTCTATTGACGACGCTGAGATGTGAATATTGTTGTTGTTGTTGTTGTTGTAGTCGCCGTGGTCTGCTCTGTACTGACTAAATTCGTCGCTCGGTCAGCACCAGTCCCAGTGCGGATGGCTGTGGTTGTACGCGCGGTAGTTGTCCGACACGATGGAACAAATGTCTACCTTCAGCTTGCTATGGCCTCAGGGCAATGGTACATTCATACTGTTGCAACTCCCTCGACAACTTATACGTTGTTCATCATTGAGGACGCCTCGCCCATGTTGTTGACTGATATGAAATACACGCTAAAGTCCTGTGTGTGCTATGACACGCCTGATTGCTGATTTCTCATAGATATGAGATTGAATATCTCATAGACGTTCAGCTTATCAGGTTATCAGATGGAGCAGCGAGTGTCGTCACGGATGCATCGGTTCAGCCGTGAAGGCTGAAGGCCGATGTTATAACGTAAGAAGCCGAAGCAGGCCCGCAGAGCCAAGACGAACGACTGGGACCAGGGAGATGGACTGAGTTCACAGTCTGGAGGCCCCATCTGACGGTAAGCGGCGATGTTAGTCGTGTGCCCATGCTCAGCAAGAGATGGATGCGTCGATGTGCATGGAGATTTGCAATTGTATATTTCCGAGAAATCATCAGCCGTGGGATGAGGGCAAACGCTTCACCGCCACGACTATATCTGTGTATAGTGGTCGTTTGAATACTGTCAGCAGTGACGTAGTGCGTGGTTGGCGGCACATTGCGGAGACTTGCAGGCTGCAAAAGGCAGGAGTGAGTTTGCACATGGACATCACCTCAAATTGCATTACATGTCGCGAAGCAGGTACAAACTGCCGACATGCGTGCGCAAAGCCGAGGAAGGGGCTAGGCTATCCTGGTGGGATTACGCCTTGTGAGGATTGTAGACATGGTGGTTCGCACGAGGAAAGCAGGCCGACGAACAGGCCTACTGGACAACAGTCATCAATACGAGCTGGTAAGCCAAGAGGAGGGAACGAAGCGCTGATCAGAAGAGGCTGGGCTGGGAGATAGTCAAGGAAGTGGCGATGCAACGGTGCGAGGGTGTGTGGCAGGCACGTAGGCCAGAGCAGACAGGCGCGTTCGGCCGGATGAGGAACAACGACAAGTGAGACCAGAAAGCAGGAAGCGACGTCGCGTGGGATGGATGCACGTCTTACTGAACTGATGGGCGGCGTGGACGGCGATAGACATGCCGACGGCGAAGGCTGGCCCTGGTCATGTCAGGCCGTGCAGGCTCTGGGCTTGCCAGCCGCTGAGGTTGTCTTCGTCTGGAGGCTAGTGAATTGCCCATCGCAGCTCTGTGTCTCGAAATCACCGGCCCGCCCCAGTTAATAACCGGGCCGGTTCTCAGCGGCTTCTTACTGGTTACCGACACAACGGTTCGCCAGCTGCATCAACTGAGCGAGCGACGCCTGGGTCAGTCTGCTACAAGCGGCGCCCACACAGCGACTGTTGAGCAGAAGCAAGAGTTAGCGCTCGCGCCTTTGTCGTAGGCGACGTTTAACCGCTGGAGCCCCAGTATTGCGTACAGTCCAGGGGAGTCGCACACCAAAGCCCCCTTCGCAGCGCATCGCCGTGGAGTGGCAGCCTCGCCCTCATTGGCCGGGGATGCAGTAGCGCTCGCCGGTGGGCTGGAAGAGGGAAGCATCTACCCAGCACTCTTGGCGGCCTTCGACCCGCGAGCAAAACTTCGGTCCCTCCCTCGAGGTTCCGACCTTCTTTGTCTCCTGATGCACTAGAGAGGTAGCGAAGACACCTGGTCGTTGTTGTTGTTGTTTTGCGACTTTTCCTCACGACTAACGGCCGAACCCCAAACTCCCAAGACGACGACGACTACTCGCAAGACAATCAATTGCCTCGACTGCTGTGCCAGCCGGAGCTGCACCAGCCGAGAGCGCTGCACACCCACACCCCTCTCCGCCCAAGGCCCAAAGACCGCGTCCAGCAACTGCCGCCCTGCCCAACACGCTTCCTCCCTGCGACCACGCCACGTACTGGCTGAGGGCCTGCCCCAATGGCCGTACTCGAGAGCAATGCAGTCTCCCGCGACGCCAAATCCTCCGCACAAGACTCGTCTCCCCTCGCTCGGGTGATGCGCGAGTTCGAGGAGCTCGTCAAGAGCTTCGAGACTGGCCTGCTGCGGTCGCTAGAGGACCACGGCCACAGCGACGTGATATCTGTGAAAAGTAGTAGCCGGCGCGATGAAGTCCGTCGTGAGGCCTGCCGGCTGGCCATCTCAGACCTTAGCAACCAATACACACCCAAGTACATTCGCCGGTCGCTCGATGCGGCCGAGCTCGAGGGAAAGCGTGTGGAAGACCAGCTGCAGAGTCTCTCGCTCAACGGACAAGTCCAAGATGACGAGAGCGACTTGGGCAGCCTGCACAATGGCTACTTCCGCCTCTACTCCACTGAGCTGTTCGACCTTCTCGGTCAGCCCACCGACCTGCGCTTCGGCACCCTGCGCTTCCACAAGGACAACCTGAGCCACCACGAGACGCCCTCGCAACAACACCCCCCATCGCCTCACGTCACCGTCGAACTCGCTCTCAACGACTCCTTCTTCGTCGCCGACTCAGAGGAGACGCTGCCCTACCACACTTTCCGCCTCCCTACAACACCCTCGCTACGGAATCGCGGCATACGTAGCAGGAAGTTTGACGAGGAGGGCACCTTCCCCGAGTACGACTCGTGGCTACTCTTCACCTTCCTCGGCAACGGCTGCATTAAACTAGAGGTGCCCATCGAGATGTGCGCAGATGTCTACGGAGGCCGTCTGCGGGGACGGGAAAATGAGGAAGTCCTCTTCTGGGGATTCTTTGTTGACGATGACGAATAGCGTCGCATCACATATTTGCTTGGGCTGGAGTTGGTATCAAGAGCTAGACAGGGCTTGGCATTGGAGTTGGGCGCATAGGACTGGCCTGGTCGGCCGCCGGAACGGGTGCTTGGACATGCATTCACGACTCACGAATCTCCTTAATCACATCTTCTTCTCTTCCCATCCCCCCACTGCGGGGCCATTATCTCTCACACTTTCGGCCCGTCAATCCTTTGCATTCACACATTCTTTTCAATCGCGTTTAGGGCGGCATTATGCATAGCATGTTTACAGTATATTCCTCAAAAGGCGGAAGTTGAGGTAGATGATAGAGCGCATGACGCGACACAGCATTGGTACTCGATAATACACACCGACGGACAAATCACATGCGCCGGATAAACCTTCTGCCGAACCTTTGCCTCTTGCCTTTTCTGAATTGCAACCAACTTTGCATCTGCATTATCCTCTTTTCGGCCATCTTTACCTAGCACAATGGCGCCCGCCTTGCCCGAAGCAGCTGCAGCATCTGCGAACACATCAACTGTTGCAAACACAGGATTTAGATTGGGGGAAGAGCAGCAATTTTCAGATGCGAGCGATAGCGACCAATCACAGACGAGCCAGCGAAGCGCCTCCCCGAGGCGAGCAAACGGCCTGACACCTGCGACCAAGTCGAAAAAGAAAAAACAAAAGGACCGACGAAAGATGGGCGCGTTGGCCGATGAGTTAGTCGACGTCTTGGGCGACGCCTTCTCGACGCCTCAAGACGACCTGCAGAATGGTATGTCACGTGTCGGGAAATTGTTGATTCAACGTCCATGAATCCTGCGGGTACTTGCTTTTGGCACATGCTACTGGGGTGAGTGAATCTGACATCATATGCAGGCTCGGCTCAGCAACCGAACGGTGATCAAACCATGGCAATTGATTCGGAGCCTGCGGGCAAGAAGATGAGTGAGTTGTCTCACCAAGCCTTGCCATTCGCCGCCATACTAAACCTATCTAGACAAACGCACTCGTCAAAATCTTGCCAGGATGCAAGCTCGCAAAGAAAGGAAAGTGGCTAATCCCAAGATGGACGTGTGGGAAGACAAGACACTGCAGGCTCAGATCGCGGCTGCGGAGCGGAGAGGCATGTCTCTAGACGAATACCGAAAGATTAGCAGTGGCAAGGGCATGTCTAGGGCAGCGGCGCGGAGAGCAAAGAAAGATTTAATTAGGAAAGAAAGGGCGGCTGCCGCAGTGGATGAGATGGACATTGGGTAGAAGTAGAGGGATCTGGGCGGTGGCTTGACGGCAAAGTAAAAGTGCGGAGATGAGACGGAGCTAACGCGTGAATGTCGAAAAAGTTCAGTGCAGCAATCTTTCCCCATGTTGCACGCTTTCGGACGTAATGCATACACAAAACGCGAATAAAGCGCCACTGTCGTACTAGGTCGACCTTGCCAAGTTTCATATGCTCATATCTTACTAGTGGGTCTGCATGAACTACGGTTCCCCAACCGCTGAACCTGAAGTTTTGCAGAATTCGGTCCTACTCTTTACGAGCATCGTCTATATCGCTTAGAGAGAATGCAGGTATATGCGTCTTCCTTGATGCGACACCCGGACTGATGTTTCACCGCATATCTCGACAAAAGCAAGCAAGGAAAACAAAAACGGTTCAATATGGCCGGTTATCTTGTTCAACTCTCGCTGTGTCAGTCCGATATTCCCCAGAAACCACTCCCAATCATCGTTCCGACTTTTCTCTCCCTCCACGGCCACGATCAGCACTCTAGCCAGGTGAACACCAAGTGAAGGAAAAACAACGTTTTCACAAAAAGTAATATCTTGCATGAAAACACCGCCAGGGCCGCATGCAGATACGCATCACGTGAATTCACCGGACCCTCTTTCTTACATATACGGATGCCGGCGAGTCTGTGTCCCCAGCAAGACAAAAAGGGTTCCAGTAGGACTGTTTGGGAAGAACAAGCAAACTAGACGTTGCATGGCAGGTGTCTGATGGAACAAGGCAGGGTAAGTCGGTGAGGTAGGTGGCTTGCAGTCTGTAGGCGGTGTGGAGAATAAGTGGGGATATGTGTAGGGTGATTTAGGATTGGAACATTGCTTTGACAGCTACGTTTGCACTGATAAGACGTTTGAGTGTCTGCTCGAGATTTTGTAGGTATTAATTGAGAGCAATGAAGAACAGCAGGATGTCATAACGCAAGGAACATTGATGATTGAGACGGCTGGATTCTTTCGATACAGAGATGTCAACAATCAAGCCAATCAAGCTAGAGGCTTTAGATTGAATTGAATTTATAGCTTTTTTTATAAAGGGTAAATTGACTTGATGAGCTTGAGCAAGGCCACCTTCCTATATAGATAATACGCTAGCCTAATGGGGTAAAGATAGTAAAAAACGGAGTGAATTGGCTTGATTGATTAAAAGTTTTGATAAAAATTCTTGAGCTTGGCTTCATTGATAGAAAAGATTTGGCTGGTTTAATTAATGAGCTTGATCTGGCTTGATTGTTGACATCTCTGTTTCAATAAGACCCAAGGTGTCAAACGCTCGCTATATTCATGTAAAACTTTATCCTACCATAAAGCGTCATACTCTAACCATACCCCTCTATCGTACATTACTCCTGGACATTATGAATGTTTCCACTCTCATCAATCTCCACCCTCGCCTTCTTCAAACTAGCGTTCCTCGGGTTGGGCGCCTCAAAGATATCCTTGAGCTCTTCAAGGGTCTTGCCGGCAGTCTCAACGAAGAAGAAGAAAATAAGAGCAATCTCAATGCAAATCCACCCAATGTAAACGAGGTAAAGCTTCCAATCAATCTTCTCAATTCCCACCGAGATACCGTAGGTGTTGACCACCATGGCGATATTGAGAAGAGGAAGTTGAGACCGGATCCCTTTGCGCGAGTGCGGTTCTCGAGACATTCGACAGCGTATAGGGTTTGTAGGGGGGTCCATCCCCAGGCGAAGAAGATGCCGAAGAGGTAGATGGAGACAATGGTGCCGTAGGCGAGTTTATTGTTAGGCGTGGCGGTGGCGGTGGCGGTGGCGGTGAAAGCTGTGAGGAGAATGTAGGCGAAGAGACCGCCCCAGAGACCACCCATAAGCATCTTTCGGCGGCCAAGCTTGTCGAGGAGGGTAGCACCATAGATGGCAGCAAGCATCGAGAAGATTGGGTTAATTGCGTTGATGAGCAGTTGCTCGTTGGGGTCCGTAATGCCAGCTCTTTTCACCATGGCTGGCATAAAGTAGCTGACAACGTTGTTACCACTCCATTGACCGAAGAAGGCCATTGCAATGACCATGGCCAATCGGTAACGTGCTGCCTTGGTGTTTCCAAGCTCGCGGAAGTCCCACCAGGGGTTGTCGTTGCGAGTGACAGCAAAGTCCTCGGTGATCTCGTGGAGCTGGAGCTGTACGATAGGAGAGTTGGGGTTGCCGTTTCCGTGGTACTTTGCCATGATAGCGATAGCCTCTTCTCTGCGATCGTGAGCTAGCAGCCAACGAGGCGTTTCCGGGAAGAACATGATCAAGGACATAACGATAGCAGGCAGAATGCACTGAACAATAGTGGGGATCCTCCATGCCCATGAAGAGTTGCCCATGTGAAGGTTGGTTCCATACGTAGTCCAGCCAGCCAGAATGTTGCCAACCCACCAGAAGTTGTTGTACATTCCGGCCATGGTTCCACGGTAGGCAGGATGTGCAAGTTCAACAGTGTAGGCGGGGCCAGCAGCAGAGGCGATGGATGCGCCAAATCCGAGGATGAAGCGACCAGCACTGAAGTGTCCCATCTCGTTGGCCGTAGCTTGGACGGCGGTTCCAACGAGGACGAGTGCGCAGCCGACAGCGATACAGACACGGCGACCATATCCATCAGCAAGGAATCCACAGCTGAACAAAGTTAGTCGCGGAGGATACATGTACTTTTAATACACTCGAACTTACAATGGGAAGGCTGCGATTTGACCAAGATTGTAGATGATGAAGATGATGCCAGTGCTGGATCCCTCACCAGTCAAATCAAACGTGTTCTGATAGGCTTTCATCGCGTTGATAGATCCCATAAGGGAGCTATCGAAACCGTTAAGCGTAGAGACGAGGTAGCCAATGCCCATGATCATGTAGAGCTGAATCATGCCTCGAGACCATAGCTTCGGCTTCTCTGCCTCCATAGCAGCGGCTATGTGCTGTCAGCGCTCACTCTTGCCATCTGCTGAAACCTCATAATGGACCACTTACCGAGAGCTACTGAAGCTACATTGGCCTCCTTGACATTCACGTGCTTGTTCATGTCATTGTCGTATTGGCTCAGCTGGTGCGTAACAGGGCCCATGTCGTCTTTCTTCTCCGCCATCTTGGATATGCAGCCGGCAAGGACTGGAGAGGAATCGGAGTTGTGGAGAAAAATGGAACTGCTCTCCACTTGATGGCTGATTTGCAACGATACTCAAGGATTCTGGAATACTGGGTCGCTTTATATTGTACAGGCTTCTCCGCAAAACAAGTAGCGCTTGCAACCCCATGGCACCAAGGTTCATGCCCTGCTTGCCTGGACCGATGCATGGTTTCTGCTCTGGATGCAGAGATCCGGCGTCCAGTGCGCCACTCCATTCGCCAAGTATGCTTGTTGAGCGGTAATAGCACCGCATTAGCGGCGGAGTAACAACGGAAAACTGGTAAATTTTCAACTCCCAAGCTCGCTACGTCTCGAACGTACCATAGCCAAGTAATAGGGCCTTCTAACGGGGCGGATCCAGGCCCAGAAACAGTTTGGCGGACGGACGGGCTTCCCAATGAGTACCAGTTCTAGAGCGCCGCGCGTGAAGTCTTTACGATGGAGATGAATCAAGCAATGACCCGGCCGATGTGCAAGTGAATCGTAAAGAACCAGACGAGATTCAATATGGTGTAGTAGGGCTGGGCAGCGGGGTCTGGGGATGGATTCGTGGAGAAGGAGGCTGCCGAATGCAGTAGCTCGTCCGTTGATCAGGCAAGGGTCCCCGCTCGCGCCCGGACGTCGCCCCATCAAAACCCCGATGCGCGCTTGCACATGCAACACGCACCGTCTATTGCCGTCACGTTTTCTAGTTCATATCACCTGGGGGGCAGACGGTTCCCTTGGCTCTCACGATGTATGACCGGACGGCTTCCCTAATCAGTCGAAGCTGCGCTACGTACGGCCGTATAGTGGGGCTACAACGATTGTATCAAAGGCTGAGAATGTAGAGTAGCGGTTTGTGAGATTACCATCAACTTCCAGTCCATCCATCATGGCTTCAGGTCTACATCCAGCGGGCGTTCCAGACTGGAACAACCTCGATATCCTTCACAAGAACACGCTGCCTGCACGCGCATACTTTCACAACTACAAGTCCGAGGCCGATGCACTTAGTTCCGATGTGAACAAGTCGACGACACATAGCCTCTCCGGCACGTGGAAATTCCAGCATTCATTCTCACCATTCGAAGCTCCTGAAGGCTTTGAGTCGACTACATTCGACACATCATCATGGAGCGACATTGCTGTGCCAGGCATGTGGCAGTTGCAGGGCTTTGGCAAAGGCCCCCAGTATACGAACGTCATTTATCATATCCCAGTCGATCCTCCCAACGTGCCGTTTACCGAGAATGAGACTGGATCGTACGTTCGTAAGTTCAAGATTCCGAAAGAATTGCAGGACGGTCAACTTCGACTCCGATTTGAAGGTGTTGACGCTGCTTTCCATGTCTGGATCAATGGGAAAGAAGTCGGATATTCCCAGGGTAGCAGAAACCCGGATGAGTTTGACATTACCTCGATTGTCAAGCTCAATGCCGAAAACACTCTGGCCGTTAGAGTGTATCAACATTGCGATGGAACTTATATTGAAGATCAAGACCAGTGGTGGCTGAGTGGCATGTGAGTACAGTCTGTTCTCAAGACGACTCATAAACTCATGACTACAGATTCCGTGATGTCTTCTTGGTGGGTTTCCCCAAGACGTCGCGCATCGAGAATGTCTTTGCACAGACGATTTTGGATTCATCCTACACCGACGCCGAGCTAAAAGTCAAAGTCAGCGCGACCGGACCTGGCAAGCTCACAGCGAGGCTTTTGGATGCAAAGAAGCAGGAAGTTGCCTCATCAGAAGCCGACATCAAGAGTGATGATGTGACTCAACTCAGCTTTCAGGTCAAGGATCCTTTAAAGTGGACTGCCGAATCGCCGAACCTATATCATCTCGTCGTCTCTACCGGTGATCAAGTTGTCGCCCAACGCATCGGTTTTAGACAGGTCGAGATGAAGGACGGCTTGATCAAAGTCAACGGCAAGAGAATTGTCTTCCGCGGAGTTAACCGTCATGAGCATCACCCCACTTGTGGTCGCGCGGTGCCGTATGATTTCATGAAGGAAGACCTTCTGATCATGAAGCGCCACAATATCAATGCTATCCGTACTTCTCATCAGTTGAACGACCCACGATTGTACGATCTTGCGGACGAGATGGGTTTCTGGGTCATCGATGAAGCGGACCTGGAGTGCCACGGTTTTGAAAGTATCGCTGATGCTGCGTTATCGAAAGAAGAGCGCAACCTACCATTCCGCGAGCGCCAGCTTTTAACTAGGTCGAAGGCCGCAGAATGGACAACCAACAACCCAGCCTGGACGCACGCATACGTGGACCGTGCAGAGGCACTCGTCAAGCGGGACCAGATGCATCCATCAGTCATCATATGGAGTCTCGGTAACGAAGCTTTCATGGGACGCAACTTCGTGGCCATGTACGAACACATCAAAAATACGACGGCAGCCGGCCTGTCCACTACGAAGCGGACATCTACGCAGATACCATGGACATGTACTCCAGAATGTATCCCCCAATCGACGAGATCATCAAGTTTGGTGAAGACAAGGAGAAGAAGAAGCCACTGGTTCTTTGCGAATATGTAGGCTATACTCTATCGAGTTTTAGCACAATGACTGACCATATTAGATCCACGCCATGGGTAACGGTCCCGGTAACATCAAAGAATACGTTGACGCCTTCTATAAGTACCCAACTCTGCAGGGAGGTTTTGCATGGGAGTGGGCGAATCACGGTCTTCTTACCAAGGACAAGCAGACAGGTGAAGAGTTCTATGCCTATGGTGGCGACTTTGGTGAAGAAGTTCACGATGCAACGTTCGTCATGGACGGTCTTGTCAACTCCGACCATTCGCCCAATGCAGGCTTGATTGAGTACAAGAAAGCTATCGAACCTGTGCAGCTTCTGGAATCGAACAGTTCGAAGGCTACGTTTATCAACCGGTACGATTTCATCACGCTCGACCACTTGAGCTGTCAGTACACATCAACGTCCGCATCTGGAAGTGAAAGTGTATCGGGAAGCCTAGAAATTCCTTCTGGTATTTCGCCTGGCCAGACCTTTGATGTACAGCTTCCAAAGATCGAAGGATCAGAAGAGGAAGTTTTGCTTAGCATCTCGTTTCAGCTGAAGGAGGCTACGCCATATCTCAAGGCAGGTTTCGAGATCGCGACAGCACAGATACCCGTTACGCCAGTAACACCGTTGAAGCGACCTCAGTCATCGGGCAAGCAATTCACTGTTGAGACACCGTCCAGGAACACCCTCAAGATCACGACGGATCAAGCCACTTGGGAGTTTAACACTCTTCATGGTAGTCTCACTTCCTGGGTACAAGGTTCTACCGAGCTTCTCTCAAGGCACCAGAAATCGACATCTTCCGCGCGCCTACTGATAATGACATTCCACAAGACGGTTGGGATTGGAAAGACAAGCAACTGCATCACGCGAAGCCTTTTACTCGCAAGGTTGAATGGTCACAGTCTGGCTCGGAAGCTCTCAAGATTACCGTACATCAACGTGTCGCTCCTCCAGTTCTCTCTTGGTCTATCGACTGCGTTCTTACGTACACTTTCAGTGCCAGTGGTACTCTGTCTGTGCATGTCACCGGTACACCAAAGGGTGAGAACCTACCTCGTACCCTCCCACGCATCGGCCTTGTTATGGAGCTACCTAAGCAGTTCCAACAAGTCGAGTGGTTCGGCCGCGGTTTCGATGAATCCTACCGCGACAGCAAACTCTCGCAACCCGTGGGCAAGTACACAGCATCCAGCATCGACGAACTCTGGGTGGACTACGAAGTACCTCAGGAATCGTCAAACCGCACAGATACTCGTTATCTCAGCCTCACAAATGGTAGCGGCGCAGGTCTGCTCGCTCAATTCGCGGATAAAAAGACTGAACAGAGGAAGCTGTTTGACTTTCAGGTCACCCATTACAGGATGAAGGATGTTGCGGCTGCGGACCACCCGCATGAGCTAAAGAAGAAAAAGCTGGAGGAAGTTGTGCTTAGATTAGATGCGGAACACCATGGACTGGGCAGTGGAAGCTGTGGACCGAGGACACTGGACGAGTATAGTCTAATGTGCGAACCTTTTGAGTTTGAGGTCGTATTGCAGGCTCCGTAGGTATTGCCGCTCGGGGTATAGACCTGCTGAGAAACCACCTTCGAAGGGGTGCGATATAGGCTTACAATAGTATTCGCGATGCACCTAAGGTATCCAGTCTTGCTTGTCAATTTTCAGTTCATAAGCCTCTGGAGGAATCGCGATGTTATGCATCGATGCAGAAAGGGTACTCTCACCTTGCGAGTATATATCCACATGCACTCATCTGTTTCTCTTTCACTTTCACCGGTGGTCCGGTCGCAACTGCCCTGTTCTTTCGTCTCGGGCTAACCCACTACTTACCACTGGCTCACACCTTCTATCACATGTGACCAACTAACTTTTCAGGACTGACATCATGGCGAGCAGGACGAAGAAGCGACGCGTGAGTACCTGTCGGTATATACCGGCTACAGTTGCACTAACGCTCAACAGAAATCGCAATCACCGGCTCGCGATACAGCCTCGAAAAGACCGCGCGTACGTTCGGCCAGTAGCTCGAATCGCTCACAACACGTCGAACGCGATGCGCACTCGTCCCGCGCCGGATCCGCCAGAGATGCATATTTGGTGCAGAAGCAAAGCCAGTCGACAATCTTACCCAGCGGAGAAGATTGGCTATTCCGTGTGAAGGTGATCTCGTCTGCAACGGACCTCGGCAACGATCTGTCCAAGAACGCAGTACAAGGACTCGTTCGAATATGCTTCCCTGAAGGCTTCTTGGACCAGCTAGGGCCGCAGATACTGGAGCGACATATGTGCGAGGAAAAGGCGCCGGAAGTGAACATACGAAGGATGTCAGAAATCTTCTGTACCGAGATGACCGAGCGTGTAGCATGTATGCTTGCTGAGTATCTGGATACACCCGCCAAGGTCGAATCAACGATGCAAGCTACGCTAGCAGCTAGTGTGAGGCTCCATGGGGATGATCTTGGAGAAGATATTCTGGGACACACGATTACGAGCCTGCTCCAATTCAAAGCAAAAGCTTTGAAGGATTCGATGGGATGCCTAGCGAACAATGACGATGTACAAGAATCGGCCGGCAGCGATGGAAATATGAGTACGGGCAACGTCTCTGATGAAAAGCATTCACCATCAGAGAAAAAGAAGCGACACAAGGATCTGTCTAAGAAAGCAAAGCGTGAGCATACTGCGGTGAGAGACGATTCTCCAGAAGTCGCGAATATAGAGATCGATTTGCCAGCCACTTCGATTGAACACCGCGCCTCGAAACATAAGGATAAGAAGATCTCTTCCAAGTGGCAATGGAATATTGATGCGACACAGCTCACGGATGACGATGTGGCTGAAGCTTTCCCACGCACGAGCGATCTGTTCGCCTATCATGCATTGCCCATTGCTAGAAGAAAACTTGGATCGCAAGCATCGAGGAAAGAGATCCGATGTGAGATGCAGTCGTTACTCGATGGCATGCCTCAAAATGAGTTCGAGAAGTGGGTTGAGAGCTTACAAAAGCTCCTCAACGGCGATCGCGAGATGCTAGCACGACAAGATGTTGCTGTTTCGAGCGTTGACCAACAACTCTCTCGTGCCACACTAGCGCCAGTCGACCTGCGTAGAAAGGCTGGAAAGAGTACGACAACACTCCTAAGTGATTCAATTAGATCAAAAGGACGCGCGAACAATGTTAGAGATGATTATGAGGAAACTCTTATCAAACGCGAGACTGCTAGAGGATCAAGCAGAGTGGCAGAGGGCTCATCGAACACCCGCATTGCGGAAGCAACAGCTGCGCTTCGCCAGTTGTCTACGGAAGAACGCGAGTTCGGTCGGCCACATCCCAGCACTGAAGCAGCGGACGGGCAGAACCCTCAAAATCTGCAAAGTAGTGGAAACGTTGACAGTGTACGTCGGTAGTGTATTAGTCCGATCTCATTGCTGAATATTCTTAGGCTTTCGGTATGCCCATACTCAATCTGCTATGGGGATCGGACAGTCTGAACGCAACTGAATGCGTGGACGATTCTGTCAGGATCACACAAACGATTATGAGAAATCTCAAACATCGCGTCTCCGCAGAAGTAAGTCTCCGCCATCTATTTGTCGTGATTGCAGCTGACTTGACTCAGCGCATAGTCGTGAGTGGCTTAGGAGGCATGAACAAGACTCGCACAATATCTGAGCTCCAGGATGCTATCGTCCATGCATTCCCGAGACCCGGTCATCACTACAGCTTCATGAGGATCAAGAAGGACATCGAAGCGGCTCTCGTTCCGTGGGTCATTGCGGAACCGAGCGCTTTCCCTGAACTGAAGGCTATGCCTTTCGTCTTCGCTCATACTGTTCCGGTGTGTCCTCCAGAGGACTGTATCTTGCTCTGAACACTAACACAATCATGCAGGCAGTCTCAGCAGTTCTTAGTCTGCTCTTCGGCTCTTGGTCCGCTGCGTCCGAGTTCAGTGGATCTGAGATGTGGGAGGAAATCTTATATGCTCTCCAACGACGAGGCATCTCTGAAGTACGTCTTTCGATCTCTTCTAGTATGCATAGCGGAACTGACGTATAACCAGGCATCTGTGGGTGCCGCCAACATCGACTGCTTGCAGATTGACAGTCTTTGCGACAAGACTAGGCATCCAGAGATGACAAGACGTGCTTTACTTGAACGCGTCCTGCGTCGCTTGGCCTTCTCGCATAGAGCCAAGTTCCCGGAGCTGAAGGGTACGCCTGTTGTGACGACGTGGGAGAGGAAGACAGGATTGACATGGTGAAACACAGATAATGTCATTTGCGTGGTGTGTCATTATGGTAGATTCAAATGTGATCCTGACCGGTATGGCTGGTTTTTCTTCAAGATGAATCGGTCGCAGGTGTTTTCGCGAATACTAAGCATTAGGATAATGTAGCGAGGGATATCGTATCTACAGCGCTCACAAGGTGACCAAGGCTAAGCTCTTATGTTAGAATCATCCGATTCCACCGTATCAAGTGTAGTTGACCGACGCTGGGTCTCACGCAAAACTCCATGCGGAGACTCGTTGTATTTTAGGACGGGTCGTTCGTGGCATGCAGGTGGCGTGGCGGATCGCGAGCCGGTTAGCGTGTGAAGCCGGCTGGTCCTTCCTCCAGTATACAACGAACCTTTTCACAAATGATCTCACGTCTCGTCTCTCGCATCCTCCATTGACACAGTGCAGCTAAACCTAAGGAATCATGCTACTGTAGCACTCTGTATGAGCACGGCGTGGCTAAGACAAAAGCAATCATTATCACCTCTCGTACGACTCACATTGTAGACATCGTAGAACACGTACTCGTCTTCAAACCCCCAGATTATTATTGGGAGGAGTAACGGCACGATAAGGGCCGAAACGTTGGAGAAGAGTAGATGTGGGGTCTTTCTCCGCAATGTGGGGAAAGACACCTTCACACATGTCTGCTAGCGCTTCGGCACCCTAGTCTTCACCTAGCCGAAGAGGTCTGTTCCTGCAGGATATATTAACAACAAGGCATTGTAGAGATACATCTCGCATTTTCGCAACGCACATCTATCATCGTCCACAATGACGCCATCACCAGCTTACATCGACCCGGAGTACCAATCCACACATTACAACCTCTTCAGAGATTCTATAACCGTTCCGCTAAAGTCGGTACTGCCACCTGGCGTTAGCCGAGATGCATTTGATGCAGCGATCGGGAAATATAAGGGTATTGTTGGCGATGCGCAGGTATACCAAGGTGATGCGTTAACGGAGTACATCGACCCATATGAGTTGCATGAGGCGGAGGGAACACGTAGGATGCCGAGTGCAGCCGTACGACCAAAGAACGTGGAAGAGTTGAGAGAAGTACTAAAGATTTCAAACGAGTATAGCATACCGGTGTGGACATTCTCAAGAGGCAAAAACCTTGGGTCAGTAGACTTCAGCGTGCATCTCATCTGATCATCTAACGATCGAATAGATATGGTGGACCAGCTCCTCGTGTAACTGGCTCCATAGCCCTCGATCTCCATCGCATGGACAAGATCATCGAGGTGAATGGCGAATACGCCTACGCTGTTGTCGAACCTGGTGTTACCTTCACCGAACTCTATGATTACTGTGTCAAGAACAAGCTCAATGTTTGGCCTTCCGTACCATCGCTCGGATGGGGGTCTGTGATTGGCAACACCATTGATCGTGGTACAGGCTTCACGCCCACAGCAACGCATCATCAGCACATCTCTGGGGTTGAAGCCATGTTGGCGAACGGTGAGCTCGTACGAACAGGCCAATTCGCCGTTTCCAACTCGCCATCCGCGCATCTCTCAAAGTTCACATTTGGACCCAGCATCGAAGGTCTATTTCTGCAGTCCAACCTCGGTATCGTAACCAAACTCGGCATATGGCTTACACCCGCGCCGCAAGCTTTCATGTCCTGCACCTTCGACATGCCTGATTTCGAAGACGTGGAGACGATCGTCGATACATTCGGGCCACTACGACGTGACGGTCTGCTTCCGAACACAGTCTACGTATCGAATGTGACGGAATGGCTAGGCATGATGGGCCCTCGGGAGGACTTCTGGCCACACAACACCTCAATACCGGACTGGAGAGTCAAGGAGTTACAGAAGCAATTCGACCTGGGCTATTGGAACGCTAAGTTTGGTCTATACGGCGCGAGAGATGTTATTCAAGCGCATTTCGACGAGTTGAAGAAGATCATCGAGAGGAAAGCGCCAAAGGGCCGGTTGACTGGTAAGATATTTTCTGCACCGGACGGAGAGACACTAAATCCTGCATCTGTTCCTGAGATGGATGGTGGCTTCTTCGTTGGCATACCGACTCTCTGGTCACTTCCTATGGTAAAGTTCCGCCTGCCGAAGTCCGGAGGTGGTATCGGTGCGCATTACGACTACAGCCCAATCATCCCTTCCAACGGGAAAGAGATTCTGGACTGGGTCAAGACAGCGAAGAAGATCTGCGAAGCGGATAACTTTGATTTGTTCTGTGACTTCTTCATGCATGAGCGTCATGGTAAGTTCTTCCTATTCAACAGATAGATGATGAGATACACTGACATTTGACGCCTGTATCTAGTCATCTTCGTCAACATGTTCACGTTTGACAAAACAAACGCGACGCATCGGAAAGCGGTGCAAAGCATCTTCGATAACTTGTTCGAGGAGGGGAAGAAGAGAGGATACAGCAAATATCGCAGTCATGTGAACACCATGGGTACGTACTGGGTCTTCTTAGTCATAACCACCAATCTACAGTTGCTAACCTCGATCTAGATCGTGTCGCTTCACTATACGACTTCAACGACCACGCGTACCGGAGGTTTGTTGAGACGATCAAAGATGCTGTTGATCCTAACGGTATACTCTCGCCGGGGAAGCAAGGTATCTGGCCAAAGCGGTTCCGAGGAAATGAGGTTTCAAAGGCGCATCTATGAGCTGCAGTGCCGGCTCGAATGTTGGAAACGCAGGAACGTGCTTATGTATTAGTACTCATATTTGGAAGTAGATGCCTTTGGATGCATTGGCTCAGCTTAGTTGGCTAGCTTGATTTTGCATTCAACGTCTCTATTGTCGTGATGATACTTTGGGCTTGTCGTTAACCCGCTTTTTGAGTGACCTGCTGTAGCCGAAGCACGAAACGCACACAAAGACGGGTGTATAAGTACAAGGGGCTGTTACAAAGCCCACAATCTGGTCAGCTCGAGCTGCCATTTCTTTGATGGTCTCAACCTATTACATTGGCACTTGTACGAACCCAAGGCAATGCATCGTGGACACACCAAGGCTCGGATCATCACGACAGCAATACACACCAGATTGTGAACTGGAGAAAGATGTATGTCCAATTATAGTCCTACACATCCACGAGATGTTCATGGGTAGGGTGGAGAAGACACGGCTCTGCTAAAAACCAATTTCAGTCTCCCACAGAGAGAAATGTTGCTTCCAGGCCATGAAGAGCTGAACCAGGGAGCAGGCAATAGTGGGGTAGTAGCATACAACCTGCACAGCAGCGACGACTCGAAGAACGACAAAGACTGATCATTCTGCGTAGGAGCACGTGCCGCAAACTGTACATCGCGAAGTTGTTGATGAGCAGAAGAGCGAGCCGGAGCTTGTTTTTACATGAAAATTATCCCGCTCGGACCCCATCTTTGTCAGCAGCTCTTGGCACTGCCCACCTGAAATTCTCGTCGCAGCTCGGGCACACTTTCTCTTCTTTACACACAATCATAACAAATGGACGATTAATCAACGGCTATACTGAGCTCATCATCTCTATAGTTGTCATATTTGCGTCACTAGAGTAATACCTGGCACTTTTAGGCTTTTTGCTTCGATTTCTATGTTGCTTGAAGCCACCTGCGTGACCATACATCCCTTCACTGAGGCGTTTGAATATGCTCTTTTTTTCCGCGTGCTCAAAGAAGTATGTAGCTAGCTTCGGTCGGCGTCTGCTGGGAGGTTCTTCTCTCGGAGTCTGAGGTAGTGACGACGACTGCAACGCCTGCCAGCCTTTAATCGTCTTGTGCCCGACCGACCGGCAGCGAAAGAGGCGGTTTCGGCCCTTCAAAAACCAGATCGGCAGCGTCTCTGAGTCGCGCCACTGAGCGCGCACGTTGTTCAGGCGCTGTCGTAAGCTGTCCCCTCTCGACAGGCTGGTAGGGGGACGATGGACTTTCGGGTGGAATGTTCGAAGCTCAGACAGGGGCATGATGCCGCATATAGCCCAGAAACGCAGGGTTCTGGAGCTTCTGCGGGTTGCCATGTGTGTGAATGTGGAACGGATGCATTACTCGTCATCGCGTGTGTCAACTAAGGGCCCTACCAAGTCCCCTTTCCGTGCTCATGTTTTGCTTTGCTATGGAATTATTCTTTCTTGGGTAATCCTGCATATGCGCCCTCTTGCCGTCTCTCAAGCCCCCTTTCCCCCACGTATTGCTCTCGTGCACGTTCTGCCGCGCCCCGATCATCGACCTCCGCCCGAACCGCTTCCTCCTTCCAGACAAGATGGCGTCGGCCTTGAACAAGCGCCAGCAAGCGCGTAATGAGCGTACGTTACAGGAACTCATCAAGACAGTTCCCGGCAATGGAACTTGCGCAGACTGTGGTGCGCGGAATCCAGGTAAGTCGTGTAGGCGCATGCCGTTCGGAAAGCCCCAAATGCTAACTATACTACACAGGATGGGCGAGCTGGAGCGTAAGTCTTCCCATATCACACGACGAACCTATACTTCCCTAAGAACCGATCGTCCGTCGACCATGAACACAAAACTGACGTATGTTGTAGCTGGGCATCTTCCTGTGCATGCGATGCGCAGCCCTGCATCGCAAGCTGGGGACGCACATCTCCAAGGTCAAGTCCTTGAGTATGGATAAGTGGGACAATGCGCAAGTAGACGTAAGAGCTGTCAGACCTCAGCGGTTCAGGCCCTGCTGATAACTGGCTAGAACATGAAGCGCATTGGTAATGTCGAATCGAACAAGACGTATAACCCGCGTAACGTCAAGCCCTCCATACCCATCGACATCGACGAGGTGGACAGTGCTATGGAAAGATACATACGGGCAAAATATGAGCAGAGGATATACTTGGACGCTTCACGACCGGGCACGCGACAGAACACGGGCAGTACGAGCTCTGAGGACCGACCACCACCCTTACCACCGAAGCCGACTGGTCGCTTTGGATTTGGGTTGCGAAAGGCGGCAACATCACCTCGAAATCTGACTCCTCCGCTATCACCAGGTCTTAGTGGGTTCAGTCAACAAGATCAATCGCCGCCACGGATCAACAAACCTTCCAGGGTCTTCGGTTCCAACATACACACTTCGGGCGACGGCATGGATTCGAAGCTAGCGCAGCTTCGGGATATGGGCTTTCCAGACGATAAGCGCAATTCTACGGTACTAAAGGGACTGAACGGAAATTTGGACCGGGCAGTCGAGGCTTTGATCAGATTGGGGGAGCAGGACCCTGGCAGATCGAGGGGAAGTACACCGACACCATCAACGCAGCCTACTTCCAATGGCATTTCCTTCGACACACCGAGCACCGCACCCGCTACCACATCATCTACAAACCCTTTCGATGCGCTAGATGCGCCTACTCACGCTCCCCAGCAGCAACCACAGCTCGCTCCGCTCCAGACCCAGCAAACATCCTATGGAGGGCCGACGCCACAGCAAGCCTATCCGTCAAGCTCCTACAACCCATTTTTACAACAAGCGTCTCAAGGATATGTTCAGCAACAGGCCCCTCAGCAACAACCGCAGCAGCAACAGAACTTCGGCTATCAACAAAACCCATGGGATCAACAGCAGCAAAATCTCGAACAATCTTTCCAGGGTATGCAAATCTCGAATCAACAGCCTCAGCAACCTCAGCAACCCCTATTCCCAAACCGAACTGGAGGCTACGGTGAATCGCAACCGTCATCATTCCCTCAAACAAACCCCTACAACCAGTCGTTTACTCCACCGCCGATGCCGCAGATACCCGAGCAATACAGTTCTTTCTTCGCTCCGCAACAGCCGCAGTACCAATCTATGTCCAATCCCTCAAGTCCCGGAAATCCCTTCCTGAGATCGTCCAAAAGCCAAATGTTTACACCGACCAATCTTGCGAGCTCAAATCCATTCGGACAGTCAACATTGCAACAGCAACAGCCATCTCAGCCGCAGTCCGCTACTCCACAACAGCAGATGCCTAATCCTTGGTCGCAACAGCAACAACAATTCCAGCAGCAGCAACTGCAGCAGTCATCTCAACCGCAGTCAGCTCCTCCACAGCAGCAAATGCCTAACCCTTGGTCACAGCAGCAGCAACAACAACAGCAACAGTATAACCAGGTTTCAACTCCCCAGACGGCGAACCCCTGGCAGACGCAACAAACAAGCTATCAACCCCAGGATCCACATCAAACCTACCAGACTCAACAGCAGAGTTTCCAGACCCAACAGCAGTTGTACCAACAACAAAGCTCTAACCCCTTTGACAAGAATGCTTCAATTCTCTCGCTATACAATCAGCCTCAGCAAGCTCCTCAGCAAACGCCACAACAGCAAGCTCAACCGACAGCTGTGCAAGCTTCAACTCCTGCTGCGCAAGCACCTGGACGCTCAAACCCGTTTGGTGGTATGTCCGGTGCACCACAAGGACAAGCACTATCCGCTGCACAAACACCTGGTGTAAGGCATGTTAGCAACGAGAGTGTGGACTTTTCGGGATTGATGGGTGGTCGACATTCACCCGACGCTTTCTCGGGCTTGAGTGCGACCTTCAGGCGGTAGATGGGCCAAGTTTCGCAACCTGCTTTGACTGTGCGTAAGTGACTGGGGAAATTCTTTTTTGTTGATACTTTTGATTTGGAGCCAAGTGTGGTGTTGGATATGACAAAGAAGAGTAGGAAGGGGTGATGAGACCGACGGGGTTGTAGGTGAGGTTTGTTGTATGATACCTAGCTAGGAGGTGCGCCGCATCGCCTTTACATTAATTACTATCTCATTCTACACATCTATAGATTGGCACCTGCGCTCGCTCAAACCTAAACAGGTCAACTTGTATGCTTCATTTTCATTCAATACAAGGACGGGCTCAACCTATTCATTATATGTGCACATTTAAATTTATCTTACATCCGAACCTAGGAGTTCTAGAACCTTATGGCAAGGCCGTGTATGGCTGTCAACCTTGACACATTTCGAGCACATGGACAAGTTGCTTTCACGTGCAGACGTGAAGCCACTGTGGCTGGACCTCTCGCGTCTACGTCATTGCTGTGAGCCGCGTACCTGGCCCTGATCCTTCCCACTACTCTTCGTATCTGCATGCCACCTCACTTACCTCAAAGCTTGCTTCTTACTTAGATCACCCACTTGTTACTCAATCCGACCATAACCTTTATTCCAGCTACATATCAAGCCTTCTAAAACAAGCCAGCATTATGGGTGAGATACATAGCAGCCTGGCAATCAAACTTCAGCTAACCCCCAAGCAGCTCCTCCAGCGGACTATTGTAGGCGCGCATAGGTCCGTGGTACTTGACTCTAAGCTCATACTATACCACAGACAAGGTTCTAGAAGTCGACTCGAAAGCGACTCAGCAGCAAATCCGCGATGCCTACAAGAAGTACACTTCACTCCTCCCCACAAACCACTTTACCCAGCCTCTTACATATGTCGCAGAGCAGCACTAAAACACCACCCCGACCGCGTTCCCTCTGACTCCCCTGAACGCGCAAGTCGCACGAAACGCTTCCAACAGATCAACGACGCCTACTACACGTTATCGGACCCCACACGCCGTCGCGATTACGACGCCGCACGCACCTACAACAGCTTCACAGGCAGCACCGCAACATCAGACTCTGACTTTGACGAAGAAGTTCCCAACAATGCAGGCGCAGGAGGTGCAGGTTTCGCCCAAGGCTTCCCATGGTCCGCATTCGGCTTCGGCAGCGCCCCAGCTGGCAACACAGAGGAGTCGCACAACCGCTTCTCTGAAGAACAATTCGGCGGCATCTTCGAGGAGATGCTACGGGAAGAGGGTATGGCGGATCAGGATGCGCATCCTACAGGCAAGTTCTGGAGCATTGTGGGCGGACTGAGTGGAGGTGCTATGGGCTTTATCGTGGCAAATTTCCCTGGCATGGTCGCCGGTGCTGTTGCTGGAAATAGGTTGGGGGCTGTGAGGGATACCAAGGGGAAGAGTGTTTATGCTGTTTTCCAGGAGATGCCGCAGGCGGACAAGGCTAGGTTGTTGAGTGGGTTGGCGGCGAAGGTTTTTGCTAACGTGGTATCTGGTTAAAGTGGCATGGTGGGAGGACGAGGTGTGGAAAGTGATGGGTTGACATGGGCTGTATGACTGATGATATCCTTGAGAGTTTCTTTGGTATCTTTTCACCTTTGGTTTAGAACGAGAACTATTTATCAACATGTACTTTGTGTTGTCACTGAATCGCACGCTTACAAGGCGAGTCAAGTTATATGAACCAAGCTATTTGCATTTGTATCTGAACGCCATGTAAGTCTAAGCCTACGCAAAGGAGGGATATCTCTAATAAAAACATAAACAACCCGAAATCAAAACAGGAGAGGATGTGGTTCGAAACCCAATCTACTCTCCTCGTCGTGCCGTCGTAACGTCGTGCAACAAAGAACCAAACCAAAACACTACCCGTGCCTGCCAATATCCCATCTCTTCCTCGTCTCCTCATGTCACCAATCATTCCGACTCCCGGTAAGATTCCCCACCACCCTCGTAATAGTAAAGATATTCTCAACCGTTCCTAGAAGGAGAAGAAGGCGTCAGCCTCTCTTCCGCTTTACATGAACTTGCTTGCCATACTCGCCAAACTAGCCAGTCCACCGATTCCGCCCGCCACACTCTGCATATCGATATTGCCTAGTCCAGCCATCATGCCTCCGCCACCATTACTCGGGCCGCTCCGGCTGCTCTCCATGCCATATCCCTGACTACCGTAGTAGCCCCCACTGGCACCTCCGCTGTTGCTGCTGTGATGGCCCGAGCCAGCGTACCCGCCTCTTGCTCCCGGTCCGCCCATCTCGGGTAGGTTGACGCCGAATTGGCGGGCGAGTTTGTGTAAGACGCCGCCGGAGACGAGGGGCATGATGACCATGAAGAAGACTTTGTAGGGGTGGCGTTGGGCGTAGCGCCAGATTTCTCGGAGGAAGTGTTGCATTTTCTTATAGAGGTGTTGCATGTACGAGTCGCGGGGTGAGCGCTTGTACCGCGATGTTGAGCTGTGATGGCGCGACGAGGAGGAGTAGGAGGAGGATGCGTAGCCGGGGCGGTAGGACGAGGAGCGCCGTGAGGGCGAACCTGTCGAGAAGGGGTTCCAACTGCTACCCATAGTGCTGTTGTGTGTTGTGTTGCTAGGAGAAGGTAGAAGTAGAGTTGGTTTTGGGTTGAGAGATGCTGTAAGTGGTGTTGTTGATCCACCAAGGCTGGTTGTTGACGAGCGTCGCAATGTATGTGCGCGAACAACAGATGTCGGGATGCGATGGTGTAACGTGTACTTTGACGCCCAGCGCATTCAGCGCAAACTATGCTGATATGGTATATGCGTGTGGATGAGGTTTGCCGACAGCAATGACTATGACTGTGAGTCTTGTGCCAGCGCAACGACGTCCAGGGTCTTAGAAGAGCTGTCGCAACAAAAGTCCGGTGAAGGGAGTGGGTCTTTTGGGCTTCAATCGCCTCTTGTTCGCCTCATAAAATAGAGCTCTTCCCTGCTTCTTTGCCTTGCCTTGCCTGATGGACGCCCTACCAATCGACTAAATCGGAGCGCGCAACCCAACTTTCAAGCTGCTATGACAACACAGGCCACCGTGCGCGAAACAGGATGTAGAAATGACTAGTAGGGAACACGTCAACGGGTAGGAAGACCACAAAATATGGCACGGTTGGGGAACGCGGCGGGCTTGCTGGTGATGGAAGGAACTTTGGCCAGCTTAAAGATGTGCGCGAACTTGTGGAGCTGAGAGGAATGATCGTCGCAGCTAACAGACCGCTTTTTGGTGGTTGGGCGACCTGCGTAGCCCTGCAGGTACCGCCACCTCGATTTATGCCGACCCAGATGGCACTTGTGCAGTGCACGATGATGTGCGTGAACCATGAAAATCGCGTAGATTATTCGTCTTTAGGCGAGAGAAATACAACACAGATGGACATCGAATTTCTTACATCAATATCGATTGATATCTGATACTGCTTCGAGACTCTTGACATGGTTGCGGACGAAGTTTCCCTTGTGCAACCGTCGTTTGTGCGCGCACCCCTGTGGCATAAGTGCCTGCAAGGCCGTTGCAAATGTTCGAGGCCCAGACGCTGCTGCAAGATGCAAATGCAGTACACGCAATATGGCATTCAACAAAACGTGCTATGGTCTGGATTTAGTCGGCCGACCCGTTCCTGCATACACTTTTTCCCCGGTCGAGACACATTTAACGGATTAAGAGTCAGATTGAATGACTGTTATCGAACAACACACATCAGTGGAGAAGACAATACATATATGTATCAGTACAACAGAATAACCAAGGACCCACTACATACGTGGCCGTCTTTTACGCCCTGTATCTCATGCAATGTCTACGAAAGCAATAATCCATTGGATGATAATTACCAAAATGAAGAGCAAGGGATATCTGTCATGATCCGTTACAGCAACATGCCTCAGCCTTTCTTCCTACTTTTACCACTCTTCCGCCGTCTCTCACCTCCATGTCCACTGCCACTGGTCCTCGTAGCTTCCTGAGCTAGAGCTGGAATGGCAGAACTTGATGCCTGCGGAGCCAGAACTGGATCCGACTGGCCAACGTGACTACTCGCTACAGGTGCTGCTCGCTGAAGCGTCACCGATGCGGGGACAGGAACAGGAACACGTCGTGGCACCGATGTGTAGCTAGCTTCAGACACTGCCGAACTCACTCTACGTGTATACTGCGGCTGAGGCGAAGTCGGTGAAGAAGAAGACGCCGGACTGAAGGCATGGTACTGGTAGGGCTCCACAGGAAACGGAACAAGTCCAGCGGATTGAATGGAAGACGATCTTGTGCGTGAGCCATGTGGAAGATCGGCCTCGTACGCTGCTTGTCGAGAAGACATGGAACGGCCTTGCTGTGGAGGAGTGGTGGGGCGGTAATCGTACACGGACTCTGGAAAGGCGCCAAGCATGTCACGAGAGAAGCTGGCATGTGAGGGCGAGGAAGCGTGATGACTAGTATCAGACGCGGAACGCGACGCCGGGCGCAAGGGTTCCCGTTCACGATCCAAGTTGCCCTGATAGGCGTTGATTGGCGCATACACAGGCTGCCCATCTGGGCCAGGAATAACGAAGCCCGGCGGCGGTGCACGACTCTCTGTAGTGGATGTACGCTTGTGACTGCTAGACTTCTCCTTCTTCGACTTTGACCCAAACATGGAGGTTCGTTGCTGGCTTTTCTTCGACCTGGAGGAGCTGCCGTGCTTGCTAGTCGCATCAACGCTGATCACACTTGCCGCATCGTTGGGAAAGGAAGCACTGCTTGGTCGAGGCTGGGCTTCAGGACGAAATGCCGTCGATCTGGAACCATAAAGTCGTGAGTGATACGCCTCTAGCTCTTCTTGACTCAATGATACGTCTGTATTTCCTGCTGCTCTTGCTATCCGAATCTTATCGAGTACTCGTCGAAAAAGTATCTCTTCGTATTCAGCCGAATTATTGTTGTTACCCATGTCGTCATGATATCCACTACGATGCTCTTGGTAATTATGGTCTGGCCGGTATGTCGCCTCACCCAAGGCTGATGTCCTGCCCTCCCACGCCCCGATATCCATATCATTAAAGTATAGCTCATCTGGATTGATGCTCTTGCCATTCAAGGCCGGTTGAAACGCCTGGTCTAGTATCACGCCACCCTTCTCGTCTTCGCTATCCAATTCTTGAAACCTATGCACGTCGTCTTGCGCCCCCTCATAATATCTCCCCACACCCGACGAGCCCCCTGGTGGTCTTCCCCATGAGGGCATAGTGTAAGGAGTTCGCGGCCGACCACCTAGACCGCCTCCTCGGAAAAAGCTGACTCGATGGGCTTATCCATGAACGCAGCATGACCTATGACAGTGACACCGGTTGCGCCAATGAGCCAGAGAGCCGTAGAAAAGGGAGAGGCCCAAAGTCCGGTAGGAATTGCAATGACGAAGAGCGTAGTGTACAACTGAGAGGTAGTAGCGCGCCAGCTACCGAGCTGGAGATCATTTCCCTCCAGCTTGCCGATTCCGAACATGCCACCGACTACGAGGCAGATGACGAAGAGAAGCCTCAAGTTGGTGATCAAGCTGTAGATGCTGAGCATGACGAAAACGGCGGCATAGTTGCTCGAAAAGTAGCCCAAGTTGTAGTTGACTCTGCTCTGTACCTCGCCAAAGTTGGCGGGCTTGGAAACGCGCTTGAAGTCGAAGAACTCGGAAATTGGTCGCAGGTTGGCGAATCGAGAGGAGACGGAGGTATTGCGCAGGCCGTCGAAGCGCCCACCGAGGTTCATCCTGGATGTCAGGGCATCGATGGGGATGCTGAAGCGCGACATGACGGAGGGTGTGTTGGTTGTAGTTTGAGGGGCAGGTGATGCTTGTTGGCGTTCGTCGGGGGTGATGAGAGTTTGCTGTTGTTCCTCGAGATCTTTGGGGGAAGTCATGGTCAGTTCAGCTGCTGATAGTGGTGGAAGATGGAGCGAAGGCTGGAGATGTGTCCTCTTGACAGGAATGAGGTTGAGATGTTTATAGTAGATGGCTGCCTTACGTTGGTGGGAAAGATGCGCGAGAGAGTGAAGGAGCTGACGCGGCCGAAGTGAATGTATGTGAAGTGGAAGTGGTGTGAGAGGAGAGCGTTGCGTGTCACTGTCCGTATTGGAACTTTTGTTGGCCCCTGCCGCGAATCCCGTAGTTCAGGGTCGTGCCTGCCCACAGAACACAGCCACAGAGCGCTCAACCTTCAGCCGCGATCCCCCCCCTAGCCGAGTCTCACATGCAAGTCTTGGAGAGGCCACATTTTTTGTTTCGAACTCGGAAATTTGGAGTGAAGGAGGATCGTGACAGCATCGGGACAAGGAGGAGCTCTTTATCCCTTGAGCCTGCTACACTTGTGTCTCGTCCATAGCGGTCAGACTGATTGGGCCACGTTCCGTCTCTACAGCGGGTTCACGGCACTACTGAACATCTGGCTGCACAAGCCTGCAGCCTCCCTATCACTTGCTCCAAGACCCGCCAACTCTCCTGGCAACCTCCCGGATCAACCCCAGCCATGAGATCTCACGCGTTGCTCGCATTGGTCTTGTGCCTCTTTGCAGCATTCGCAGCTGCCTGGACTAAAGAGGGTGCGTAACTTTTCCTGTTGTGTCTCGTCTTCCATTGCATGCTTCCGGCCACATATGCGCTTTCCCCACATGCATTTCCCCAGCTCCAGCTGCGAGCTACTTGCTGACAGCTTACCGCAGACGACGAAATCTTCCGCATCCGTGACGAAGTTGCTAAAGCAGACGGCGCCAATGTCACCTTCTACGATCTCCTCGGTGTCAAGCCCAGCGCGTCTCAAGACCAATTGACTCAAGCCCTCCGCAAGAAGTCGCGCGAACTTCACCCTGACAAGGCCCGCAAGGTCTTTGTTGCCAACTATGCCAAGAACAACAACAAGAAGGGGAAAGCCATCCAACAAGGAGATTGAGGCACACTTGAAGAAGGTCACCGCCTCCTACCAGCGTCTCTCGGTTGTTGGAAAGATGCTCAAGGGCCCCGAGCGCGAGCGTTATGACCATTTCTTAAGGAACGGATTCCCAGCATGGAGGGGCTCTGGCTACTACTACGAGCGCTTCCGTCCTGGCCTCGGCTCAGTTATCGTCGGTCTACTCGCTGTTTTCGGTGGAGGCTTCCACTACTTTGCTCTATTGATGTCATGGAAGCGCCGCAGGGAGAGTTTGCGGAGAGATACATTCGCCAGGCACGCAAGACTGCTTGGGGTGATGAGAGTGGTCTTCAGGGCATCCCTAGAGTCGATGACACCGCCGCACCTGTAAACGCCGAACAGTTCGAGAAGGATTCGCCCGAGGATACACCAGAGGAGCTAGGCCCACGCAACCGTAGGGAGAGGCGCGCTATGGAGAAGGATGCTCGCAAGCCCAAGAAGGCGCAAGCTGTCAAGAAGGCGCGTGCCGATGGTATCAGCACCCCGGTTGAGGCAGAGGTAATCTCTGGTCCTCAGGGAGCCAAGAAGCGCATCGTCGCCGAGAATGGCAAGGTCTTGGTCGTCGACTCCGTTGGCAATGTCTTCTTGGAGATTGAGAACGAGGATGGAATGAAGGGCGAATATCTGGTCGACGTACGTACACTCAACTCTTCAACATAATCGAGAAGCTAACAGTATCCAGCCCGATGAGGAGCCCAAGCCTACTATCTACGACACCCTCCTGTTTAAGCTACCCAAATTTGCCTACAACCAATCAGTTGGGCGCGTCCTCGGAAAGAAAGAGATGATCGACGAGCCATTGCTCGAGACCTCCAACCTCACCGAAGAGGAGGCCGCCATCCAGAACGCTACCGCATCCAACCTCAACGGCGAGGCGAGAAAACGCAAGGCCATGGCCAAGAAGGCAAGGTAGCCACTTGTATACGAACACAACATATGCTGTAGTGTTGCAAAAGTTTAGCATCTATGGGTTGTGGTTGGTAGATAAAAAGGTACTGGACTATGCATGTGGGTGTAAGATAGAGAGATAGACTACAATACGAGCCACGCATTGAGAACGGCTTTCAACACTCATACCATACGTTTTAATTCCCTAAGATCCTCTTCCACTCGTCCCAAGTGATTCCATCTGCAAAGTAATCGCAAGCCTACATGCTAGGCAAAGACGTCTTAGTGTGCGGAGTACATAGCTCCAGCGCTACTGGCACCACTTTAGTACACGCTCCTTCCAGGCTTTCTTACCACCACTTTCACCAGATCCATAGGAACAACGATTCGAGCGCTTCTTTGTTGGTAATGGTTCATTATGGGTCCTGGTATGTAGATCTACAGTAGTACCTCGAGTTCAAACGGTCTGGCAGAGGTGCGCGAATATACTAAACGTACAGAAACAGGACACCGGTCGCAGCACACCCCCTCCCTTCTCTTTCGAACGCCTGTCGAACTCCAGCGTAATTAATGAGCATCCATGGATACTTCCCTACAATCATAAGAGAAACGTAAAGCAGTAATAAAAATAAATAGAAGATGGCAGACTCGGGCAATCCACGCCCCCAAAACCCGAAGCCAGTACCACAGTTGGGGAAAGTGACGAAAAAGCAACCTGCATGACATGGTATCACAAGCCAAGTAGTGAACCCGAAAACAGGGAGACACACGCGCAATGCATGCAAGCAAAAAGATAAACAAGAACCTCTTTCTCATTTTTACACCCTCTTTCTTTGCCTCCTCACGCGCGGTAATAATCTTCTATTATGGACAAAGTGCTTGCCGACACAGCTCTAGCGCGTTCCATCCCCGCCGTATACGCCAACCGGTACACGCCAGATGGACTGCTTTTCAGCACATTTCCCGCGCTTACGGTACGCTGCTTTGCAGGCTGCTGTTCGAGATCCAACTAGAATCGCTCTCTTGATCCAGTGCCATGGTTTTCGAACAGGTCGTCTAGATAACCACTAGGAGTGCGGCCACCAGGGACGTTTGTGCCGCCGGGTACATTTAGCGACAACTGGCTTACGGCGTGGCCGTCCTGGCCATAGATGCTTCTTGTGTTACCAGGTTGACCGAGAGTTGCGACGCTGTTGCGGTTATATACGGACAGGCCATCTCGTGATGGTGGTGCGCGTGCGTATCCTCCACGGGATGGAGGAAGTGATGGCGATTCTGGTGGTGACATACCAGATCTCGCGCTGAACCGGTTCCCTGGTGTGGAGAGGGAGAGGGCTGAAAGATTGTTGGGGTTCTGGCCGCCAATGTGCATCTGCGGTGATCCAGCAGCCGGCGCAGCGTTACCAGATGCGTAGTATCCTGCAGGAAGGTAGGTGGAGGATCGGGCTGCTACAGAATCCCGTATACCGGCGGCGCCACCTGCAGTCGGAGAGAAGAACAGAGACGATGCAGACCTCTGCCCAGGCGCACCGGCGAAAGCTTTCGACGACTTGCCAATGGGAGCGGCGTTTAGGTGATCTAGAGACATGGTTGAACTTGCTCCGACCACATTGTACATCCCCGCTTCTTGCCAGGCACCGCTGACATGGCCTTGATATCAGCTATATTTTGAGCCATGGCCGCCCGCTTGACGGAACGATGCAACGACCACGCAACGAGACCACGCCACGCCAGCACTGCCGCACCGAAGAAGGCGAGAATAGCACCGACGCAGATGAAGACGGTTCCATCTGGAAGATCGGACTTTTGCATAAAGGCAGCACCGGCTGTGTCTGGGACTTTCATGTCCGGGATACCGATACCAGCCAGTGTTGGCGCGCCTACAAGGTTGAAGACGCTTGTAGACCCTGTCTGGGCGGCGGTACTGGAGGGCGCATCTCCAGTGCTTGCAGCCTCGGTAGTCTCAGAGCTGGCTGCTTGTGAGGTTGTTGCAGCTTCTGATGTTGCTGGCTGTGATGTCGCTGGCTGCGATGTCTCGGCTGCGGAGGTTTCGGATGGTGCGTTCGTCGCTGCGTCGCCTCCTGGTTGCGTGACGGTGGATAGGTCGGGTGCGTTTTCGATTTGAGCGAGTACAGTAGGAGCGACCACAAGCAGTAGGCCCACAAAGCCCACAGAGGGTCGCATCTTGGATTGTTGTGTATAGGTGTGTGCGGAGGTAGGGTCGCCGATGGGCAGTGTGCGGAAGAGGCCAAGGGATCAGGAGATCGTGTGGTCAAGGCTCGCAGTCCAGCAGGCGTGTTTCAAGACTCGATTGGTGAAGGAAAAACAACAAGAGGAAGACGCAATCGCAGGTAATATCGATAGGACAGAGAAGCGCCGAAACGAGTGACGGGGAACGAGAGGAAAGGCTGAGGGTGGAGTGCAAGACGGGGTCAGGGTAACAAGGGGCGGAGTCGAGGACCCGCTGGGCAATACGCGCAGTCTGAGCGTCCAGTTCGCGTGATGTCTGGCCGTATTCAATGTAGACTAGCGATGGGAATTTATCGGACAGGACAATAATTAGATCGAGGTGTGTTTCGCGATGATTGAATATTCCGCGTGTCAGGCCTCGGAGCAAACGGTTGTTGACGTCTGCACTGGCTGTCTGGCTCAGGGATGCAAGGAAAAACATGGGTATGCAGGGCCAACGATGACAGACCCCAACCCAGGAACGCCGCTTCTATTCTGGGACCTGCGTGACCGAGGATTTAGGGCGTAGCGTTGGGCTCTTCCCTTTGTCAAGCAAGCCCACCAATCGGCGCCTCGACTCTCCGACGACTTTCGACCTCTTGGCATCAAAAAGTTGCCGCCTTATCGATAGCAAAAAGTGGTTTGCCAACAATCAACCAACACCACACGACAGCAATCCCGACCACTGCGCAAGCTACTGCTTTCACTCCAACGCTACGTCATCAGCCGAGTCGCGAATACGAGAAGCTTCACATCCCGCTTAGAGCTCTCCACCAAGAGTCCCTACGCCCCACGCTATCATGGGTGTTCAGAAGAGAACGCGCAAGTTTGCGCAAACCAAGCGCATCGTTGGTATGTTTGGCGTCATATCTAGATAAGCCTCTGTTAACATGTTCAGGTCAACGGGATGCTCGACTGTACGCGACAACGCGCCCCCACTGCTGTTTGCCATAGAAGCGCTAATTCCGCTGTAGTAAGAAGAACCAAATGGCTGGAGAGATAGAAGCAAAGAAGAAAGAGGAAGAAAGCAAGGCAAAGCGAGAAATGTGAGTGATCACGCGCCAACGACGAGCATACACGACTAACACTTTACAGCCCACAAGTCTCGTCCGCCCTCTTCTTCCAAGCCAACACCGCCCTTGGTCCGCCGTACTCCGTTCTCGTAGACACCAACTTCCTCTCCCACACTGTGCATGCCAAGCTCGAGCTCGACAAGGCCCTCATGGACCTCCTCTACGCAAAAGCCACCCCTATCATCACGACCTGCGTCATGGCCGAACTCGAGAAACTCGGTCCCAAATACCGTATTGCGCTCAGGATCGCTCGCGACGAAAGATGGCAGCGCCTCAAGTGCGAGCACAAGGGCACTTATGCTGATGACTGTATTGTGGACAGGGTTCAGAAACACAGAATCTATCTGGTTGCGACAAACGACAGGGATCTCAAGAGGCGCATAAGGAAGATTCCTGGTGTGCCGATTGTTAGCGTGGCAAAGGGCAAATACGTTATTGAGAGGTTGCCAGACGTGCCCGATAGTCATTAAACTGAGGATGGGCATGATGCGGGTAGGGCCACAATGGGTTATATGCATAGCGAAAGGCGTTCAGGTCATATCAAGCAGTTGATGCTAGCTCGAGAAGTATTTCTGGGATCGTCGATGGAAAGAAGGAATTCACTAGCTCACATGTGTTTCTGAAATCACTTGTGAACCTTTTGATGCAAACCATCATCTACATATATAACGAGTGAAAACTTGGTATGAACATGTAAAATGCAGAATCTAACAGCTATAGACATTCTACATGAGTGTCAAACGCAGTGCTCAGCATAGCGCCCGTCGGCAGAGCACTGGTCTTCTCTCCAACAATCCTAAACATCTACAAGCCAGACGCCTACCCAATGCAAAAGTACCCTACTCGCTCAACAATGCCGAACGCTCCACATGAACAGGAAGAGAAAGAGAAGAAAAAGGAGAAGAAGTGGAAGAGGTAGGGCGGAAGATAGCAGAGAGAAGTTCCCTCTTAGTACATAGAGCAGCTTGTCTGAGCCCGAGTAAGAGCCTGCGTAAACATAGTCTGCATAGCCATGTAATGGAAGATGATACCTCCCAGCACAGCAACATGCCAAATGTTATGCGAGCAGCCCACGTAATCGAAAAAACCGGGGAAGAAGCGCTCGGGCGTTTTGCTCGCATACAACAATGCTCCAGTAACGTACACAAGCAGACTCTTGGTAACAGGTGCGTAGAAATACTGTGCCCATGCGACTCCACGAGTGTAGGCGAGCTGGCCAAATGGCAGGAAGCCAGTCAGGGCGAGGGAGCAGTAGAAGAGGACGCGGAGCCAGGCCATGTCCGCCCGGTTGAAAGTTGGGTGCCAAGGTAGGATAACACCACCGATGCCGAGAAGTGCTGTTATGCACATGTATGACCAGCGGGAGACTGGTTCGCAATAGAAAGCGGCATATTCAGTCGTCATAATAGACGCAGCCACAAGAAGAGAGATGCCGGTGTAGTCTACGCAGGCGAAGCGCTCGAGGAGTGTTTGGTGTGATATGCTGTTCATCGTGTGCCAGATGGTCGAACAAGCCAGGCATTTGCATGCCGCGAAGAAGAACACTGCTGCTATAAAGATGTCGGCTTTGGTCGACATGCTAAAATTGGCGCTCGAAGGGTAGAAGTAGAAGGCAATAGCAAGGACCATGATAAACCCGAGGAGGTGTGTCCAGATATTGATTAGCTCGTTGTGAAGGCCGAAAATGGATCGAACGCAAGCCCACTTGCCTTCCTGGAAACGGTAGCCTTTGAGAATATGTGGGTTGACTCGCCATGGCTCTGGTAGGTCCTCGTAGTGTATCAGGCCATGTGCTTTGGCTCGCTCTAGCGCTCGTTGTACGGCGTGCTCAACTCGGATTTCGATGGTTTCACGTGCGCGTCGTGCCTTGTCCAGACCACCGTCCACAACGCCCTTTGCGATCTCTATTCCCTCGTCCATCTTCCTCCGACCTTCCTCATAGAATTCCTGTGCATAAGAGCCGATTGATCCGTCTCTTATAGCATATGCACGCGTCTCAAACTCGGTCAGATAGTTGTCCATAAGCACTATACCCTCCAGGACCTTTTCACCTAGAGTCTCTTTCCGTTCCATCGCATCTTTGTATCGTCCCTCCAACGTCTCGACGAAAACAGAAGCCTGTCGCCGGCCGGCTTCGATTGCGCCATCGGATATCTTCGAGCACGATTCGCGAACGGCAAGCAATGTGTTGTATGCGTATTCAACACCAGCATCGTACTTGAGGTGGCCATAGTCTTCCAGAAAATCCATGCGGCAGTTGAGTTCGACCAGAAAGTTCCGAAGCTACATTAATTGTTAGTATATCGTGAAGCGCAGGCGCACTGTATTACTTACCAGTAACTGGAAGTTCTCCGCTTCCTGCATGCAGGGTCGTGTGTGCCATGAGTGCCGTCTTTGGCGTTGCGCAGGTCGCTGGGAGGCGATTGTGCCGTAGCCTCGGTACGTGGGTTGTATTGGCTCTTCCTGTGAAGCCATGACTGCTGTGCTTACCCCAACGCTCGAGTTCGAGCGCGGCATGAGGGGCATCGTTATATAACTCTGGCGCAAAGCTGCGCGGGGCTGTTCGAGGCGTGGCGATCTCTCCCGTCCGACCTTCCAATCGATATCGGGCCCAAATTACGAGGTCCAGTAAAGCACGGCGAAGTAAAGCGATTGGCTGGTATGTGCATGTGCACAGTATGTCTCTCTGGCTGGATGGCCTCCTCTGCTTGTGGTGTTGGGAAAGATAAATAGTGAGGATGTGGGTCTTTTTCTCCGCCTATCGGGGTGACTAGCAACAGGCGTGGTTGCCGAAAACGTCTTGGTTGGACAACACAGTCCTGATGGGGCGAACAGCTAGAGAAATGGGCATGTACAAATTGAGCGAAAGCAGAGGGTACGGAGAAGCAATCGAGCGCGTAGGGGCCGTAGGGTATAGGCGTGAAGTCCGAGTGTTGGCGTCGTCATGGGGCTACCGCGGTCAATTCACTGTCGGGTTCCTGACAGTAGGAGGACCCTTTATTGTGCGGCTCTTGTAGGGCTGAGATGCTCGCACTTTCCAGCGGAAGATGAGATATTTGATCCTGAGTAACTTTTCCGTCTCCCTTGATATACATATCGCCAACCATTGCTTTATATATGGTAGTAATGAAAACTTGACAGCTCATGTTTGTCCGGCTAGAACAGCGAGGCCGTCGCCTATACCGGCAGGTGCGTTGCTTGGTGGCTGAATCCGGGCTTGGCAACGAGCCACACGTGGCTCAATTTCGTCATCGTGTGCCGTCATGCCGAGGGTCAAAAGTTACAGATCTTGAGGGAGCAGCGGGCCTTCGATGCCGAACAGCGGACTGTAAATGCTTCGTTTATGTTATGTTATGTATCTTGGTTTGGGCTGTACGTATACTTGGGTCGAGCAGCTCCCACGTGTTAGCGTTAACGTCCGCGGACTCCGCGCGATGGGGCAATTGACACCCAACGTTCAGAATCTTGAAATTTTCTGCGACACATTGGAGATTGGAGTAGCACACCAAACTACAGACTTTCTAGAATGGTACTCCAAGCAATCAAATACACGCGCGGCCAGCTCGAGATTCTGGACCAGTTGAAATTACCCCACGCTGAAGAATATGATCACATTTACTCCAGCACTGATGCATGGCACGCAATCAAGGAGATGCGGACGCGAGGCGCACCGGCTATCGCCATAGTCGCTGCTCTCGCCCTCGCAGTTGAGCTCACCAACATGAAGCTCTCTTCGGTAGCAGAAGAGGTCAAAATCTTCATCACGGAAAAGCTGGACTACCTTGTAACAAGCCGGCCAACTGCCGTCAACCTCGCAGACGCAGCTGGTAAACTTCGGAAAGTTACCGAGGAAGCCGCTGCAAATGAGGGAGCGAGCGGAGAGGCTGTAAGAGAAGCATATGTGGCTGCTGCGGAGAAGATGCTGGTTGACGACGTGAGCGACAATGAGAGCATCGGCAAACATGGCGCGGAATGGATAGTGAAGAACACGGAGGCAGGCGAGAAGGGGCCTGTGAGCATGATGACACACTGCAACACCGGGTGTGTACCATTCTGCATCAAAGGCGTTCCACTGCTAATTTTGTAGGTCTCTCGCAACTGCAGGGTATGGTACAGCACTTGGTGTGATCCGATCGCTGCATGCCAACGGCTCACTAAAGCATGCGTTCTGCTCTGAGACACGGCCATACAACCAAGGCTCCAGACTGACCGCGTTCGATTGGTCCACGACAAGATCCCTGCGACTCTTATCACAGACTCCATGGCCGCAGCGCTACTCCGACTACGTGGTGAAAGCGAAAATATTGCGGGCATCGTGGTAGGCGCCGACCGAGTAGCCGCAAACGGTGACACTGCCAACAAGATTGGAACCTACTCGTTAGCCATCCTTGCGAAGCACCATGGCGTCAAGTTCCTGGTTGCAGCACCAAGGACTACTATCGACCTGAAGACCAAATCGGGAGCAGACATTGTCATTGAGGAACGTCCCGGAAAGGAAGTGACGCTCGTCAAGGGGCCAAGACACGATGGAGTCACGCTGGATCTTGGTGTTGTGGAGACTATCAGTATTGCAGCGAACGGCATCGGTGTGTGGAACCCAGCTTTCGACGTCACACCTGCAGAACTCATCGATGGCATCATCACCGAGGTAGGTGTGGTTGAGAAGGATAGCAATGGTGTGTTCCATTTGGATGAAGTCTTTAGGACGGAGGGTTCCAAAGTAAAGCCTTCGACCATCGGTGGCTTATGAACAATTGCCCAAGAACACGTAAAAGCGCATGATGCGCCTCCTTAATCAAGAGACTTCAACATGACCGTTGTGCTGAGAGCGCATTGACCATGTTTGTATCCTTCCTCGCCCGTGTCATCCATCGTGCTCATGAGAACTGTAATGCTCGATCGTGGTTCTCGTAATCTATATGGCGTGCCTGTGATGTCTCTAATCTGGATGTGATGTAGGATGTGTCTTGGTGTTCATGCTACACATGATAGAGCAGACGCATGGCTTTGTAGACATCACTTTGAACCCTTTTCTTCGGTCGCGGAAGACTTCTCGGTATCTTCTGGGGTGTCTTTCAACTCTTGCTCAGCCTTCTCGGCCTGAGCCAGAAGTGCCTCAATCTTCTTTTCGATCGAATCAAGGTGGCTCTCTAGGGCGGCTGCGGTCTGTTCGCCTCGCTGGAGTTCCTTGAACGCCTACCAGAGCTGTTAATTCCCGAAGTAGAGCGATTACCACGACACTCACTTGGGCAAGGTCGGCCTCTGAATGCGGTGCAGCACCTGCTCCGTCCTGTGCATTCGACATGGTGAAGATGATGTAAGAAGTGGTGAATGTTGGGTCCTGGTGCTTACCGAGGAGGCAAGCGCGTCCTCGAAGATGACGACTGAACCTCTTTAGCGCGAACTTACCCTGGGACCTCCAGGGCTGCGCGAGCTGCACAGACTCTCAACCACCCTCATTACACCTTTCCCCATTCCCGCTCGTGCGCACTCCTTATACGTCTACAATTCTCCCACCGCATGCGCGCATCTTTACTTCTCTAATCGACCCGCGACAACTCGCCCACCATGTTCTCTGGGTCCAACTCGTACTTAGGGGGGTGGGAACAGTGCCCGACCAGGGCAGCCTCAGTATGGGCAGCAGCAACAGCAGCCCTTCCAGCAACCTGGGGGCTTTCAAGGTGGACTAGCACCCCAGCCGACGGGATTCGGAGGAGCTCCAATGCAACCACAGTTTACTGGCTTTCCGGGCCAGCCGCAGGGCTTTGGACAGCCGCCGCAACCTCAGCAACCGCAGTACACGGGCTTCCCAGGGCAGCAGAACCAGCAATTCCAGCAGCAGCAGGCTCCCCAGCAAATGCCCTTCCAAACTGGCGCGCCGCCGCAACAGCAGCAGCAGCAGCAGCAACCGCCTGCTCAGCCCCAACGGCCGCAGCCTACAGGCATGACATCGGCGCAGATGGCTGATTCATTCCGGGGCAGCTCTGCGTCTTCAGTACCACCACCTGTCCCTGCCAAGACGACCAAGATTCCGAACATACGGCTATCCTTTATCACGGCGCAAGACCAGGCCAAGTTTGAGCAGCTGTTCAAGTCGGCTGTTGGGGATGCCCAGGCTTTGTCTGGAGACCAGGCGCGGGACCTCTTGATGCGCTCTAAGCTATCTGGCGATGCGCTTTCTCACATCTGGTACGTTCAACAAATCTCACGCATAGTCCAATGCTAACAGGCGTAGGACCTTGTCAGATACAACCAAGTCCGGTCAGCTCCTGTTTCCTGAATTCGCGCTCGCCATGTATCTTTGCAACCTCAAGTTGACCGGAAAGGACCTGCCCAACTCTCTCCCCGAACGAGTCAAGAACGAGGTCTCTAGCATGGTGGATATCATATCGTTTGGGGTCAGCGACGATTCGTCAAATCGCCCAACACCAGCAAGCAACGCCCCGAAGTTCAACGAGCCTCCTACAATCCAGCAGCCGCAGCCGCAGCCCTCGAACAGCCAATTGTTGAACACTTTAGTCACGCAGCCAACTGGATATGGACAACAGCCAATGGGCATGCAGCCGCAGCCTACAAGTTTCGGACAGCAACCCACTGGTATGCAGCCACAGCCCACTGGCTTTGGGCAGGCTCCTGGTGGTTATAACGGACCACGTCCACCAATGCCTCCTATGCCCACTGGATTCGGATCAAACCTGGCACCTAACCAGACCGGAATGGCTCCTCTCAATGCTCAGCCAACAGGGATGCCCGGTCAGTGGGGCCTAGCTAACACTCCTGCCACTGGATTGCCAAACATCGAAGCTTTGGCGCAGCGGATGATGCCTCAGACTGGCCGGGAGGGTGGCAACCACACGACTGCTGGCTTGACGGGTAACGCCACGATTCCCTGGGCCATTACAAAAGGAGAGAAGAAGCTGTACGATGATACTTTCCGAGCCTGGGATGGTATGACCAAAGGTTACATCAGTGGAGCACAAGCTCTTGAGATCTTTGAACAGAGTGGACTGCCCAAGCCAGATTTGGAGCGCATTTGGACACTCGCCGACTCTGCTGACAGAGGTCGTCTTGATCTAGACCAGTTCGCGGTTGCCATGCATCTGATCTACCGTAAGCTCAACGGCTATCCCATCCCCGCTCGCCTCCCCCCTGAGTTGGTACCACCATCTACGCGCAACATCAACGATTCTATTGGTGCAATGAAGAACTTGCTCCGTGGAGATGCCGAGGATAGAAAGAACTCTGGTGCTTTTCTTCAGCCTCAGCGCACTGGTGTCAGCTACCTGAAGTCTCACTCGTTCCGTGCTGGTAGCCCGCAAGCCGGTGGCCGAAAGGATGCTACAGTTTTCCGTAACAATGACGATAACGTAGGCTACAAGTCAAGTGCCAGACACCGTCTTGGTGGCGGTGGCCGTTCGCCTTCACCAGCGCAGCCGGCTTCTCCTTCTTCTGAGCGATCCGACGAAATGTCCCTTGACCAGCTCAGGAAGTCCGTCAAAGAGAAGCAGATCCTGTTGGATGCTATGGACACACAAGACGAGAACGCAGCTGACGAAGACGATGCGCTGGATCGCCGAGACCGCCGAGAAGCTGAGGATCTCTACCGCCGCATCCGCAGGGTACAAGAAGATATTGATGCCCATCCTAAAGCTTCACTTAGATCGTCTGACTCGGACGCCGAACGTCGTGCTCTGAAGCGCCAACTCCAGACCTTGACTGATCGCTTACCTGAACTCGCATCCAATGTACGCAGGACAGAGCGTGAGATAGCAGATGCCCAACTTGAGCTCTTCAGGCTTAAGGATGCCAAGGCGCATCCCGGATCTGCATCTACTATTGTGGGTACTGGACCTGGCGGTGCGGTGACTGAATCAGATCGCTTGAAAGCCCGCGCCAAGGCTATGATGCAAGCACGCTCTGCTGCATTGACCGGAAGACCTGCTCCTGCTAGCGATGACACTGGCGCTGCAACTGAGCGCTTGGAGAAGGAAAACTCGCGCATCCGAGCAGAGAGGGAGAACAATGAGCGCATGATCCGCGATGTTGAAGATAGCGTAAATGAATACACTAGGGGTCTAGAGTCGAGCTTGAAAGAAGGAGGGCATGACAACACAAGTGAGCATGAACGACGCCGATGGGAGGAGGCTTTGGGTGTAGAAGATGATGTCAAGGACTTCATCTTTGACCTGCAGCGCAGCAGCCGGGCTTCGCGCATCCGCAAAGACGAGTAAGTGCTATCTGATAGATCTCAATAACCATCTTGCTGACCCCACACAGTAAGTCCCGCGATAATTACAGGGCTCGCTCAGAGGAGAGGCGACCAGCGACATCTCGCTACGAGAGCCCTGCTGCTCGTGTTGACCCTCCTCCTCGTGCATCAACAACTACACCCGGTGGTGGCTCGCATTCGGTATACAAGACTCCAGAGGAACGTGCGGCCTTCATCAAGCAACAGGCTGAGCAACGCATGGCCGAGCGTTTGGCTGCCCTAGGTATCAAAGCTCCGGTGAAGGCTGGTGAGACACCTCAACAGCGTGCCGAACGTGAGAAGAGAGAGCGTGAAGAGAAGCTGCGTCAGGCTGAAGAGGAGGATGCACGTCGCGAGGAAGAGCGTCAAAGACGTCTCAACGACGAGTCCGCCTCACCACCTGCTCCAACCAAGAGCAGTGGCAAGAAGCCAGCACCGCCGCCACCAGCTTCGCGCAAGAACAAGGCCGAGGTTGCACAGCATGATGTCCAACAAGCGGAAGCAGAGTCGAAGAGGGCAGACAATGACATGGCTGAGAAGGCCCTCCGCGAGCAGCAGGAAGCTCAAGAAGCTGAGACAAGGCGCATGGAGTATGTATCCATTGACCCATCTTCTACATCTGTACTAATGAACACTAGGGAGGAGGAGCGCAGACAAGAGGATGAACTGGCCAGGGAGCGCGAATCTGCTCAGGCTAGGCTTCGTGCTCTAGAAGAGCAAGTTCAACAAGGCAAACTCAAGAAGGCTGAAGAGAAGAAGCGTAGGGAAGCTGCTTCTAAGGACTCTAAGGAGAAGGAGTCCCGATTGGCCGCCCAGCGTGCTGAGATCGAAGCTGCTCGTGAGCGCGAACGTCAGCTACAGATGCAGCTTGAGGCGCTCGACGATGACGAATCCTCGGACGACGATGGCCCACAAAACATCACGCCTCAGGACACCACACCTACCGCCAGTCAAGAGTTACCACGTGATACAGCACCTCCGCAAGCACCATCAATTCCCCAGATCTCGCACAACACACCACCATCGTCCATCGCCAGCCCGCCTGCGTCCTCGGTGACTAGTCCTCACCCTGGATTGGGCGATACTGAGACCAAGAACCCATTCTTGAAGAAGATGGCCATGTCCAACCAGGAGAACAACACTGTCTCGACACCTCCGCCCCCGCCGAGCAACACGAGCGAGGTGTCTACAAACCCTTTCCACCGTCTTACTCAGGAGCAAGCTAACAAGGCTGCTGCGCCTACGTTCAACGAGCCCGCTGCACCCTCAGCGCGCAGACTAAGACAGGACGATGATGACTGGTCCGTTGTCGACTCAGATGACGACTCATCCGACGACGATGAAGCGCCCACCCAAGGCGGAGCCAAGCAGCTGGCATCCATGTTGTTCGGTACCATGGCGCCACCACGCCCACTCTCTTCAATGGACAACAAGAGCCCACGTGCTGAGAGCCCAGCTGTGACGTCGCCTCCTACAGGCATCCCACCACCTCCACCAATGCCAACAGGTGGTGCGCCTCCGCCACCACCAGGCCCGCCGCCGCCACCGGGTGGTGCTGCACCTCCCCCACCCCCAATGCCTAGCATGAAGCCTCCAGGTGGAGTGCCGAACCGTGGAGCGTTGCTCGGCGAGATCACTGCCGGTAAGGGTTTGAGGAAGGTAGAGACTAAGGACAGGAGCACGGCTTCCACTGCTGGACGGGTTTTGGGTTAATATGTATATTCGTAGACTTGTAGTATAATCGCGTTTGTGTATAATTTGAACTCAGATTTGGTTTTACATTGCTAGTACACAGCATGGTGCTTTGAACCATCGTGCTCTCGTGCATTTCTTTTGCTCAGTGAATATGTATCTCCTTACAATCCTGCTCCAATTTTTTTCTCCATCTCAATCTGCTCCTGGTCCATGATAATAACACCCTTTCCCTTTATCTTTCCGCCATGCGCCAATCCAACCAGCTTCTCAATCTCACCTAGCCCCTGGAACGCATTCGTTTGCACAATAATGTCATGCTCTGCAACTAGTTCCAACATATCGCGCGCCTCATCCACAGTAGAGATAACGGACCCCCTCACCCTAATATCACGAAATATAAGTTCTTGATATGGAATGACTACATTATCTGGTTGCGCGATCTGAACCATAGTGCCATGCATCTTGGTGATTGCGCAAGCCGTAGCCGCTGCCGTCGATGCGTCACTAACATTCAGAGTAGCCATTACGCCCTCGTTGTTCGTGCAAGCATGTACAGCTTTAACGATGTCTTTGTGACTGGTCCTGGCATCGATAGTAACATCTGCACCGCACTGCCGTGTCAGTTCCAAACCCTCGTCCCGCGCATCAATACCAATAACTTTCAAACCCTTTGCTTTTGCAAACTGTACTCCGAGATGACCAAGACCACCTCCGCTGCCTACAATGGCTATCCATTCCCCCTTTTGCACGGCAGACAAAACAACGCCACGGTAGATAGTGATGCCCGCACAAGCGAGCGGAGCAGCAGTCTCGAAAGACACAGTATCGGGTAACTTTGCTGCTTGCTCGGCGTCGATTTTGGCGTACTGAGCGAAGAAGCCGTTGTTTGTCACGCCCAGGAAGCCACCGGTCTTCTGGCAGTATTGTGGACAAGCTGAGGGGCCTTGACATTCAGCGCAGGTCCCGCACGCATGGTATAGTAGCCCTGCCATGACTCTGTCGCCTATTTCGAAGTCGATTACGGAAGAACCTTTGGCTACGACAGTACCGGCGCCTTCGTGGGAGGCTGTGCAGGGGAGCGGTGTGCCCATTTTCCCAGAAGAGACCATCGAGTCTGTATAGCAGAGTGATGCGACAGCGACTTTGATTAGGAGATCCTTCGGTGCGAGATCTGATGGGAGGGGAATTTGGTGGACTTTATAAGGTGAGTTGAATGCGACGACTTGCGCTGCCCACATCTTGGTTGGTAGGTCGGAGATGGACATGGTGGATGCTCTTGTCTTGACAGTGAAATGATCTGTGTGTTTTCCTGTTTCGAGGGTTTCGAGGTCTACGTAGATGGTGGTGGTTGGTCTTGTGGGGATTGGGATATACAATCATAGTCTGTCTAAGAAACACAGATGTAGCATGTGGTGTACGATCGGAAGGCCAAGATGTGACGTTGCTGAGGGGTAAGTGGTGATAGCGTATACTCTCCTAAACCCGGCGTAATTCCATCCAGCAAGGGCCATATACTACCTGGCCAGAATGACAACACCAGAAGTCATAAGAGTCCACCGGCTCCAATTTGCCATAATCGACAGCTAACAAGGCAACCGAGAAGTGAGAGGTTCATCATGAGTCTTGTATAGGTGTGCTATGTTTGATGACAGTGTGCGACTAAGTTCCGCTCTTAGGTCGTTTCCAGTTGTAGTTGAAGAGACGTAACAAGACTAAAGGGGAAAGAAGGTAAGCGCGATAGTGTAGGCTATGTGGAGCGGGACTATGACGCGATAGCACGTGATGGTAGACATCCCACCTGAGCGGCTCGTTGCAGACATGTGTCAATGGCTTTGCGAGGAGTTTGACCAATACCTGCCTAGTAGGTACCGATCTCTCGGGCAGTCATCGCGTCCTGAACTAAGTGAAGGTCTGGGCGTAGCACAACGACAAACGTGAAGAGGAGCGATTTCGGAGTCGGGCTCGTGGACCAAGATGCTGCTAAATACTAGGGAACATAAATTGAAAGCAAGCTGAAGAGATTGGGTGGAGCATATAACTCTTCACCGAGCCACCGAGCCCACGGATTTTGGTACCGAGCCTGACGAAAGTTGGGTAGCGTTAATCGTGTCGCGGACATGCCTCCAAAGAGATGCCTTGATCTTCAGCAGGGCAAGAGAAACTTGTATTATACGTAAGTCCGAGCGATCATCACGCCACGTCTTATTGTCGCGACTGACTGCCAGAAACGAATGGAACTAGACAAGCCACCCCGGGATGGGAAATTGAAGCTGGTGGGAAATTGAAGCTGGTGGGAAATCTACAAGTATAGCGGTAAATGCCGTGGGCGAGTTCCAAGGTCGCCTACATATGCATAATCGGGTACAATAACCGCGGTAAAGGGAATGCGAAAACTAAGGAATTGAGTGGAAGAAGATCTACAAAACTTGCGCTCGGGAAAAGCCTTGATGAGTGACATGGGAGAAACGAATATGCAGATTCTGTTAAGGCAGCATCGGTATGAACATACCGAGAACACTCGTGGTAGCAACAACAACAAACAATGCTCACGAACCCCTGTTCCCCCCTTATCGCACCAGCGCCTTCAACAGCCCGGGTGGCAACGTTTTTTCTTCTTCGGCTCCCTGATTTGGAGCAGGTAGGCTATTCATGCATCGTACACACCGCTCAACGCCAAAAAAAAGGACACTGGAGCTTACCCATCTTACCATCGCGTTTAGCATCACACCATTACTCATTGCACACACACGTGTACTAGCGCGCAGCCCACTCCCTTCTGCGGGCCCCTTCCTTCCCCACTTGAGAGAAAATAGCAGATGCAACGAGAACCGCCACTGCGGCAATTTGCAGTAAGGTTGGGATGGGTAAACGCACAGTCCCTCATGGGCAAATTTTGAGAAAGGCATGCCAGCGGATGACGCGGATCGTTCGTTGTCGCCATGCATGCATACTGGATCTAGATTGCAATTTGCGATGTTGCTTGACTGCAGGTGGTCTGCTGTGTAACTTGGAGCTGTGTGGACTAGGGGTCTGGAATTGGCAGGTGGGGAAACAGCAACAACACTGTATGGTCTGTATATTGGGCACATGCCATCTGTCTATTGGAACTGTACTTTGTTGCTTTCTCATACTCCCTTCCTCTTGCTGTCACCCACATACAACGGCGTTGCAGCCGTGCTCTGCATGTACCTAGGGAAGGTGTGTGTGGGTGTGCGGGACTGGCTGGATCTACTATAGCGTTCTTAGAAGCGTTGGGTTGCAAAGTGAGGCTTTTTAGAACTTGTCCGGGTATGCATGATATTCGTAGATTTGCTTTAGGAGTAATCCTTGTCGGATGCATGCTTGCCGCGTGCACCGCGAAGTCCGATCATCCGAAGTAGATAAACCTCGGGGGTTGCTTCGCTGGGCACTCGAGCATGTGGAAGGACACGTAGAGGTGGCGTAAATTTTACGTTCTCTCATGACGATTCTGAAGAAGTTACGGCAGAGGCATTTAGCGCCGGTCGAATCGTCGGACCTTCCAAACTTGCTGCCTCATCATCTTGACTGTTTTGCATGTGCCGTACCGGTTATCCTCTATGGTCAAAGCACACTATTGCCTAATGGCCACAGTGGGCTGATAATAATACTGCTCCACGTTGTCTTCGCTTTGCATCTATTCATGGTCAATCATTGGTCGCGGCCAGTCCGTCCGAAAAGCAGTCGGTACTCCTACCCATAGGGACTAGACGCCTGTAAGGGCCAGAACGTGAGCGAGTTCAATGATCTCTGCGCGATCCAGCCAGCGCAGAAAGGGCCAATGAAGACTACATCAAGGATTCAACATGTAGAAAATACGGAAAAAGGAAAAGACCGTAGGAGCAAGGGTGCCGTTATAAATACAACAAATTGACGTGCACAAAATAGAAGCGCAGTCCCTGCTGGATGATGTAAGACAACACGTTACATTACAAACGAAAGCAATTAGAGTACAGAAACAGACAACTTCCATGATAGTACAGTGACGACGAAAGCAATACGGGAAGGAGAGAACACTCAATTGCCCATAACAACACAGGCACTAGCTTCATTCCTCACACGTTTCCTGATCTCATCTTGCTTGTTAAAGATCGTCTCGTCGTCAAGTCTTCGTCCTCTTTGATAAGGAAAACAAAAGCGAACGAATGCAAAGGAGCTTGTTCTAGCTCCCCACCGCCCGGCAGTGGAGAGCCCCAATTAGAAGCTCGTTCCAGTCCAAAAGAAAAGGCGTGTCATCTTTACCTGTCCAGCACTCGAGTCATGACATGCTAAGCGCAACTGTAATAAAGACTATGCAGTTGATTCACCAAGTACTATGCAACATGCCCAACTCAAGCAAAAAGCACGTACCTAGAATGTTCGCATCTGAGGCATCATGCCGGGGGCTACACCGGGCAGCATTATCGGTAAACCCGTAGCGGAAGGGCCCAAGCGATGGAACATTTGGACCAGGCGTTCTCCGACACTGGGTTCGAGCTCTGTACCATCTCTTGCGATCTTGACTTCGCGATTGGCATTCCATGGGTTGCGAAGGCCCCGGGTGCGGGTAAAACGGTAGGCGGTTTGTAGAGACCCACTCAATCTTGAAGGGCTTACCCCAGCTCTGCGGCACGGCTGAAGCATCGCCTTCTACTTGTTGGGGCACCTCGTCTCTGTCGCCTTTATCGCCTTTATCGCCTTTATCCTCATCCTCCTCTTCGGCATCGGTATCGGGTAACTCTGCTTCCCAGAAGATCGTGCCGCGTGCCGAGTCGTCAATGATCCTTCCACGGGGCGCCCATTCTGTTGCTGGGGTAGCAATCGACTTTGGCACGTCCGTCGCATCTACGATCGTCTCGGGTTTGGGTACCGAGCCTGCGATACGAGAGCCATCCTCGAGGATTGGCGACGCCATACGGGCGTAGCCAAAGTATTCGCCCGACTTGTTCGCGGAGAAGATTAGATAAACATTCTCAGCAGACTATATCCTGTCAGTCAGCTCTCACGGGCATGAAAAGCATTGCGCACTTACCTGAAATGCTTTGTTGAGTACGTCTTCATTATGAGACTGTGTAGCCCAAATACCATTCCGAACACTGAGCTCCAGGTCCTGCAGCGTAAGGCTTTTCACGATGAAGTATTTAGTGACAGTATCGGCAGATGACCTATGATCCTCCGTACTCTTGTGCGATGGTGAACCGGCTGCGGCTTCTGCAAGACCATCAGTGACACTGTCTTGCATTGGTGTCGCGGGCCGAGAAGCGTTCTTTTGCTGGCCTATCATGGCTGATGGTGCCGTGGGGACGCCTAATGCTGGAGCAGAGCTGCGTCGAAGGCGACAGACTAAGCGCACACCGTTGAAGCGTGAGTCGTGGAACCTGTGCATTGCAGCTGTGCACGATGCTTCTGTACGGTAGTTCACGAACGCACAGTTGCTCTTGGATATCAAGAACAGACTTTCGATATCCTTGGTAGCGTCGCGAGAGAAGTGGTCCTTCAAGGCGACTATGGTGGTTCCAGGAGGGAGATTCCCAACCCAAAGTGCATGTCCAGATTGTTTAGGTTTGCGAGGCGGTCCGCGAGGTATGGAGCTCACTGGTCCAGAGCGAGGCATAGCTAGAAACATATCAGCAACTGAAAATACGCTGTTGTAGTGCTACACGTGTGCAAAGGCGGCTCGTTGTTCGTACTTACCAGAAGATTGCGTGAACTGTGCGCTGTAGGGAGACATTGAGTCGCCCAAAAAGTTCCCCGTAGTCATACGGACACCCGAGAAGGCGTCACTAACGTGCGAATAATCCGCAGCTTGACCTTGCATGCCCGTATTCGTTGAGCTGGCTTTTCTCTCATACATTGCTTGGCTCTGAGTACTGAACCCAGGGTTGAACTGCCCCTGTGGTCCGTATGGCACCGGATAGTACATGTACTGCGACGCCTGCTGGTAATTCTGGTACGAAGGATGCATCGGTGCCGCCCCTGCTAGACGCGACTGAGTTGTCGCGAACGAGGGATAGGCGCTGTATTGTGAGCCTTGTTGAGGCATGAAGGGTTGTTGGGGAAGTCCTGTAGCAAATCCAGGTCCGTAGGCAGCAAGAGTGGACATGTTGCCAGAAGGCATCTGTAGGTTCTGTCCAAGCTGGTATGCCACAGCTGATGTGGATGCGCCAGACAAGGAGCGGGGTACCGTTTGCGAATTCATTGAAGCATTGTCGTTGGCATTATAACTGAGCAATGTGCCTGTCATGGCACCCATATTCAGTGGTGAAGTGCCGTGTTCCTGAGGCTGGTAGGATCCGTTCACGTGCGTGTGTGAACGAAATTCGGGTCGCGGTTGGCCCTGGGGTAGGCCACTGAGCTGGGAGTAGAACGGGTCGTTGCTGTCCGGAGATTTGAGGGAAGTTGAAACAGAACCGGAAGTATTTCCGTCACGCGCAAGACCGGTTGTCGCGTTGTCCATGGCCTGAGGCCGTGAACCAGGTGGTAGGTCGCCCATGTGTTGCTCGTAAACGACAGGAAGTGGTACCCACTGCTGTACCCAAACGAAAGCCATGTTAGTCCATGTTACAAGTGATACAACAGGGTCTAGAAAAACGAATGTGTGAAGGCCCGATTCAAACCAAACTTCCGAACATAGGAGAATACAACATACCTAATTCTATATCAACGTTTCCTGGAAGAGGTGTGGCAACCCGGAAGAGACGTTTACCGAGAGTGCGGTCGCTTCCTAAGAGAGATGACGAACAAAGTTTGCCAATGAATAAGGGAGGCTGTGAGGTGACCGAATGTAAAAAAGATGCCGGCAGTAGGAGAAACCGTTTGAGGGAAGATGAACGACTTCGGTTGATGTACTACGTGGAGAAGGAGCTCGCTTAAGGCAGAACGAAGATGATGGTCAGAATTACACGACCACTCAGACGGCAGAAGTGATGGCTCAAAGCCTTATGAGGTTGGAGACGGCGCAACGGCAGGGACCGCAATGGGCAAGCGTACGTGCGGCAGATATTGGGTGCTAGGGTCCCGAGGATGAGCTCATTGATTGGCCTGGTAGTAACGGGAAGGCCGCACGAGGGTTCTCGCGAGTTTTCTGCCTTAATCGCCGCTGGTTTGACTGCAGCTTGATTGGTTGTAGGAAGGCTGGCCCGTGGCTGACAGGATTAATGTGGAGTGACGGGGTCTGAACCGATGCTCTGGAGGCGAAATGATCACCAAAAGCCCAGCGAGAAGAAGATAATTGGGTGCCTGAGTCAAGGAGCTGTAGAAAACAAGTGTTGCGAACGTGGTATATCATCGGACGTGGCGAGTGATACCGTTTCTAGAATGCCATGGGCCGACAGCGCTGATCATAGACTATCTTACGAAAGCTTAGCGGGCCCTTCCTAGCAATCTCCGGCGGGCGGAAATTTAGGGTTTGTTCTGTATACCGAAAAGCAGTTGGCGCGGGAATGCTCGCGTCAATCTGTCGAATCGAAACCTGCCTAGAAAGTAGAAGAAAGCATTTTATTACAAAAGCGCTTCAACACCATGATACCAGGGTGTCTGCTAGCACCGGCTTGTACTCTAACAATTCCGCCTAGGTCAAGATCATGAAGGAATTTGACGCCGTCCCTAAGAACGGGCCCGACATGCATGCAAGGCAGGCCGACCAATTGAGGGAGCTACAACGACGGTGGACCAGACGCGACATGCACGAACTGAGCCGCCCAGAAGACTCCGGCCGTCTAGGAAAAAGGGAGGAGCCAGGGACGCCGCGTGGACAGCATTAGGGCGTCACGATAATGACAAGGCATGGAGCAAGCGTTAGGAGCGGACAAGGGACCCGGTAAAAGCATCTTGGGGCATTGCTGAGTGGCTTCGTAGTAGGCTGTCTCGGCGGTGGTACTCCCCTGATGACCCTGCGGCGGGAGTGCGTCAAAACGAGGGTGGAAGAAGGATAGAGCAGGCAGGTATGGCTCTGGGCCTATACAGGTTTAGCGCCATAGCGCCACGGCGAGACTGCAGTGGGCCGTCAGATGTCAGCGCTCGCTTCCATGAATGCGAACACATCAGTGCAAACCTACGCTTGACGAGTTTGCAATGGACTCGGCACGCTCTCGGCAGACGGCTGGACAGAATAGCCCGAAACCGTTTCCTCAGACATGAGAACTGGTTCTGGCTGCCAACGAAAAAGGGTATTCGCCACACTCGGCGTGACCGCACAATGACAGAGATCTGCGCGCCACAGCACAGCCACCCCACTTGATCCCGCGTGGTCATGATCGACACCCGGGCGAGCAACGAACGAAACGTCTGTCCCGTCTGCCAGGGTGCAAGAATGACGATAGTGTTATAAGAATAGATCTGCAGATCATGAGCTTATTCAGGGTCGATTCAATTGACGTCGGACGATTTGAGGATTGGTGGTAATCGCACCGCTGGGCAGCAACAAGTGCCGCCACGAGACAGAACTTCGGCCTACTGCGAGATTGCGATGCTAAGATTTCCATGTTCCGTTAACTCGACTCACGCAATTCCGGTCACTAGTAGTATGGGAAATGTCAAGCTTTGACACCCACATTACCGTGGTGGCGGTGCTAGCATCCATTACAGGGTTCGACACAAACCCTTCGCCGAATCAGCGTCCGGCCGCGAACGCGAGCGTTGGCACTACTGTAGAGCCTCTTCGTAGTCAGAGGCCGGGCTGGAACCCTGCGGGGGTGCTCCAAGTGCGCGGTGCATAGCAATCGTTTCGTGAATTCAACTCCGGTATAGCCGATACGCCCGGATAGCGTTCCCCTGGCTATCCGTACACATTTGCGTCTCGTACGATGCAGATACAGCAGTGAAGCGACTGTGGCTGTAAAGGATGATCTTTCGATAAAGTGTCCCCGTCTTGAGAAATCTCGCACCCATGAGCCGACTGGAGCACGTAACTCACCCCTGGCGATCCGTCACCACCCCACATCTCCGGCTTTGCACGTGGTCGGTAAACTTGGACCCTTGCGAAGCAAAATCTGAACACTACGTCGTATTATATGGTTGTTTTGGCATAAGTAGCTAACAGAGGCGGTAAACACAAATTACGGCTAGCCTACGGAGAAGTACTCGTTACTAGTCGGCTATACATATTATCGCGATCTGTGTATTCGCGAGTGCTGCACGACGTAACCCGGTTACATACTATGTCGTGGCATTTTGCCACCCAAAGTCCATATTCGTGACAAGTATTGGGGCGTCGGTACATGACGCCGCATACATGTTCAGCCACAGGGGATATGCGCATGTCCGTTTCAGAATGCCCGTTTCAGAATGCCGGGGACTTGAAAGTACACATCGGCTGCTCCGGGATGCTCACAGCGTGTAGACGCGCTGCCCGCACAGTCGACATAAACCTTACGAATCCTATACGCGACTTACAACATAAGCCTAGTAGTGTATAGACCCACGGACCCGTTCGGAAATCCTGCTAGTAGAAATGACCCAGTGACATACCATACGCTCGCTTCGGCTTTTTCCCGTTCCTGCGCTTCCTCTGTGGTTCGCACTACTCAAGTGAAGCAGTAGCGCGGGACTCAGCAAATTTGTCAACTGCCGTCAATGGCTAATTCGTGTCCAATGTAGCTTCAACGAGCTACAAATTCGCTCAAGAACTCCTCGATATATTGAAAGTAGCGCGGCTCTGCGACGGTGTCGTTGTGGCTTCCGTTCGGCAGTTCCTTCCAGACTTTTGGCGCTTTGCAGACTTGGAACAATTTGGTCATATGGGAGGGTCTGTGAAGCAATCAGCAAAAGAGAACCCACTGGCGAACCGCTTAATGCTCAGGGCATGCGCTTACGGAATGATTTCGTCCTTGAGACCGCTGAGGAACAAGATAGGTATCTTGCTGATCTTAGGGAGTGTCTCTTCAGTAGGCCAGATCTGATGGCAGAGCGGAGTCAAGAAACGGGCAGGAGGGAATGCACTACTTCAGGTTAGTGATGACCTGCAAGTTTGACGGGATTACCCACGTTGGTATGAGTTTTTAATCGAGGTGAACGTGTTCTCCAAGATGATACCGGAAATGTCGCCCTCTCTCTGATTACGAGCAGCTAATCCAACGGCAACTGCACCACCAATACTCTGACCGTATACTACGATCTTGGTGTCTCGAAGTTCGTGCCTCTGACGGATATAATCCAAGCCAGTCTGCGCATCGATCATGAGCCCCTTTTCATTGGGATTGCCGGAAGACAAGCCATAGCCTCGGTATTGCAACATCAGCACATTACATCGTAGTTCGCTTTCGAGGATCTTTGCGATGGGAAGCCTGTAGCCGATATTGCCAGCGTTGCCATGAAACATGAGAACCGTTACGTTACGCGCATGTTGCTTGTTGGCTCGAATGAAGAATGCGCTTAGGGATTCGCCGTCTGGTGTGGGGATGAACAATTCCTCATAATCGGTAATGGCGAATTGTGAGGGCCTGGGTACGTTCGTTCGAGCATCGGGAGGGAAACTTCGTGGGTATATGATCTCACTGCCACTGTTTAGCCAAATGCAATAGGGGTACAAGAGACAGCGTACTTTTGCTTGAAGTAAAGGAGACCACTGAGCAGAGCGGCGACACCAGAGGATGCTAGGATGGGTACGCGCAGGTAGGACATGAACGTGTCCATTGCCGAAGCCATGCTCCCTGGTCGGACTTCGGGACCTGTGGGGCGCAGGATAGATCGGGGCTCAGGTGCCGAGCGACTTCGAGGAAATAGCAGCCTAGGTGAGGGGGATGGAGAAGAAACAGAAGACTCGACCATTCGGAGAGCCAGGCAGTAAAATGTAGTATGAGGTTACAGTGCGCAACCGCATGTGAGTGAGGCCTGGAGGTGTCGCATGTTACAGCTGGCTGCTCAGACCAATAGTGCAATGCCAAGGAAAATCAGCCGCGTACAGTCGAGCTGCCTGCACCACCGCCTATAGCAACAACTCACCCCACAGCTCCTGTTGCCCGCCCCATACGCTTCTCGAACACCCGAACTCGTCCAACAACCTCTCGTTATAGTCTACCAGCTCACATTGCAATGATGATGTCCACAGGCATGTTGGGAGAAGGTACATTTGCCGCTATAAACAAGTCCACTATGGGAAGCTCACATTGCGCAGATGGCATCCATGTCGACATGAACCACCTCAAGAAGGGCGAGGTCAAGTAAGCTGTCCGTACATGGAGAGCGCTGTGGGAATGCTAACAACCAACCTAGCCTTGGAACATCCATCATGGCCATCAACTTCAAAGACGGCGTCATATTAGCTGCCGACAGTAGGACAACGACCGGAGCATACATCGCGAACCGAGTCACCGACAAGCTCACACAAGTCCACGACACTATCTGGTGTTGCAGATCCGGATCAGCAGCAGACACACAGGCTGTAGCAGACATCGTTCAATACCACCTGGGCATGTACGGTACTACAAATGATGAGCCACCGACTACACAGACAGCGGCAGCCATCTTCCAAGAACTCTGCTACTCCAACAAGGACCAACTCTCGTGAGTAGTACATGGCCATGCGAATACCAGTCACTGACACATCTGCAGGGCTGGACTCATTATTGCCGGATGGGACCACCGACACGGCGGCCAAGTATACTCGATTCCCCTCGGAGGCTCCCTGCACAAGCAATCATACGCAATTGGTGGCTCGGGTTCAACGTACATCTACGGATACTGCGACGCAAACTGGAAGGAGAACATGAGCGAGGAGGAAGGCATCAAGTTCGTCAAGGGCGCACTCTCGGAAGCGATCAAATGGGACGGCAGCTCGGGTGGTGTGATTCGCATGGTAGTGCTCACAGGCAAGGGCGCGCAGAGGCATCTATACCTGCCAGACCAGAACTACGAGGGGCCAGGCAAACAGTAGAACTGGTCGTCATGACGGTGGTGGATACATAGGAACACCATGTATGATATAGCACGACATGATGATAATACCTGAATGAGCTACATGAGACAAAAGGAAACCATGGCTACCATGGTCGACCTGAACTGGGGCAATGAGCGTGGCGCAGCCACTGGCCAATCAACAGTCAGCATTAGCCCATTCGTCGTCGGCCTTTTTTTGCTCTTTGCTCAGCTCCATGCATTCTCTCACGTTGGGGGACGATGCAAATTCAGAAGATTAATCATCTCTCTAGTTTTGCAAAATGCGGTCGTGGGCGTGCAGTGCCGAAAAGAGAGAGTGTAGCTGCACAGTGTCGTCACATGCGTTTTGAACGGTGCAGGTGAAGTGCGGCCAGGGTCTCGTTGAATCTCGCCAGTCGTTGGTCTGTGACGTTCTGTTTCCCCACGCCTTCGTCGAACAACACCTCATCACTTCACCACGCTGGGACCCCATCCGGCGCGCATTCTCACTTTTACCTTGACACGACGCGTGCCGTCCAATTTACTTTGGGTACGGCAGAGTAGAGCAGGCTCGCACGCGATATCTGCGCCCCTTTAAGCTGCGTCCAACTTCGGGCTCTTTACGATAAGGCTCAACAACAACACCACCGACACCTCTCACCGACACACTCGGCCTCGCAACCACACTCCCTCCTGCACCCAAAACAACCGCTGTGTCGCGCCTTCCTCCAAGCCAAGACGTCTTGAACTCCGCGTCTCTGCGCAGTCTGGTTTCGCGGAATGACTTCGCTTCTGGTGAGCGACTTCGGTGGGAACCACTTTCACACCAACATGTTTGGCGGCGGCAGCACGCACCAGTCACAAGAGTCTCCTGCCGGACGTCACACTCCAGTACGACCGTCGCCTTCTTCGAGCACCCATGCGCCGCGCGTGGTAGCTTCGTCTGCTGATGTTCCCATGGCCGATTCGGCAGCCCCGCAGTCGAGCTCAACATCAGGACAGCGATCGCAGCAGCAAAACAGCTCAGAGCCCAACACCACCACACCCGCTGCCGAACAAGCAGTACCGACACCACCCAGTCCACACTTTCGACCCCACTCACAACAGCCGACGCCTTCGGGCACAGACCCCGCCTCAACAAACACTCGAACCGTTCCCTCGTCAGGCTCAGCACAGTCCTTGCGATCGCCGGAAGCATCTCCAACCCGTATCAAAGTCAAGAGTCTGTCACACATCCAAAGTTTTGCAATCGATGAGTCCAGTCCCTTCTCTCAGTCGCGCTCGCTCGCACGGCGGCAGCGACGAGACCCTGCAGAGGTTGGGCCTCAGTATGAGATCAGCGAGATGCCCGTTTCCGACATAATTGAAATGGTAGCTGGATTGTTGACCAAGATTACGACGACCAACGATCGCCAGCACGACCATCTACACCGCCAAATTCCACCATCTGAGGGCACATCAGGGTTGAGCCAACAGACCACCAGCGTTTTGGCCTTCCACGGAAAGAACGTCCCCAGCATCTCAATTCTCAGCTATCTCAGCAGAATCCACAAATACTGTCCTACCACTTACGAGGTCTTTCTGAGTCTACTCGTCTACTTCGACAGAATGACAGAGAGGGTAAATGCTGGCCCCATGTCTGGTCTTCGCAAGGCTAATCAACAGTCTGTGGAACATTCAAAGTCTACAATGTCAGCGAATCCGACCCCATCAGACAGCACACGACCTGCATCGGCTTCCGCTCAGGCGGCGACACCTCCTCCGTCAGGCTCCCTAGGCAAGCCATCGCAAACGCCGCGTGAAGGTCTTCAGCCGCCTTCACCACCTCAGCAAGATCTCGACATGGATGGATTAAACCTTTCACACTTCTTTGTTGTCGATAGTTTCAACATACACCGTCTCGTCATAGCCGGTGTTACATGTGCCAGCAAGTTCTTCTCCGACGTCTTCTATACAAACTCGAGATACGCAAAGGTTCGTCTTGATCGACACACAACGTCTAAACGTTTGCTAACAACACAAAGGTCGGCGGTCTACCGTTAGTCGAACTGAATCACTTGGAGTTGCAATTCCTGCTGTTGAACGACTTTCGCCTCGCTGTACCCCTGGAAGAGATGGAGGCGTATGGAACGATGTTGGTCGAGTTCTACGCACGTGAAGTTGCTGAACAGCACGAACGAGAAAACGGCGTGAAACAGTAACACTGCAGCCAGCTTGTACAAAGTACTTGTCACGGTTTGCTCAAATCAGAGAAGACAACATAACAGGAGAGGGCAGAGAAGGCATTGCGGGTCCGTACCGAACAACTAGGAGGTCCCTCCATGTCGAGTGAGAGAAGCCAGAGGATACCACTTTTGCGCGAACCATACCTAGTGTATGAACTACATATGCTACGGCATAATTTTTGAGATCCAGAGTCTTTGCATTCTGGAATAGTTTGAAAGGGAAACCGTCACCCCAAAACCCGGGCGATGACTTTGGTTAGCTTGGGTCAGCATGCGAGCGAGTGTTCTTCCTTAGGTGTGCGTAGATTTGGGATACCAATTGTTTGTCTTTATTTCAAGAGAGATTGATGACATTACGACAAAGTCTCGTTCATCTGAGCTTCGTTTACTCTGCCTTTGTATTCTTGTTTTGATACCTTTTCTGAACCATTAGGGTGGCGTTTATAGAGGTGCAATCCGAGCAAATTCGTTCTAATACTACCTATTGGTAACTTTATGAGCTTTACTCGCGTGGCTTTGCTTCTGAGCAAGGAACTGGTAACGCAAGGAGCACGATAATCACGACAAGCAAGTCTGCGAACCATGAATAAGTAGCAAAGAATATGTGAGGGGCACAGCACCCGAAATCTCGGGAGAATCATTCAGCCCCTCCATTCTAGATCTTCCATCCCTTCCATCCCGGACCAGGATCCAGTATAGCACAATCCACGCGCGCAACCCCTGGATGCAGATTACCTGCAGAAGCTAATCAAATCGTAGTCATGGCACGGAGCCCCATGTCCCTGTCTTGCATCCAGCGCGCAGCCCGCGCTTACATAACCCAGGGGTAAAAGTCGGAAAAAGGTGCATCCAGCCGCAACAGTCTCACCCCAACACCGTTTGGAAACTGAAGGCACCCGGGCGAAATGCACATACCACTCGGTGAACAGTCATCCCAGGTTTGATCTGACGCACTGGACGCGGATAAAGTAACATGACACGCGAGGTGGCGCGGGAAGTGGACGGGGCCCTTGATATCGGTAATGACATGGCCACCGGGTGGGGATTTCTGTCGTCTAGTTTATCTAGTTTGGGTTCCTTTTGAAGGGGGAAGGGGGGGGAGGTGTTGGATGTGTGTTTCTCACAACGCTTCCTAACGCACTTTTTCGGTTGCGGTACTTTGCAGTTCGGGTTTGCTCGGGTTCAGGTTACTGTCGTTGTTGTTGTTCTTGCTTGCTTACTTGCGGCGTGTCGTTTGTGCGGTTTTTGCAATGCATCGTTCCGCTTCCACATCGTCATCGTCGTCTTCGTATTCGTCCTCGCTATCGATAACGTCGTTCGTTCAATATGCGTTCCTCGCTGCGCTAGCATATATACTCGCCGGTGCGCCTTTGTCCTCGTTGCTTATTTCACGCGCGGATGGCGATTTGGCGTCGTCCAGCAACAGCCTTGGTGCGAACAAAGGTGTCGATATAAAAGCCAATTTGGAGAACCTAGTGATCCCGGAGAAGAACCTGAGTTGTGTGGCACATGCGTATAAAGGTGTGTATGTGCTGAGCAGGGAGCCATTAGTGGTATACATTGAGGGGTTTGTTAGTGAGGAGGAAGGAAAGGAGGTTGTCGCATTGAGGTATGTTACTTTGATGCCGTTTCTTTTCTTCTTTTTAGGTATTGGTACATGGAAGGATCTCCGTTTCTTGTGGGAATCGCCTTGAGTCAGTGGAGTTGTATACCATATTTGGACGAAGCAGACAAATTAGTGTCTTTTCTATTACACTTGCAAGGTTCTGTGCTCTGAAACTAACATCACGCCACAGTAACCCGCACTTCACACCCTCAACTGTATGGACCTCTGGTATCGAATCCTTCAAGCCATCGATTCGCAACTCTGAAAAAGCTCCCCTACCTCGCAGTCAAACGGTCAAATGCATCGAGGAGCGTGCCCGTGTCTTCCAAGGCTGGCGACCCTACACTTTCATTGAGAAACTCTGGAGCCAGAGATATGGCGTCGGAGGCCATTACACATATCACTACGACTGGAGCACTGCGACCAAGAGAAGCGGACGTGTGAGTTCTTTCATGGTGTATTTGGAAGCGAATTGCACGGGGGGTGGAACACATTTTCCGCGCCTAGAAAGGCCAAAAGATGAAAGCTGGTGTCGATTTATTGAGTGTGGTGATGACGGTGATGTGTCTTCCTCTTCTTCGAGAGATGCAGATATGTCCGCCAGTCCTGCTGAGGATGGACGACCCAAGGAGGATCTAAGCAAAGGTGTGATTTTCAAGCCGATTGCTGGGAATGCGGTGTATTGGGAGAATATGCGGGGCGACGGGAGTGGTTATGCAGAGAGTTGGCATGCGGGGTTACCTGTTACTAAGGGAGTGAAGATTGGACTCAATATATGGAGCTGGTTGGCGGAGGGGTACGTGCCGGTGGAGGGAGACGCTTGAGGGAGTTTGGATGTGCAGCTGAAAATCGGATAAGAAGTGCATCATCATCATCATCAAGAAGAAGGCAAGGAAGACAAAGACCCTGTACAGGGAAGTTGCATAGCTCAGGAGACATACGGGCACATCAGTACAGGAAGACAGCGGGAGGAATGCATAAGTAGCCATCCGAGTACACACCGACGTGCCACACACATTTGGCATATTACACATATGTAGCCAAGGCACATAGTTTGTGGCAGCCCTGAAGACTACAAAGCAACAGAGACAGGAAGAGTTATAGCCCGCGGAACATAGCTTCCATGCATGTACTCAAAGCATTTTAGTGGTAAAGCCTGATGATCATTGCAAGAAGAAAAGATCAAGCCCAATATGGAAATAACAACCAACACATATTCTCATTATCATAAGAGCACTACATACGGCGCTACCTACAACTTCAAATCCCTTGATCCCTCTACGTCAACAGTAACAACGTGGTCAATATGCCCCGCACTCTGCCCAAACGAAAACTCATACTGCCCTCGATCAACAGTCCACTTCCCCTTCGCCTCATCGAAGTAGGCAAAGTCCTTGTTCGCACATTCAAGCTGCACTATCGCTTGCGAGCGGGGTTCCAAGTAAATCTTCTTGAAAGCCGCCAATGTTTTGACAGGATGCTCAGCCGATTGGTCTTTCCTACCGATATACAATTGGACGACGGTAGAACCAGCAACATCACCTATGTTTGTGACCTCAACACTAGGCGCAAACTGTTCGGGCGATGACTGAGGTACACGTGCGTCGGTGAGGACGAATGTCGTGTACGATAGACCAAAGCCAAAGGGGAAGTGGATCTTGTCTGCGGCGATACGGTCATAGTGCCTGTATCCTACGAAAATGCCCTCGTCGTACCTAACGGTGAGCTGACCCTTATCATCCCGCGTGCCAGGGAAGTTGCCATGCGCAGGCGCGTCCTCGATGCGTTTGGGCCAGGATATTGGAAGATGTCCGGAAGGGTTCACGGCGCCGGAGATGATGTCTGCGATAGCGTTACCGGCTTCTTGGCCGGGGAACCATGCTTGTATCAAGGCAGAAACTTTGCTCAGCCAGGGAAGAGCGACGGCTACACCCGTTGAGTTTACGACGACGGTCTTTGAGTTGACAGATGCGACTGTTTCGACGAGCTTGTCTTGTGAACCTTCGCGTGGTAGATTGAAGCTGACTTGATCTTGGCCTTCGGTTTCCCAGACTGGTGTGTGGCCGGTGAAGACGATAGCGATGTCACATTCTTTTGCGAGGTCTTTGGCTTCTGCGGCCATGTCTAGATCGTGCTCTTCCTCGTACATGAATCCCAGTCTGAAACCTGGGAGACCCGAGAGAATACCTTCGTCTGAATCGCCGGCGGGTGGCTTTGAGTGAACCTGGATCTTGTAAGATTCGCCCTTGGTAAACGATACACGAAACTCTTTCTCGGGGTTGCCGCCAAAGAGAAAGCCCATAGGGTCCGGAGAGTTGTGCTTCTGCTCATAGACGAGCTTGTCGTTGACATGTACGACTGTGGGGCCGATGCCTGAGCAACCCAAGTAGTGCGAGCCAGACTCCGTAGGCGTAAACATACTAGTAAATCTGACCTCACTATCCTTGGCACTCTGTTCGAGCAACGGAGTAAACGCAGCTTCTTTATTGCCGTGCTTAGTCTTGGTGGGCTTGCTGGTGTTGCCCTTGTTGAACAGTTCCATCGTCCAGCCATGTTTTCCCTCAAGATCTTTGCAGCCTTTGGATAGGGGCGGGATGAGTCGATATGTAGCGGCGCCCTTGGCAAACTTGAATTCCACATCGTTGCCATAAGCAGCTTTGAGGCCTTCTTCAGGAGTGATGCGGTAGTGAGCGTTCAAAGAAGCACTTCCACCACCATGAATAAGAGCCTCTTTCGCCAGACCAAACAGGCCAATTGTCTTGCCCTTGACCTCTTCTCTCTTGAGTGGCAGGACGCCATCGTTCTTCAGGAGAGTGATGCCCTGGCCTGCAACATCCCGGATAAGCTTACTATGCTTTGGATCGACGATGGACTGCTCGGGGGAATCTCCGGGTTCTCGAATGCACCAACCTTCTCGATGAGTTTCAGGACGTTTCTCGCTCGCTCGGTGATGGTGGCTTCAGTGACTTGCCCCTTCTTGACAGCCTCAAGGACAGCATCAGGGCTCCGCCACCTCGTTGGACCAGGCATCTCTAGATCCAATCCAGCATTTAGTGAATCAGCTGTAGAGTTGACACCACCCCAGTCGCTCATAACAAGCCCGTCCCATCCCCATTCGCCACGCAAAACTTGCTTGAGGAGAAACTCGTTGGAATCTGCGTGGGTTCCGTTAACCTTGTTGTACGCTGTCATGACAGCGAGTGGATTTGCCTCCTTGATAGTAATCTCGAAAGGCTTCATGTAAATTTCTCTCAAGGCACGCTCAGAAACAATCTCGTTGACCTTTAAACGATCCGTCTCCTGCTCATTGGCTGCAAAGTGCTTGATAGTCGCCGCAATACCTTTCTCTTGCAGTCCGCTGACAACGTTTGCAGCCATCTTGCCCGCAAGATAGGGGTCTTCGGAGAAAGATTCAAAGTTGCGGCCACCAAGAGGATGCCTATGGTTGCACATGGTGGGCGCCAGACTGGAGCTTCGTTAGCAATTGTCATGTGTGCATTAGTACCAGCAGACTTACAGCACTCTCGCACTCTTGGTCTTGGTCTCCTCTGCCAAAGCATGACCTATCCGCTTTGCGTTTGTAGGGTCCCACGTCGCAGCTGAGCATACAGCTGCAGGAAAACATGCAGCTCGTGTACCTCCTGTAAACACTTCGCCTCGGGCTCCGTTTGGTCCATCGCTCGTCTGTTCATTGTCAGTAGTTACAAAACATGGTAGACGGTACAGCTGCTGGTCCTACTTTAATGGCGGGGACGCCCTTGTCCGGTATAGGTACTGTCTCCCAAAAGTCCTTTCCAGCAAGAAGGGATATCTTCTCCTCTAGTGTCAAGGACTGGAGGATAGTTTCAACCTTTGCACCCATGTTTTCGTTCACGCGGGGCAGAAGAATGATCGCTCAAAAAATGCGAAGAAGCTGTGAGATTGATTGTTCACGCCCTATCGTTTATTCTGCCGTAGTGACAGATATATTCAACAAAAAGAATAGGTAATCGAAAGGGTATCAACGCTCTATACCGCACCTGAAAGTGCACGACCCGTCACTATATGTATCTCAAGGTCTTCCGCTCTTCCCATTCCCATTCGGCAACACTGACCGTGTTTCCGGCAAGCACACCATTGTCGTCCCTATCGGACATCGCAAGTCGCTGAAGTGGAGAAGCAGAAGTGCGCATCATTGGAGCATCTGGAGATCTACCGCAGTGGCACCCGTAAGCGTGCCGAAGTTTTGCCATGCGGACTGCCTGATTGAGTTCTGATTCGTACCCTGAGTTGCGAGGCGTTTCGGAGATTCGCCGAGGGTTAGCCCCTCGGTATGCAAGTCGCTTACCGACTCGACAACAGACAATGTGAGTACGCGCAACACGAGCGGGTTACATGTTGATTTGGGAAAACCACGAGAGCCGGAGATGGATCGGAGAGTTGTGGCAGGTTGCTCTTGTTGTTGTTGTTGTTGTTGTTGCTGCTGCTGGGTTTAGTCATCTTCGGATGCGGCAACCTTCCGAGGCTCAAACGGCATCGAATGGGACCCACGTGTCTTGGCTGGCGCGGCTGTGGCAGGTGAATCTTTGAAAAACTATACGTCATGTTGTGTACGCGATAGAATTGCAATCTCTACGGCTTCGAAACTTCTGTTTTCATTATCCGATATCCTTAGATTTCTGTATTTCAGGAGTTGTTCCATTCTTGTACATATTTCCATTTCTGGCGCACAGCATGGCTGCATCATCGAAAAAGTCGGGTGAAGTCAAACCCACCATGAGCCGGCGACATCCGCTGCAGCGTTTCGATTCACCGTCTAAAGGATTTTCAGGCGCGTTGCATGTAAGTACTAGAGGAAACGATGTGAATGAAGGAGTAGCCAAGACCAAACATTGACACCAGTTTGCATTCTAGGTCGCTGGTCTAATCAGCTTCTACAGTTCCTTCAAGTTGTATGTGCCGCCTCTTCCGGTTTTGTATAGGACCCCAGCTAACATACATTCAGCCTAGTGGACAACCCCAACATCTTTGTATGTACTGATTGCTCGCATTTCCTACATCGTACTTGAAGTTATAATCTTGCATTTCCTATACATTTATTGCATACAACACAGGAGGCATCTCCATGATGCTGACACTAGTCCCAATCAGACCAACAGTCTAACACACACCAGAATTCATCCTTCGGCTGGCACCTCCAATTCCTGACCATAATCGGCCTCTCCCTCTCCACAATAACATTCGTCTTCGGTCTCACCGCAGACCTAACCTCAACCGCCCTCTCAAGATCTCCAATCCTACCTTCAGATCCACCAGCGGCGGCTCTTTCCGAGCACCTTTTCCGGCTGAAGAACTATCTAGCCCTGATAGCAGCGCCGATTGAAGTCACCATCAGCGTACTATACTGGACGTTGAAAGCCATTGATGGGAAACTCTTGGTACCCCCTGATCTACCATTGCCGCCAGCCATCTATGACATAGGCTTCCACCTCGTCCCCGCCGTTGTCCTAGCACTTGACTACATCCTCCTCTCTCCGCCATGGCCCACAACGCCTATGAATGAATCTGCACCTATCATTACCCTTTCTATCTCTACTGTAATTGCCTTCGGGTATTGGATTTGGATTGTAAGATACGATCTTCTCCTTCCCCAAGAACTACTTGGCTAACCTATGTTTAGGAGATATGCTTCTCCCAGAATGGCTTCTACCCTTATCCCATCTTTGCGATGCTCACGACAAACCAGCGTATAGGGTTGTTCGTTGTAAGCGGGGTGATCATGTGGGTGGTGGGCGGACTATTGAGGGTATTGTATGCGAGAATAAATGGATATGAAAGCGTAGAGCACTTGGAGAAGGTGAGAAGGAACAAAATTATGGGCGGTAGTGGGAAGTGGGAGTAAACAAGGGAAGGGTATCAGGAGTGGTTCATGACAAGACGAGTAGATGATGAGAGGATGTAGAGATACTAGGGAAAGCGTTGACGGGACTTACGAGTATGAGTTGGGTAGACAGTGGAGTACCCTGCGTGTACACAAGGGCGGAAGTAGTATAGACCTGGATCAAATGTAGGAGCCGTTCAGTTCATACAGCTGTGAAAGACAACACACTCGCTTCTATCACAGCTCCTATATTAATTATGCAGACGAGAAACCAGCGATACTGCACATGCCCGCCAGCTTCCCACCAGCAAACCCATGTTTGCGAAGACAGTGCACAGTAGAGTGAGGTATAGAAATGGAAAAGAACATGCCCGAGAATCTGTCCAGCGATCCCCATAGCCCGTCTCTCTGAGAAAATCATATTAGATTATGCCGTATGTCGTTAGTCGTCGAGGTGTAAACCATGTCGCATCATGTAGGAATCGAACACCAAAACGTAACGCAGGAAAGTAAGTCGCATGCATAAGTCGGTAGATAGAATGAGTGCGAACAGTTGGGTACCTGTTACGGCATGCTGACGCCGAGTCGTAAGTGTCGCATCAGGAAGTCCAAGGGTAGCTCGGCATAAAGCTTAAGTGCTCAGCTCGTTGATGGCGAGGGCGGCGCCGTAATTGTGCGTTGGTCATCATCGTCTTGATCCTGCTGCTGGTAGGCGCTTGTGGTGTTGTAGAGATGGCTGGTGTATTGAAAGGCCTGTTGATCAGGACCAATGCCATAGGAGTAGGCGGGGTACTGATAGCCATTGCTCTGGTGGCCATGAAAGTTACTGTAACCTGTCTGATGGAACGATGGTACAATATTCTCCTTGTTCTCGTACTGGAAAGGATCGTTGAAGGGTTTGTAGGAAGTGAATGCAGGTGCTGGGGAGGGAGATGCTTGGTGTGTAAATCCAGACGTAAGATAGTTCATGCTGCTGGGCTGTGAAAATGGGACATCATCGTCATCTTGGAAGACATCGAATCGTTTCCGCTTCGGAGCACGGTTTTTGTGACTGTTTTCATAGCCAGAGCGGCTGCAGTCTTCATCGTATTGATTGCGGCTGAGGAAGGGAAATACGGGCTGCTTGGACTGCCTAGTGGAGCGGCGAGTAGCGTTGGCATCTAGGTTGGCAAGTGCAGGCCGCCTGTGCACCGGCTGAGGACTCTCAGCCTTGATCTCGATCTCGTCCTCTTCGTCAGACTCCGAGCAAGAAATCCTGCGCTGGCGTTTGAAAGTGCCCAATGGGGTGAAGATGAGTTCAGTAGCCTCGACTTCTTGAGAGTTGAGCTCAAGCTGTTCCACAACGGAGCTGTCCTTCTTCTGATTCCTCTTACGCCGCATCTCTAGGGTAGCAGAGTCGAAGATGTCCATGCCAGGCCAGTATACTCCTTTGAGTTTGGTTGATTCACTGACAGCCATTGGATCTGCCACCTCGGCAGGCTCGTCCTCGATGGCACATGAAGCTGCAGCAGTGTATCGGTATGGCCGCCGCCTCTCGCTCGGGTCTGAGTATTCACTAGACGTATCGTAGTCTGGGTTGGTGTAGCTACGGGAGCTGGCGCGCGACTCTGTAGGCCAGTATTGCATATAGGGTGCAAAGGTATTGCGATTGCGAAGCACCGGCCCATTGGGCTGCGGCGTCGGAGAAGGTGACTGCTCCAGCTTGATCCTGGTATGCTGCTGGTCAGATAGGCGCGGATCAAGGAGGTTGCTTGCGGCGGCGCGGCGTACGGAGCGTGGCACCGGGGCCCCAATCTTGAGTGGAGGCGTGGGCCGAGCTGCATCGCGTGGAGTTAGTAACAGTCTGAAGTACCACGGGATGAAGGTGAGGGGCATACCAGTGGGCCTCGCACGGGTGCGGCGTTTGTCCTTTTGATTCATCCGCTCCGACATGAGCTCCTCGACAGCCCATTCGGCATACCACTGGTCATACGTCTCAATGAGCCGGCGAGATGCTTCCTCGTTGGTGGACCGGACCTTGACCTTGTAGTAGTTGGATAAGTGACCTTTGCTGGCAATGTGCGTGAGTAGATGCGAGACATCGCTGAAGGTTGGCTTCTTGGGGCAAATATTGCAGTGAAGCGGAATGTTGGCCATGCCGAAAGCCTAGAGAGACTGCAGTATATTCAAGTGAAGGCTGCAGTGTGAATGCGGGGTTTGTAAGGAGCGTAAGTGAAACAAGCACAAGAGCAGCACAGTGGTGAAAGCAAAGAGCGTTGCGAAAGGAGCGGGTTGGTGAGGTGAAGTGGCGGTGGAAGAGATGCTCATAAGAGACCTGGTACAGAGATGGCTGCCAGTCACTGCGGTAGCTCCTAGCCCATTTCTGGAGCAGATGAAAGGAAAGCAGGAGAGAGACGCCAGCACTTGGAATGGAGGAAAGAGGAAGGTGCACTATCGCGGTGAATGAATTGCAGCAAGAAGATATCTGTTGGTGGTGTTCTAGCAGGCAGAGCACGTGGGGAAGCTCGGCACTGACGAAAGAGGCAGCCACCCTCACTTTCGTCCCGCTTTGTGTCTCGACGCCTATGGGAGAGACGCGAGGTATTAGATAGCGGGAGCGCGACGAGACACGACTGAGGATTGTTACATGGATGTGCAAAAAGATGCTTGAGAGGAACACAGGTGAATGGTCACCCAACTCACCAGCCACGTGCGATAGAACTGGTATTTGTTTATGGTTTTGTCACTTACTTACCCAGGCATCTACGAGTGACAGATCGGGGCATGCAGCTGTTTGTAATCAGTATACAGTACGGCAGTCGATAGCAGTGGTTACATACTACACGGGGTCTACCTCTTCGAGACCCGGATACTTCAGCAGACTGAGACCAGCAATTCCAAAAACGGTGTGGAAGACGTCGACCATATCACCAGGTCGATCTGCGAGGCCACCCAGCTCCGGATCCTAGTATGGTCAGATTGCTGTGATGTTGAAGAGAAGATGCTACGCACCTGGCACTGCAGGATGAAGCTCGTCAACTTCTGCCCGTCTATCCAGTGCAGCTTGTCCAACATGGCCATGCTGCTCATGACCCACCAGCTGTAGCAGACGTCCTCCTTCTTCTCTGGGCGGCCGTTGAGGCCTCCGTTCTTGAGTTGTCGTTCGCTTAGCCAGGCGCCCAACTTTTCTTGGTTGACAAGGTCAAGTCTCCCCGCGATGGTCAATGCGCCGACACACGTAAACACCTGACCCGAGTGCGACTCGGCACCTGGGCTGGTACCGTATCCACCATCAAAGTTGGCGCACGAGTTGACGTATTGAGCGGCCTTTTCGACGTCGACTAGTTTGAGCAGTCCCATGAGAGACAGAGCATTGAGCGCGCCGTAGAGAAAGCGCGTGTCCTGCTCTCCCCACTCATCACCTGCAAATGTGCCAGTCTCGCGATCTTGCAAATCGGCGATGACTACTACTATAAGTACACTACCATGGTAGATGGATGTACATATGACTTACACTTTCCGATCTTCAGCCGACCACCGGGGATACGCTCTTCAAGGTCACCGAAAGCGTCAAGCGTCGCGAGTATCTGCACGCCACTAACGGTATACAGCAGATGGGCATCATGGCCCGGGGCAGCACCGAAACCGCCATCATCATGCAGACACGAGAAGACAAAATCGAGGATGTTGCTGCGCGGGAGAGCGTCTGGCTGTCCCAAGAGATGCAAGGCCGTCAGTCCCCAGTAGAGGCCGTTGAGACGCAGATGTTCGGTGAGCCAGTATTCGAGCTCATCTTTGCGCTGGAGCGGGTCAGCGCGGGATTGGATAGCTGGCTGCTTGCGCGGCCAGGCAGAGCAGAGACAGGCTACGCACGGTGTCGAGGCTCTGGATGTAGCGGACGTGCTTGTCGACGAAGAGATGCATCTCGTCGGGCATGCTGGCCATGCCCGCAGCACGCCCGGGCCCAGAAACAAGAGACATGTCAGACGGTTGTCAGATGTGGGTGGTGTTGGTGGGAGCTGGAGGCACGGGAGGGTCTAGTTGTTGTTGCAGCATGGCGTCGACAGGGGTGGAGCCTGACGCACATTGAGGGAGAGGGTCTGAATTTGAAACGAGACTTGGCACATGATCCACCGCTGTACGAAGCAGGCGCATGAAGCATTTGGAGCCGCCAGCCGCGACAGCCTTGCAGGTAGTAGTATTGCACAGTGGGCGTAGTCGTCCATAGTTCATCGTCCAGCTTCAACAGTCTGCCCTCACCGCCAGGCCTGCACAACGCCCGCTGTGGACACCCGTTTGCGCACGATAGCTGGCTGATAGCGCCTATGGGACGAATTTGGGGGGTAGGGGTTTTAGTAGCGTCGCCCCTCGTACCTGGGGCCGTGCGCGGTGCTGAAGTCGTTGCCGCCATCCTCTCGCAGGCCTTGGTGCCCTTTGCTCGCAGCATTGCAGAGCCTGTGCCTCTTGGGCCAGCCATCGTCCCCCCCGCCCACCACCACCATCACCAAGGAGACACGTGAATTGTGTCCTTTTGCTGACCAAGGCGCCGCTCACTGCACTCGCTCCTGCAACGGCCGGCCAAGCCCAGCTCCACTCGCTCCATTCATTCCAGGGCCGTCTCCAGTTCCCTCTGTCGCGCCCAGAAATAGTCGTCCGTGTCTTGTTTGTGAAGTGGGTAAGTAATGCCCGTCGACAGCACTGCGACACCTCTAGACTTGTTTCCACTCGTGCCCGCTCCAATGTTGTACCACCGTCAACAATCGCCATAGCGCCGCCCGGCCCCTTTCACGTTCCGCAGCGCTTGCTGACTATATCCCAGACGTTGCATGACCGCCTCATTGCCCGCGGCCCAGATACTCGACGTCCAAAAAGTGAGCACGTCTGGTGGACTGTGGTCACATATCCGCCTTCGACACCGGTAGCACGCGCCCGGCATTGTCCATCTTTCCGGGTTCCTGCACGCGAGCCACGTCCTGCCGTTGGTGATATAGACTCAACACCCGCAGCCGACACATCGAGGCACGCCTGCAGAGGGCGCTGACCAGGCTCTGACGGTTCGTCCTACCCCGCGCGCCGTCTGATACCTCCTTCACTTGTCATTCACTACTCTATGCCATGAATGAGCTTGCTGCTGACAGCCATGAAATGTAGACTCGTTGAATGCGCAACCACCCATGTGCTTCACTCACTAAACCTGCCCTCGTTACCCATACACCTATACCTACACGCGCCGCGTCGTCTGTTCCAACATCTGCTCGATTGCCTGCCCATTTGCGCGCTTGTTCCAAAACACTCATCGAGGTAGTGCGCTTCTCGACCTGCAAGCTTGGCAGCAGCCGTTGCTTTTTAAGGGAGTTGTGCTAAGGAGTCAGTAGCCCTGGGACTTTCCACGGAAAACAATACCAAAAATGCCAAAACCCTCAACACTGTCGTTGGCTATGCGGGGCAAGCCCAAGGATAATGCCAACACACCCATGAGCCCGAAAAGCCCGAGGTCGCCAGGCATGCCTGAGGATCTCGATTATGCGACACCAAATGCCGCGTTTCACAACATACCACAGTCACCGGCCTCCCCGAAACCTCGCAAAGACTCCAAGAGCATCTTCTCCAATTTCAGTGCCAACAAGTCGTCATCACGTCTCAACAGCCAGGGCAACTCGATACGGCAGCTTCCCGAAAACCAGCCTTCGCCCAGCTTGTACTCTAATGGGCGCGGCGGTGCGTCCACACCAGACCTCGGCCGTCCTGTGCGCACCCCGAATTCCGACGGTATGTTTACGGCAACTCAGACAAATCCCCTCTCGCTAATTACCACAGACAATCGCTCCGAAGTCGTACGCTTAGACCAACGAACAGGGTCAGGCAATTCCAACGACTCTTCCGACCCGTACGCCGACTCCTCGAAGCGCAACACCATCAAGCCGAAGAAGGGTATCCTATCGAGATCGAAATCCATTAAAGAAGGCGAGAGTTCTGGGTCCCGCGCAAAACTGAACAAGGCACCCCCGGGGCAACTGTCACCCGACATTGCGAGTTCGTGGACGACCAACGGCGATGGTATGCCATCAAAAACGGCGCCAATGGATAAAGGTCAATCATGGCGAGGGATAGGCAAGCCACGAACACACTCAGCCGATCGTCAGGATGGCTCCAAGCACATACAACGGGATGCCGATCACGGGCAAAGGAGAGACAAGTCAGAACAAATCTCACTAGCATCAAACTCATACAACGAAACCAAGGGGCATGGCTTCATCTCGAAACTAGGTTCTGGGGCTCGCAACATGGGAGAGAAGATGGACTCGGCACGAAAGGGCGTATTTGGCAAACTGGGGCGAAGCTCAAGCAACCACGAAAGTCAGACGCCCATATCGAACGAACCATATGTGTGCAAGATCATTCACAAGCCGTTGATCGAGCAGACGAGGCTGACACGAATATCGACCCGTCTGGAACAGTCCCGCGATAAAACTGAATTCTGGATGCCAGCTCTACCTTGGCGGTGCATAGAGTAGGTTGTGTCCCGAATAGTTCCGGATTCCCAGGCTAACAACAAGTGTAGCTACCTGAACATGAGGGGTTGTGAAGAGGAAGGCTTGTATCGTGTTCCAGGGTCAGCCCAACAGGTCCGGTATTACGAACGCAAATTCGATGAGGGTAAGACTATCTTGATCGCTACCCGTGACAGCTGCTCACCAAGCCCCAGATCGAGATATCGACCTGATCAGCGACCCCAACCTGAACGACCCAAACGTCATCGGCTCACTGTTCAAGAACTGGCTCCGACAGCTGCCAGATGAGATCTTCCCAAAAGCTATTCAGACCGCTATCCAGCAAGAATGTCAGGGCGCTAAGACGACACCGCAAATGCTTAAGGATGAGCTATCCAAGCTTCCGCCGTTCAACTACTACCTGTTATTTGCCATCACCTGTCACATCAGCCTGTTACACTCATGCTCGGAGTTCAACAAGATGAACTACAACAACTTGTGCATCTGCTTTCAGCCTGCAATCAAGATCGACGCCTTCTGCTTCCAGTTCCTCATCTTGGACTGGCGAAACTGCTGGCAGGGCTGTTGGACGGAGAAGGACTTTTTAACGGATGAAATCAACTTCCTAAACGCTGTAGAAGTTGAGTCCCAGCAGCAACAGCAGCA